GTCGGCAAAATACCATGTCAAGCGTGTCATGGGTAACTCGCACTTGACTTTTGAGGAGTTGTCCACTTTATTTGCCCAAATAGAAGCTGTGTTAAATAGTCGCCCCATATGTCCTCTATCCACTTCTCCCGACGACTTTTCTTGCCTCACCCCCGGTCACTTTCTGATTGGTCGAGCTCTGACAACTATACCGGCACCAGCATTGGAAGATCACACCTCTAATAACTTGCAACGCTACGCGCGCCTTCAACAAATCCATCAGCATTTTTGGCGACGCTGGCAGCAAGAATTCCTTGCAGAAATCCAACAGAGAAGTAAATGGAGAGTGAACAAAGCCAATGCCAAAGTAGGTGATCTGGTACTTCTGAAAGAAGACAATCTACCTCCACTATGTTGGCGTCTTGGACGCATCCACAAACTGTTTCCTGGCTCTGACAATATATCAAGAGTCGCTGATGTAAAGACTCAAAGGGGAGTCGTGCGACGTCCATTAGTTCGACTGTGCCCCTTACTCTCACACTTACGGAGGATGTTCGCGCCTGCGTTTCGACAGCAGCAATCTCCCATGGACTCAAAAGCGATTTAATTCATAGGAACTTTTTACTTTTTACACTACCTTCAGATTTTTGTCATTCACATTGTTCTCACGTAATGGCGACGTACTAGCTTTATAAAATAATTACATTTTTCATGTTAAAGTATTGAAATACAAACGTTTACCACATTACGGAGTTTCATTTATGTCCAAAGAAGAGACACTGCTGATTTATGTTTACAGAATCCGTGCTGGTTTGCATGAATGATGTTTTTAAAATGGGAAGTTAAAAACGGGCAGATAATTTTTTCAAATAACTTTGATATTGCATTCAGAATAGATATTGGGCGGTAGTTTTTAACGTTATTATTATCACCTTTTTTGAAGACTGGAATGATATAAGCCTCCTTAAGCAAATCCGGAAAAATACCCGTAGCAATGGATTTAGCTAATATGATTTTAAGTGGCAGCGCAATGTATTTAGCGGTTCTTTTAAGGAATAGTGGCGGAATGCCGTCAGGACCTGCTCCTTTACTCTCGTCAATTTTAGATAAGATCTTAGTGATCATGCGTTCGGATATAGCAACATTACCGTTAGATAGCTGGGGATAGTCACTATCATTAACTAAATGACTGGGTATGGAATCTAGTTTCTGGGTATAGACTGAGGAGAAGTGTGTTGCGAAAAGATCACATATTTCGTTACCGGTAGAAGCAAAAGCAGTGTTGAGATGCATTTCAGGAATGTTAGATTTACGAAACACGGTTTGTTTTCGCTGAATGAATTTTGCAGGCAGAATAGGGCTGATGTAAAGGAAATTAAAAAATAAAAGCAAATAAGTCATCATCCCTATTAACAGGCGATCCCAAAAGTATCAAAACAACTAGTCTGTACGCACATACACTAGATACATAGTTGCGAAAACTGCTTCAGTGTTAGAAAGAATATGATTCGTATCTCTACAACTGATAAATCTCCAATCTTTTAAAGTGAGAAGTGAAAACTAAAGAACTATGAAGTGAAGACTGCAAATGCAAAGCGTTTTAAATCAGTGATGCTTAAACTGGGAAAGGTTTCCAAGTGAGGATGATTGCCATCAATTGCAGAAAACATTGCACGTCTTCTGTTAAGATTTTGAGTTTCTACAAACTCTTTGGATTGGATTACCAAACAATCCCTCCGGGATTATTTTATTTCTGCTGGCCACTTGCTCCACATTTACATGACCAAAGCCCAAATGTCTTGACACAAAATCTTCAACTAAACAACTTCTAGCTATATTCATTTTTCTCTCCAAGGTCCTACGAGACATTTGAAAGAGGGAACTTAATCGTTCATTGCTGTCCCCAGTTCTTAACTTGACTATGTAAATACAGAGTGCTAAACGGGGATTTTGACACTCTGTAATAAGCTTGGTACACATGCCAAGAGTTCATCAAACTGTTCAGCATTCATTCCCAGCCAATAATGACATAAGAAAGGAGCCATTGCAGAAATATTTTCAAAGTCGAAACAATGGGAAACTGCTCTCTGCATTATATTGAAAATGGCATCAAACTGTACACCAGTAAAATCTTGCAGATTTGATGTTAAATCACTCCAACGCCCATTATTCAAGTGATGTTGACATATTCGACATGTGGGAACATAGAATTTATTATGTATTAATAACATTTCTCTTATTACTCTGGGTACTAATAAACATTGTTGTTCCCGGCATCCTGAAAACAGACAACTCGATGAAGTGGCTACAGCACGCTTATATACTGATGACTGTATCTTAGGTATAACAGGTCTTGAAGGCTGAACAGGTAATAGACCAGCGGGAAATGGTGGTGGTACTGGGATCACTGGTACAGACTCTGTTGGTTCTACATCAATTTGTTCAATTGATGACCGATTCGCATCATGTAACTGTTGCCTTTGCACTTCCCTATTAGCTGCTCGCCAACAGGCAGCACAAACTCTTGAAATTCTTGACACCTATAAAAAAAAGATAAGTGAACTTGAATTTAATGAAAAACCATCTACAACTATTTTATGCAGTAGAAATATATTTCTTATAATAATAATAATAAATCATTTATCTGACAAGATATGGTAAATTATACAGATCTCAAAAATATAACCAACATGACCTGTCGCTTTTATCGACGTGCAAATATTTATAGGTAGTTGCAGTATTATCCAGAACTCAATCTTTAAAAACTATATATATTATTTATATACCATAGTCATGATTGAGTTAGTTATTATATAATCAATTTCATTAATATACTACATGACAATTATGCAATGTAAAAAAAAATGTCAAAGTCATGTTTCAGTTAGTATTGAAATCAATTTTAATAATTTATTATTGATAATATCTTATACCATACCTGATGTGCTGGAGTCTATCTAAGAATAATATTTCTTTCTGGACAGTGTAGTGAAACCCTGTACGATCGACTTCTTTATATGGATTTTCCACAACCAAAACAGACTTTGTGATGGCCATATTGTGGTGCAGGTACTTCTTCGGTGGTGTCACTAGCTTGTAGTAGCATAAAGCATTCGTTGCACACTATGCCCCCATTCAATATCTATAACAAGTCAAAAATATTTATATTTATTTGAACATGTGAATGAAATTAAAACATTATCTCACGGTTGCGATTGTATATATATTGACGGAAATAATTACTTACAGAATCAGGTGCGATCCATGAGCTTAAAACATTAAGCATTGAATTGGATAGCATGTCCAAAGAATGTACTGGCTGTCATCGTGGCACTGATATACAACAGTTAATACAACGTCGTTGCATACTGCCTGCGTTTTCTTGTGTAACACCAGATGCCATTGTAAACAAAAATAATTACAATAAACTAAGAGTCCAAATATCTCTGTCAGAATCACTAAAGGTAACTTAACACTAAATCAACGAGTCCAATGCTCTCTTTCCCAAAAAAACAGTTATTAACGGAGGATTACTCAACTCAACATTAAAACTATTCTGCCACAATAGACCACTGAAAACACAAATTCAATTCAAAATTGAAAACTGTACATAAGTAGTTAGTCACTCGGAACAAACAACGAACACGTTGACAGCTACCTACTTCACTTGCCTATGGTATATATTTCGATTTGATTCTATAGGAATCGATTCCTACACAATCGATTAATAAATGTTTTATTTTTCAATGCAAATGCTTAAAATGTTCAAACCATGAGTTAATTTATATATGATTAAGTAATTATATATAACATAACTGATAATTTAAACAAAAATATATTCCCTTTTTTAATCTAAGATGTGAATATGTAGTACACATATAAAAGTTTTTGTATGCGATCTACTGTTTGATGAACGAAATAGTCCGCAGACAAAAAATCCTCTTTTGCGCAGCCCATTAAGTTCCTTTTAGTTTTTAGATGCAATGAAAGAGAGCAATCCCTGGTAGGTACAGTGAGATAGTCACAACACAGGTCTTACAAATGATAACTTTATGAATTTAATGTTATTTATCATGATATAATATTGGTAAAAATGCTCGTATCCATCATACAAACATTTGCCTCACCGGAATTCGAAACCAGGCCCTCTGAATAGGCGATTTGGGGAAAATAATCTATCCATCGATCCATACAAAAATCAAACAACTCGCATCGAAGACCTCAAAATTAAAAATGTCTACGAATTAACGAATGATCATTATTTCGTAGTCATTTACGGTGTTTGGTAAAAATGTTTCAGGCTATTTACAATTGTTCTATGCTTTTAATTATAATAAACGTTTTATTTTTTCTTTTTGAAGTGAAACTTCTTTACGCACTCTTGACTTGGGGAGTAAGCTAGCGAACGTAAGCGTTAAGAAAAGTGTGATCGGGCGAGGCGAACGGGAGCTGAGTGGGGGATGTAAGCATGAGAAAGCAGTGTGCGTGCACATTTTCTTTCTCTCTTCCTCTCATAGCCAAATACGTTCCGTATATCTAAGCACAGTGCAAGCCTATTGTCTGTATCACAGTGTAGGAGCAAGAGCGCGCGCACGCATTTTCTTTCTCTTTTTCTCTTACAGCTAGTAAATGAAAGAAGTTTCACTTCAATCGTGTGGTCATAAGCACACTCGTTTTTTTATGTTAAGAATATTTAAATAAAGAAATATAATCGATTTTTTTTCCTACGATAGTATCGCCCAGGTGATACAACTTTTATCTATGGTTATTGGTTATTTACTCAGTTTAATAGCCATTTATTTATTATTTTAAATATCCGCATAATATTTACATAATAAACACACATATGAAATGATAATTCAGAAGAAGATTTTTGATACATAAATGCGTCAAGCGCAATCTAGGCGGATTTGCCCATTCTCCTTTAGAAGTAATCAGTGTTTTGTGGGGTAGAAAATCACAACTCAGCTTGAGCGGCACCACGTCGCTCGTGCCATACATAGATCAGTGAGTCACGATACCTGGTCCCCGGGCGGCACGTGCAGCAGTGGCTCAGGTGGGGTATCACGGCGCAGCTTGAGCCGCACGATGTCGTCCCAGTGCCCCCACGACAGGATGCCCCATGCGGTCTCCTTGCCCCCACCGCCGCTTCCGAGCCCCTGACCCAAGTCGGAAGCTGACTCATCTACACAAATTGTGTGCTTACTTTATGGATCATAAATAATAATTATTCATTTAATTTTGCGCTGTAATTTCTTCTTTATGGAATTGATGGAGTCTAGATTATAAGATTTACTATTTATCAATTTACTAAAGTCTCTATCACAAAGGTATAATGTGTTCCTACCTATGTGATAGAGAATAAAAATATACTTTTGGATTTGATTCCAATGTTGTGCTGTTATCTAGCGATCGACCGTGACGTTATATTGGCGCAGCTGATCAACAAACGATTCTCTCTCTTCACCTTTAACTTAGACGATTTTGATTACAAACATAAATGGGTAATGAGAACTGCAGTGGGGATGCTTGGTGTTAAAACACCTTATTTGTCGATAGACTTTAAGTGTTTACGTGGGAGAATTAGGAGCTGGCTTATAAAATGTTTCGGTTTAATTAAGGAGTATAACCCTTTCAAGGAACATTAGTAAAGTAGTATGCCGTGTTGCGTGTGTAGTACTGACCTGCAAGCGCGACGAGTGCAGTGTTAGCGGGCAGTGCCGCGGCAGTCCTCGAGTGCGGCGGCGGCAGCGGCACCAACTCACTGGCGGCACATGCTCGTCGTGCCGTCACCACTCCCCGCGCCCCCTCCGGCGACCCCACGAACCGACCCCAGCGCACGCCGCGCGCGCCCCCGCACGCCTCCACCTGCCCCCATACATAGACACACATGAGTACTGCCGTCACCACTCCCCGCGCCCCCTCCGGCGACCCCACGAACCGACCCCAGCGCACGCCGCGCGCGCCCCCGCACGCCTCCACCTGCCCCCATACATAGACACACATGAGTACTGCCGTCACCACTCCCCGCGCCCCCTCCGGCGACCCCACGAACCGACCCCAGCGCACGCCGCGCGCGCCCCCGCACGCCTCCACCTGCCCCCATACATAGACACACATGAGTACTGCCGTCACCACTCCCCGCGCCCCCTCCGGCGACCCCACGAACCGACCCCAGCGCACGCCGCGCGCGCCCCCGCACGCCTCCACCTGCCCCCATACATAGACACACATGAGTACTGCCGTCACCACTCCCCGCGCCCCCTCCGGCGACCCCACGAACCGACCCCAGCGCACGCCGCGCGCGCCCCCGCACGCCTCCACCTGCCCCCATACATAGACACACATGAGTACTGCCGTCACCACTCCCCGCGCCCCCTCCGGCGACCCCACGAACCGACCCCAGCGCACGCCGCGCGCGCCCCCGCACGCCTCCACCTGCCCCCATACATAGACATATGAAATGACATATACATATATATGTAGACATCTTGATGGTCCTTCGAACCTTGGGAAAGGTGGGATCAGGTGCGCGGGGACTGTGAATAGTGTTCGTGTAAGTGATTCCAACTTCCAACACGGTGGATTTTGGAGTCAGTACATACCATGTGTACATATAAAGAGGATTACAATAGCAGCAGTCAGCATCAGCAGAGGCAGCTGGGAGACGCGACCACCACTAAAGAAAGCTAAGCAAAGTTATCAAGTGAGATCTTTCCATATTATCGCTTTCGTTACAATCGTACAGAAGACTTAATAAGTCTTCCATTGCAACGCAGTGCCAGATTTTCGGAGCGATGGAATCGCTTTCTTAGCAGTTTTACAAAACCTACCCCCTGGTCGCTGGCTGGCTGATGGGAAGGAAGGGTTACAGATGTTTATCCTGGAAGTGATGGCTACGTGAGAGAGGTGAAGCTCAAAACTAAAATGGCATTATAAAACGTCCGATAACAAAACTAAGTAAGTGCTAGGTCGCACTACGGCGAAACCGCCGCGATTTTATACCGCGTAGTTTTGTGAGTCATGGAAGCTAATGCAAGCGGCCGCACAGCGGTTTTTTCTCGCGACTGATTTTGAAACCGTGATTTGTTACAGAATGTACAAAATTTGTAGTCCATACAATATATATTGACGCGCACACATTGATGCGGTAACCGCGGGCGGTTTCTATCATTATTCGTCAGATCGCCGCGAAGAGCCGTTGTGTTGGATGTAGGTATCGCGATAGTAGTTGAAAAATTTCTCATTATATTTTCTTAAATCTTGATGCTTCTTATTAAAGAATGCTCTTTCTTAAATCTTCTGCTAGTTAGTGAACGGACCCAATATTTACGAAATTTGTGACGACGTTTTCTTTTTCTATTTCTTATTATTAAAGCAACAATACATACAGCTCTCTTAAAATCTATCCTCAAACTGTGATAAATCGTGTCTAGTTTCGCGGTTTTTAAACGTAGTGTGCTTCGGGCGGTTTCGCGGTTTTGCGGTTTACTGTTTGCGGGAAAAAAAAATGGTTGCCTGTAAAGTCGGTTTTACGAGCGAAGATTTTACGTGACAACGTCTTTTTCTCGGTAGAATATTTATTGATATGAATATAATTAAATTGCACAATAGGAACAAGGAATTGAATGAAAATAAGAATTGCACAAATTTTAACTATAGAAATATATTTTGTTTACTAAAACATTGTACATGTAAACTTAAACTTAACACGAGAGACTCATCGTAACGTTACCGAGCGTTACACTTTTTCATAAGTGACTCCCAGCCGCAACCTAATTTAAGACGTTGTCACGTCAAAAACCGTAGTGGGGCCTAGCACTAAGGGCATCGTTCACCTGCACGTCGAGGTCGGGCCCCGGCGCAGGCGCGAGGCGCGGCGCGGCCTGCGGGTGCGGCGCGCGCAGCAGCTGTCGCGGCGCCTGCCCGTATGTGCGCACCATGGCCGCGGCCGCGGTGCGGTCCACCTCGTCCTCCATCGCCGACGGGTCGAATCCGTAGTACGTCTGTGCGCGAGATAACACACCTCATGAACTTGAACCGCTCTAATGGTGGCCGTACTGGATCGAATCCATCGTCAGATCTGCATGACCCTGCCGCGAGGATCGAGTAGAACTGACCGTGGGTAGGCGTGGATTGACGTAACGTTTATGTTTGTGTAGGGTATTCTTACAAAATAACAGAGAAATCGGCAAAGCAATGCAATCGTTCCCACCCCGCGGGGGGCCTCGGTGGGTGGACTGCCGCTTGAAGGGTGCGAGCGGCGCATGTGCATGGCCGTACTAGTAGTTATATTTGACGGAACAATCGTAACTTCGATGGTTTAAGCTCGACCGAGCCGATTAAACCGTAAATGGCGATCGCGCGATTGGATTCAAAATCGTGGGCGAAACCTGTCCAAAAGGTACATTGGACGATCCACGGAGCTCCGTAAGATGATCGTGTAGTCAAAAACAAAATAAGGCATTTTTGAAATATTGAAAGTCACCTTTAATGTATACTGCGTAAGGTCTTAATTAAAACATCCATCAAAGAGACATGGCAGTACGAAATGCAATCTTGTAAAATATGTGCAGAAGAATATGGACCTTATTTCTTTGACTCTATGTGCTTAGATACCTGTCGAAAAAACAATACGTTACGTACTATGAGTATTTTTTTTCGAATTTTTTCATGGAGTTCTGCGGCATCTTGATTTTTCAATGGTCCTCGCGTGAAGGTGAACCAATAAGTGCTTGATTGGTGTTCGAGCACTTCTTGATTGGGACACATTTTGAGTGCACGTGGTGTATCTAGGGTATTTATTATCGTTGACATTGCTCTTCACGCTTCAGTAGGTTCTACTTAGTGGCGTGCTTCTAACATTTTAGTATAATGAAATGAAATGAAATGAAAAGTCATTTATTCAGTCTAGGCTGTTACAAGCACTTGTGAAAGTCAAGAAGCTACGCCATCGGTTCGCAAAACTACGGCGGCTATATTTGTACTTATCGCCTTAAGTCGTCGCTCATAGTGTCAAGATCGTGGCCGAACTGTAAGACATTAAAGCTGATATGGACTCACGCATGCAGGGAACACGTTGACGGCATCAATAGCTGCCTGGCCAGTCTGCTTGTAGCCGAACACGAGGTCTATCCAATGAGGTAGGTCTTCGGTAACCCGCGGGGCTTCTAACGCGTGTCGATGTAGCAGCACAAATAGTCGTGCTTCAGCCGCCCAGGCAGGCACCTCTACGTTGTCCACGCCTAGACCGCACTGACGGACGCCTAGCGCCAGACCTACGCAACACAGTCACATTCAAATTATGGATCTTTTAATATTCTAATGCTTACCTATATATATATATATATATATAACTAGCTGACCCAGCGAACTTCGTACCGCCATAAAAAAATAGGGGTTGTCCAGCGGACAAAATTGTGAATCTAAACCATTCTCAGATCCCCTTGAACACACACAAAAAATTTCATCAAAATCGGTCCAGTCGTTTAAGAGAAGTTCAGTGACATACACACTCACAGAAGAATTATATATATAAAGATAACTAGCTGACCCAGCGGACTTCGTACCGCCATAAAAAAAATAGGGGTTGGTGGTAGAAGGGTGAAAATTTAGGGTTGTATGTATTTTTGTATGATGTATCATAAAAAAATTAAAAAAAAAATCTAAAATTAAAAAAAAAATTAGGGGTGGATTTCCCCTTAACATTTAGGGGGATGAAAAATAGATGTTGTCCGATTCTCAGACCTACCCAATATGCACACATAATTTCATGAGAATCGGGAAAGCCGTTTCGGAGGAGTTTAACCACAAACACCGCGACACGAGAATTTTATATATTAGATATATATATATATATATATATAGGTAAGAATATATACATAATTTTGTTATTAGCGGAATTGCTACCACGTACCCTTTGATTTTTACTCCTAGATAGAGAGTGGGAGCGCAGATGACGTAAAAAACAATATGAGTCAACTGCTTGACTCTAAGTCGTTTCCCGCCACTTAGTGTTCAATGTAACGCTGAGCAATACGTACGACAATTACAGAGTTTCATGTTCAGATTATTGCTTTGAAATGCCGAGATACGCGATAAAAGTTTTCCGAAGTCATACCAATTTTAAAAACAAGGCATATGGTAGTAATACCACTATTTACTAAATGTGACCAGAAGAGTCAAATGTTTGTGCGTTTACATGATTACAACTTATCCATTTAGTGAAAATGAAAAGCAACAACAAAAGTCGCACTCGCATTGCGCTCTTCTATATCGCATGAAATCACTATTTGGGAGATATTCCTACTAGTTTCCACGCGCATTTACTAACCCTTACAGTAAATGTTACATGAAATCCCCATGCGGTTTCCTTCAATAATATAACAAGATCAAGTATTCTCTACTAAGAGACTCACCTTCGTCGTTATGGAACAGCTCGGGCAGATAGAAGAGTTCAGGAATAAGTTCCTTGACGTCAGTGGGCGAGTCGTTGGTGATGAGTCGCCACGTCGTCGCCAGCGAGTGGAACGTGCGGTCCGGCATGTCGAAGTTGTTATCTGTGACAGAAACAATAAGGTAGTTAAGCTTTCATACACAAAGCGATTTGACTGTGCGACCAATCGCTTCAGGAAAGTTTGAACTGAAGAAACGCGATCGGGAGATCCATAGTGCGCCTATTAAATAGAGTTGTCAATTACATAGGAAACGTCTAGGGGACACAACGGTTGAGAATTTGTTTCCTATTCCAACAAGTTACACCTCTGTAAAGTTACAGTATACTATCTCTTATCTATTAGACAAGTCCGTCCGTCTGTCTGTGGTGCTGTTTCAGCGGCCAAACCGTAAGAGATAGATAAAAAGAATGTTTAAGTTATAAGTTAAGAATAGTCTGATAAGACTACAAACCGGATTTGAGTAACGTAGCACTTCCGGTTTTCGAGAAATCACGAATTTCAAACGAAACCACACAAAATCTCCGAAGTTCTCAATTAATTAAATACATTTTTTTTTAAATCCGGTTTTGGTGAACATTTGGTTCACTGGTTTGCTAGTATATAGATACTACTGCAATAATTATCCAAAAATTTATAAATTAGTAAAAGGAAACTCTTAAAATTAGATAAATTCAAGTGAAATCGGAGTGATGTGGTTGGTTGCGGATGTTTGGCACCCTTTAAATAACAAAATATGCTAGTCCTTCCATTTTTTTAGTCTCCGGGTGTCCGTAAATTTATTAGGCCCCATTGCCCTGCAGCTATTCTGTAAAATAATGGACAAAGGGGTAATCTGGGTTGCTGTAAAGAGGAGGGGGGAAGAGGGTAGTGTTCCGCACCCTGGTAGTTGAGGAACAGCTGCGTGAATGGCGGCAGACGCACGAGGTAGTGCAGCACTCCACCCGAGTTGCTGTAGAGGGAGGGGTAGTGGTGGGGTTGCCGCGCCACCAAACCGCCGAGACCCTCGCGTCGCGCCAGTGTCAGATCCTGCAAAATACCGACTTTTAATCTTTGAATAAAAAAGCAAAGAAAACAAACAATAGTCTAAAAAACATCGGTCGCATGTTGCTACCTTGGGGTATACCATTACTAGCTAAGGCTTCCGTTCTAGTACAAAAGTTATCTTAATCTTCGTGCAGTAACATGTAACGTAACAAATGATTCACAATGAAATATATCCAACACACTTCCTCTTATTCTGACTTTTCATTAGAAACCAAGGAAGGAATAACAATGTCAAATGTCTTGCTCAAATTTTGTAAATATGTTTGTTACCGAACCAAATCGAATAAATATATTTTTAAACATAAGCATTCTAAATTCCTATCGTAATAATATAAGTAATTTACGGGATTGTTACCTTGTTTTTAGTGCCGAAATATCGGAAACTCGCTAAAAACAATCTCGTAAATAACTTATATTACTATAATGTTACTGTCCTATTATAAGTTCGAGTTTAGCACTTAAGTAATGAATTTAAAGTATTTTCTCGTAGTTATAATAATTAAGGCTACACAAATATTAGCACTCACGTTGTAAGTATTGATATAGTGTTGCTCTCGCTCCTTTCGCTGTACTGCTATTGGTCGCGTGAGGTCTCGGAACGATCTCGGGTCATTTAAATCCAACATTCGGGAACTGTATTCTGCCAGGACAAACGGCAGCACCGGATATTGCATTAGATCGTTGTATGACCGCCCCGCGAGACCATTCAAACGCATCAGGTACTCCCAATTGGTGATGTTGCCGTTCCGCCATTGATTCATCGCTTCCGTTAGGGAGTCTTGTTCAATCCTGTGGTAAATTTTACAAAGTTGGTAAGTTTACGTGAAATTGTTACCGAATGGAATGTTTAGTTCATTGTGATGATCATTTACTGTGATTGTTAAAGTTTCGATTGCTAGATTTTTATATTTTAAAGTTTACATAGAAAACACAGTTTTAAAGTTTTTTTTTGTTTTATTACTCTTCTCTCTTCTACCTACTCTACTATGATAACATGTTTGTTGTTAGTTCCTGTTCTGAACTCTATCCAGGACTTGGCGTAAAAATAGATGAAACAAATATAATGTTAAAATATGTTACTTCATTATCTTCAGGTAGATATTAAAAATCTCGAGAATTCCAAAATTTTACATACTTGTAGGTGCCAGGGACTGCTCTGCGTGGAAATATTTGTTTTATCATACAAATTGTCATCCTTCTTTTTGCCTTTTTAAAGGATGGTTTATAGTCCTTATAATCTATCAACAGAATTTGTCGATTAAATCACTATGGGCATGCATCATCGTGCAATTCACATCAATACAGCTTCTGCAGGTACCGGCGCCTGCCCCGGAGTCTGTCAGGAATACACACTCACTTGTGCGGCAGGTGGTGCAGGTGCAGCTGAAGGCCAGCAGGTGTGCCCGCGTGTGCAGGAACAGCTGCACACCTGCAGCTGTCCCGGGCCACACACACTCACTTGTGCGGCAGGTGGTGCAGGAAGGCGGCGCGCTCCTGCTGGCAGCTGAAGGCCAGCAGGTGTGCCCGCGTGTGCAGGAACAGCTGCACACCTGCAGCTGTCCCGGGCCACACACACTCACTTGTGCGGCAGGTGGTGCAGGAAGGCGGCGCGCTCCTGCTGGCAGCTGAAGGCCAGCAGGTGTGCCCGCGTGTGCAGGAACAGCTGCACACCTGCAGCTGTCCCGGGCCACACACACTCACTTGTGCGGCAGGTGGTGCAGGAAGGCGGCGCGCTCCTGCTGGCAGCTGAAGGCCAGCAGGTGTGCCCGCGTGTGCAGGAACAGCTGCACACCTGCAGCTGTCCCGGGCCACACACACTCACTTGTGCGGCAGGTGGTGCAGGAAGGCGGCGCGCTCCTGCTGGCAGCTGAAGGCCAGCAGGTGTGCCCGCGTGTGCAGGAACAGCTGCACACCTGCAGCTGTCCCGGGCCACACACACTCACTTGTGCGGCAGGTGGTGCAGGAAGGCGGCGCGCTCCTGCTGGCAGCTGAAGGCCAGCAGGTGTGCCCGCGTGTGCAGGAACAGCTGCACACCTGCAGCTGTCCCGGGCCACACACACTCACTTGTGCGGCAGGTGGTGCAGGAAGGCGGCGCGCTCCTGCTGGCAGCTGAAGGCCAGCAGGTGTGCCCGCGTGTGCAGGAACAGCTGCACACCTGCAGCTGTCCCGGGCCACACACACTCACTTGTGCGGCAGGTGGTGCAGGAAGGCGGCGCGCTCCTGCTGGCAGCTGAAGGCCAGCAGGTGTGCCCGCGTGTGCAGGAACAGCTGCACACCTGCAGCTGTCCCGGGCCACACACACTCACTTGTGCGGCAGGTGGTGCAGGAAGGCGGCGCGCTCCTGCTGGCAGCTGAAGGCCAGCAGGTGTGCCCGCGTGTGCAGGAACAGCTGCACACCTGCAGCTGTCCCGGGCCACACACACTCACTTGTGCGGCAGGTGGTGCAGGAAGGCGGCGCGCTCCTGCTGGCAGCTGAAGGCCAGCAGGTGTGCCCGCGTGTGCAGGAACAGCTGCACACCTGCAGCTGTCCCGGGCCACACACACTCACTTGTGCGGCAGGTGGTGCAGGAAGGCGGCGCGCTCCTGCTGGCAGCTGAAGGCCAGCAGGTGTGCCCGCGTGTGCAGGAACAGCTGCACACCTGCAGCTGTCCCGGGCCACACACACTCACTTGTGCGGCAGGTGGTGCAGGAAGGCGGCGCGCTCCTGCTGGCAGCTGAAGGCCAGCAGGTGTGCCCGCGTGTGCAGGAACAGCTGCACACCTGCAGCTGTCCCGGGCCACACACACTCACTTGTGCGGCAGGTGGTGCAGGAAGGCGGCGCGCTCCTGCTGGCAGCTGAAGGCCAGCAGGTGTGCCCGCGTGTGCAGGAACAGCTGCACACCTGCAGCTGTCCCGGGCCACACACACTCACTTGTGCGGCAGGTGGTGCAGGAAGGCGGCGCGCTCCTGCTGGCAGCTGAAGGCCAGCAGGTGTGCCCGCGTGTGCAGGAACAGCTCGACGGCCCGCTCCTGCAGGCACCAGCGCCGCGTGGCCAGGGCCCGCACCTCCTCCACGGCCCAGCACTGCGTGTCGCCGCCGCTGTCCTCCCCCCACCCGCCTTCCTCCGCGGGGGACTCTTCCGGCACGAAGTGGATGGCTCTGCAATACGACAATTGTTTGCTTCAGCATTCACACTTAAATACTATTCGAAAATACATAATGAGATATTTAGAATGACCAAAATCGCTGAACGAGCCATTACTCCTTCTGAATTTCCAAATGTTCCCAAAAAAGCAACCGCCCGAATATTTTCTCTATGGAACTGTAACGAGTAGGTAAACTGTGTACAGTCTAAATCAAACGATTTAAGTGAACGGAAGTATTATATTTCATCATCAGCATATTAATGTCCCCACTGCTGGGGCACAGGCCTTCCCTATGAATGGAATAGGGAGATTGGGCCATGACCCACCACGCGGGCCCAGTGCGGATTGGTGGGTGCTAACGACTGCAGATGCAGCCGGGACCGACGGCTTAACGTGCCTTCCGAAGCACGGAGGAGCTCGAGATAATAAATTTTTGGTCACCCATCCAATGACGGACCACTGCGAAAGTTGCTTAACTTCAACGATCGCAGCCGAACACGCTAACCACTTGCGCCATCGATCTCCTAATATTAATTGTAATAGCATTTGAACGATACAAATAAATCTGTCAGTTTTTAACCTTTACCATCACTTTAAAAGATGTGTAAGAAACTCCATTCTCTAGTCCTTCGAGCAGGATTATCAATGAAACAGGAAGTGGAGCGTTGTTACCTGTCAGTGAGCAACAGTTCCCCGCGCGTTTCGCTGTCGACGGTGACGTGCGTGACGCGCGCCATATACACGACGGTCTCGTCGGGCTGCAAGCGAGCGGTCAGACCGTCCCGTTCGGAGGAGCCGCGTCCCAAAACGCTGCGAAGCGGTGGCGGCCTCTGTGCTAGTTCTACAACCAAACACTTATGCATTGATCGTTTTTCTTAACAACAATGAAAATGCAGTTTTTATAATGGACATTGGGCAAAAATGTATGGACGCTGCATCCACGTCCGCCACAGCTTAAACTACATTTGTTTGAAAGGTATTATAGTCATGATCATCTGTGCCAAAGCGCATCAAATTCCATCCCGGGCGTCTTTAGTTATTTTAAGTTATTTGTTTCTTAGGTTTTCACGCACATCACTCATTAAATAAAACTAGGTTTTATGGGTTAATGCACGAAACTTTATTTATTTATTGACGTTTCGTAGCCTTTACAGGCTACGTCGTTAATTCTGACTTTAAATAAATAAAGTTTCGTGCATTAACCCGTAAAAACTAGTTTTATTTATTTTAAGTTATACAGGTACAAGTACACCCTACATAGGGGGCTCAGGTATTATGGGAGTACTTTCCCGCATGGGTTCGGGGTTTTTCAAACAGTCTGTTCGTTGCAGTAAATTGTCTTATATGTAAAACGGGATGACCACAAATCACACAAATTTGTCCAAGCTTCGGAGAAAACATGATTCCAGTTCATCCATACTAATTGACAAAACCGATAATCGTGTTCCAATGTCCAAAGCGTGTTAGATAAAAATCAATCAAGTGACAGGGAGGGAGCGCATAATCACAACGAAGTAAGACGAGTCGACTATTTGCAACTGCAAGTCCGTCAACCCCCGTAAACAGTTTTGTGGTGGCTCAGTAAATGCAAGCGCAGTATGGTCGGAAGGCTTTATCGTATATCTGGTTGTATAGTACGATATGGCATATTATTGTGGTTTCGAATAATATAAAATGAAGATACTATAAAATTTTGTTTAGCTACTTAAATATGCCCATGTGTCATATCTTTAGACTACCAGGATATTTTTTACGGTGTCATATCTTTTGACTACCGGGATATTTTTTAACGGTGTCATAATAAAAAAGTTAGTTAGCTAGTTTTTCATAATCTTTCGATTCATACTAATTACATTGTTGGCGGAGCTGGGTGTGTTTTGCCCATTGTCCTTTCACATGCTAAAATAATAACAAAGGAAAAGCCACCTTATTATGTAAAGACGTTAAACTAGGAAATTAGAATCCTCTATAGAGAAGCAAAATCAGGGTCTGTTTTCGAATAAAGATACGTCAGAAATTTATTATTTTCCATTCATGTGGCATAAAGAGGCACGTTGTACAGCTTAAATTATGGAGTTTTTCCGCGATTTAAAACTATTGGTTGTAAGTGAGAAAGCATGAGTAGATTGTACATCTATCCCAACTAACACTTAGGCGCTAAGACAAGAGTTATAGTAAATCTATTAAAGAGCTAACCAGATCCTAAAGTTATAAATAAGTGTTACCCATTTGGAGTTAGAGCGCGCTATAACCCTACTGTACCCCCGAAATGGGCACATTTTTTATCACCTTAGGTTTTAATTGCGGTAAATAAGAGTTACAGAATAGGTTAAGAGGTATAATAAAGCAATAAGAGAGCTATAATAGCGATAACTGAAACTACAAGGGATAAAAACGTGATAAATAGGCGAAAATTCACTCCCTTAGTGGTACAATAGAATAAAATATCGTTTATTAACACTTTGGGTGCTAAAAGGGCTGCAAATAGGTGAATACTAACTCCCTAAGTGGTATGGTAGAACTAAAATGTCGCTCACTATATTTTTAAGTGATAAGAGAGTGGCAAGCAGGTGATTATTACCGCTATGAACTCTAATATAGACGCACAAAAGCTATAAAAAGGACTTCAGGTGCTAACCTTTTTAACTTCTAAGACTATTTTTTTATTTCGTCAACATAATTTAACCTCTCGTTTTTATGTGCGAACAGTGCGTATGTTAGTTAGTATTTATCGCATCCAAAACGCCGCCATTTGTTTGTGAAAATGAAATTAAAAGTATAATCTTTTAGTTTCAACCTAGTGGACACAGAAGTTGACTTTTTACTGCGAAAATAAGTACACTGTGAATAAGTATTATGTATTATTAACAAATTATTCAAGCGCCCGATGTCTCTTGTCTATTTACTGAAAAGAAATATTTTATTAGATATGGAGTAACATAAAACTTTTGTAATAATCTAATAAAACGTTGCCTATTCTAGTTTAAGGCATTGTGCTAGTAGTGTTAGAACACAATGAAGCAAAATACTTCAATTAAACCGTGTTTTCTTATGTTTTTCTAACCTTTATTTAGTTGCGTCGCCATTGCATTACTATCAACAACAAGTAAACGAATGAGGGGTACAGAAGTGGTATTAAGCTCTATTACTCTACCTAAAGTTATACAGAAGTCACAATAACCACTAGAAGTTCTATCATAGCGAAGAATGTTTCTGCTGTTCGATTTTGAGTAACTTAAGAGCATTTTGTAGGCATTTGGTGGTACAAAAGAATTTATGAGCACCATTGTGGAACTGGTAGTGGTAATTATTGCTTTTGTGCAACTTTTGGCTCTTGGCGAGTTTGTTATCGCTTGCATAGCACTTTGGGGGGTTGTAGTCAATGCTCACTTCTTATTTGGATCTTATAGTTGTAAGATTCACTTAAAGCTATAAAACAAGATGCTTTGCCCATATTGTAGAGTTAAAAAATGCTGCTGTATGTCTTTAACCTTTAAACTCACCCTGTTATCACCCTTGTAATTCTGTGGTATAGCTCTACGTGAAATATTTTGCTTGTTTACGCTCTTTTGTCGCCAAAAGTTGTAAGTGCTGCTGCTGTAGCGCCTTTATATCTCGGTCAGTTCTAAAACAAGCTCTAATGGACGCCTAAATGTTTATTGGGATGTATTGTGTGTAAGGTACCAACCGGCTTTGTACTGGTGTTCAGGTTTGAGGAATTTAGGCGGGATGCGCAAGTGGGCCCGGCGCAGGCGCACGCGCACTCGGCCCGGGCCCTCCGTCGGGTCCAGCTGCCACGACTGCGGGTAGCTGCGCGGGTCGTGCCACACCGCTGCAATATATCAAAATATATAAACGTACTAAACATGGAGGAAATTTATGACTGCATCGGCAGACTTGCAACTGGATTTCACACACGTTTAAAACCATATGGAAAGGATGGAGTAGTGAATTACTCTTACTGGGTTGTATAACGAGAAGCCGTTAAAAAAAGTGGCGAGTTTTTAAAAGAGTAAGACGTTTTTTGTTTTCACGTGTAAATCATTGAATCGATTATACTGAATTTTAAGAGAAAGTGAATGATAAGTTAGATTTTGGGGACAGTCAAAGATTACTTTTTGCCGTCAAAATTAATCTTAAGAGTGGTAAAATGGGTGGTGAAGCTTGGTATGTAATACTAATTAAACTATGCAGATAAAATTGCGGGCATTTACTTTGTTAAGTTTGTAGTAATACTATTTAGTTTTCAAAGTCATTGATGGATGGCGTTACTGTTGTGTTCTATATTTTTCTATGCAAGTTCTCAATTACGATATTTAGTTTGTTTTTAGAATACATTAAAGTTCAATATTGTTTTGAAATAGACAACCTTTGCCATAAATTTGGGTGTTTTAATTTTTTAAATAACTCATAGACTTTTTTAGATTCGAACACAATTTGAAAAAAAACGAGCGAGCCTTACAGTAGTCGCAGATGATGGGTAACATTTGGAACCTCACCTTATATTAGTAAAAAAAGAAATAAAACCTACTACAAAAAGAATAAGCCATTTCAACATTAAGTTCTAAAATCAATTTTTATTTTAAAATCAAATCAAATAGCGCAAGCTTTTCCTGTTACACATTGCCGTCCCATTTCACGAAATCACTCCCACAAATTGCAGGAAAGCTAGAAGAAAGATGTTATACCTCAATAAATGCTAGTGTTTGACTGTAGCGTTATCTACCACGTCTAGCTATGAATCTATCTGAAACATTCATAAAACATCATGGAAAATTGGATAAAATCACATAGGGGGTATTCATTTACGAAAATATGGGTAGAACAAATATTTAAGAGAAATCGCGCCAAAAGTATTTCTTTTTTGTAAAGTAATGGCAAAAGTAAGAAGTCGCGTTACCTCGTTCGTGCGTGTGCGTGTCCAGCACCAGCTGCCACCGCGCATGCGCCCGCGCGCGCGCCTGGTGCTGGCGCCGCATGCGCGCCATGAAGGCCTTGCGCGCCGCGTTCTGCGCCTCCACCACGCGCCGCGTCATGTAGTGTTACCTCGTTCGTGCGCGTGCGTGTCCAGCACCAGCTGCCACCGCGCATGCGCCCGCGCGCGCGCCTGGTGCTGGCGCCGCATGCGCGCCATGAAGGCCTTGCGCGCCGCGTTCTGCGCCTCCACCACGCGCCGCGTCATGTAGTGTTACCTCGTTCGTGCGCGTGCGTGTCCAGCACCAGCTGCCACCGCGCATGCGCCCGCGCGCGCGCCTGGTGCTGGCGCCGCATGCGCGCCATGAAGGCCTTGCGCGCCGCGTTCTGCGCCTCCACCACGCGCCGCGTCATGTAGTGTTACCTCGTTCGTGCGCGTGCGTGTCCAGCACCAGCTGCCACCGCGCATGCGCCCGCGCGCGCGCCTGGTGCTGGCGCCGCATGCGCGCCATGAAGGCCTTGCGCGCCGCGTTCTGCGCCTCCACCACGCGCCGCGTCATGTAGTGTTACCTCGTTCGTGCGCGTGCGTGTCCAGCACCAGCTGCCACCGCGCATGCGCCCGCGCGCGCGCCTGGTGCTGGCGCCGCATGCGCGCCATGAAGGCCTTGCGCGCCGCGTTCTGCGCCTCCACCACGCGCCGCGTCATGTAGTGTTACCTCGTTCGTGCGCGTGCGTGTCCAGCACCAGCTGCCACCGCGCATGCGCCCGCGCGCGCGCCTGGTGCTGGCGCCGCATGCGCGCCATGAAGGCCTTGCGCGCCGCGTTCTGCGCCTCCACCACGCGCCGCGTCATGCCCATCGCATCTGCCGCCACGCGCGACGCCGCGCCCTCCATGCTCCACGCAGCCCTTTATGTATGACCCCGCATTACTCGATATGACAAACGAAACGAATCAGAAGTTACAAGGTAATAATTCGGCCCCTCTAGCGCGTCCCATAAAGACTAAAACGCAATATAAAAACAAACTATGCCATTATACATGCTCTTTTAAATTATTTACACATATAGGTACACATATAACAGTAGTTTATAGAAACTGATTTCTTATTTGATATGCATCTAAATTATAGGCCAACACAGCATTAATATCCGATTTCATCAAAAATATGACGAATTCCTAAAATTAATAATACTGAGCACAACTAAAAAGAGAGAATAAAAAACAAAGCAATTATAAGGCCTGCTGTTAATTGGTCGGATCCTCTCTCTGTTGATGCTGCAAAAGCCTAAACCTCGTATTTGAAGCATTTTCTGCTGAGAACGAATCTAAATAAGCATAATTCCATCAGGAACTATAAAAATAGGATTCTAGATCTCGTATTGAGCCAGCCGAACATCCACTGTAAAGTCAGAGAGTACTCAGTACCTGTTACTGAGTCGGCTTGATGATCATCATCAATAATTAGACATTACTGTAAAAATTGACATAACACCTGTATTAAAGCAGAGAGACGAAACAAGATATGCATTTAAAAAGGCAGATATTGCACACTGCATTGCGGATCTATCCGTGATAGTCTAGATAGGCGATATTGTTTCAAAAGCTAATAAGCTCATGCGATTCATATTTAGAATAACGAAACCTTTTAGAAGACCTTCGAGTATATTAACCCTTTATTTCGCACTGATTAGAAGTACACTCGAATGTTGTTCAGTGGTATGGTCGCCATTTTACAACATCCACATAGATAGAATAGAGGCTATTCAAAGGCGATTTCTTCGATATTTAAGCGCCAAGTTTAGTATGAGGCGTAAGTTGGGCACGTACGAGGCTAGGCTTGAGTATTTTAATATGAGAGCACCCTTCAATCCAGGCGAGACATAGCGAATTTATCGACACTTTTGTATCAAGAACTGCTGTTACTTATGTTGGTGGCCCTTGTAATAAATAAATATAAACGAAGGGTGTAAGATATAATAATCACTAACCTGGCTTGCGCAGGCCTGGCGCGTTCAGCAGCCTTCGCCCATCTTGCTAAATCCTGTCTCAACAATTGGGCGGCTTCGGTAGCGATGCAAGTGCTGGCCAGTCTCTCGGGCAACGAGGCCTGCAGTGAGACCGCCCAGCCTCGAGCCCAGTCCAGGATCGGCAGCTCCACTGCTTCCCCTCCCTGGTCGGCGGCCAGGTGCAGGTGCTGCAGCATCGATAGGAGGTACACCGCGAGCTACGACATACAATACTTTAAGATAAAATACACACGCAGCATCATATGCATTGGTATTTTGTCTTCATTGATTGACGTTTCTGTACTATAATGTAATAGTTTTTAAGTTTATGAAATAATTAATAGTATACATAGAAACAAATAGATCGTACGGCTGATATGATGATGATGATAGAAAAAAAAGTCGATGGCGCAAATGGATAGCGCGTTCAATACCTTCAGCACGAATCAATGTCGAATTCCAATAGTTTGCGAGTGCGAAATGTCATTGTCAAAAATTGTATGGAAATATGTATAGCACCGCCCTAAAGGACGTAACGAAAACTAAAAATCGGTACATATTTGAGAATGACATTTCGCACTCGCAAACTACTCGAATTCGATATTGGTTTGGAATGGAATATTTGTCGTGCGTCATCCTTTTCCCTATGGAAGGCCTGTGCTCCAGGAGGGGGGCAGTAATAGGGTGATGATGAACCGAGTGAAAGCAATAATGGTAACCCACCGTCCTGGTGGTGGGCGGGTCGTGGTGCGTGAGACAGGCCGAGGGCGGCAGAACCCGGTAGAAGGCGCGCGTTTCCCTATGGAAGGCCTAAGTTCCAGGAGGGGGGACAATAATAGGGTGATGATGGACCAAGTGAAATCAATAATGGTAACCCACCTTCCTGGTGGCGGGCGGGTCGTGGTGCGTGAGGCAGGCGGGGGGCGGCGGGGCCCGGTAGAGGGCGCGCAGCAGGGCGGGCTGCAGGGCGCGCGCCCCGCCCTCGGGGGCCCCGCCCTCGGGGGCCCCGCCCCACCAGATCATCTCGAGCAGCAGCCCCGCCCACTCCGCGTTGCCGCCCGACCAGCGCGACCGCGTGCGCGTGCCGCCCTGCACCGCTGCCGGGACCAGGAAACGTATCATTCGACTACAATTCCAGATTTTATTTATTTATTTACATAACATTGATGAAGGAACATATAAACTGTAAATAAAGCATCCGAAGCACTTGGTTTTTTAATAAGATCTTGTGCCCGATTTCAATATGTCGAGACGATATTTAGTACCTTCGAAATATATTTTATAGCACAGTGTGACCTAAACCCGCACTTTACGCACGCTTTTCCGTGACCTAAGTTGCCTATTTCTGCACGGTGTGTAAATGAATTGACCGACTTCACTCATGTACAAAAAATAAAAGGAAACACATTTAAATGTCATTTTGAGCTTAAAAACTCACAGCAAACAAATGACAAATTAGCGATAGGTTAGGAATTTTCAGTGACATCCAAAACAAGGAGAAACGGTTAGCTATAATTCATTCCGCGAGAATTGTATCTTTTGGTCGAAAATGTATTTATATATTTTCACTTTTCTTGTAAACGTTCATGGATACATTGAAATTCTATTTTGTTGTAATGATATTTGATTTTTTCCTTTTGAAATATACTTTCAAAATGGTAATCTGAACCGGAATTCTTTCTTTTCAGAGTTTGAATTGCAGTCTGTATTGCAATTCTTTGTGATTGCAATACACGAATTTACTTTCAAAACACTAATCGCACCCCTCGGGGGGGCCTCCGGCCCCCCCGAACCCCCCTCTTGCCCGCGTCCGGGGCGTTTATTTATTTATTTACATAACATTGATGAAGGAACATATAAACTGTAAATAAAGCATCCGAAGCACTTGGTTTTTTAATAAGATCTTGTGCCCGATTTCAATATGTCGAGACGATATTTAGTACCTTCGAAATATATTTTATAGCACAGTGTGACCTAAACCCGCACTTTACGCACGCTTTTCCGTGACCTAAGTTGCCTATTTCTGCACGGTGTGTAAATGAATTGACCGACTTCACTCATGTACAAAAAATAAAAGGAAACACATTTAAATGTCATTTTGAGCTTAAAAACTCACAGCAAACAAATGACAAATTAGCGATAGGTTAGGAATTTTCAGTGACATCCAAAACAAGGAGAAACGGTTAGCTATAATTCATTCCGCGAGAATTGTATCTTTTGGTCGAAAATGTATTTATATATTTTCACTTTTCTTGTAAACGTTCATGGATACATTGAAATTCTATTTTGTTGTAATGATATTTGATTTTTTCCTTTTGAAATATACTTTCAAAATGGTAATCTGAACCGGAATTCTTTCTTTTCAGAGTTTGAATTGCAGTCTGTATTGCAATTCTTTGTGATTGCAATACACGAATTTACTTTCAAAACACTAATCGCACCCCTCGGGGGGGCCTCCGGCCCCCCCGAACCCCCCTCTTGCCCGCGTCCGGGGCGGGTTTATGTCACACTTGCTATAAAATAGTATACGATACTTGTGGCCTAAGTTGTCTATTACTGCACGGCGTTTAGTACCCTCACTCCTTGGCAACTTAGGTCACGCGTATCGTAATGTACTAATATTTAAATAACATGCTTTAAAGGCCCAAATTAATCTGTATTAAATACACAATGTATTTCAGGTACTAATTGGTTAAGGATGAATGTTATATTGCTGAAAATCTCTTATCTATTAGACAAGTCCGTCCGTCTGTCTGTGGTGCTGTTTCAGCGGCCAAACCGTAAGAGACAAATAAAGAGAATATTTAAGTTATAAGTTAAGAATAGTCTGATAAGACTACAAACCAGATTTGAGTAACGTAGCACTTCCGGTTTTCGAGAAATCAGGTTTTGGTGAACATTTGGTTCAGTGGTTTGCTAGTAAGCTATTATTTGTCGTAAAGAGTATAGATTAAAAACTGTTATTGTGGGTTATCCCTAAGAGATAAATATATACCATTGCGGACATTTTTGTAGACCTTTTAAAGGTGTTCAATACTGTAGTACAGTATTTTGATCGTAGGGTTCAGCCAGCGTTTGCAATGCAAGCGCAAAAATGTGTTTATTTACGACCTTACATTAAAAACCTTTAAAATTATCAGTGTTTCTCTACTATATTATGCATGTATATAATGTAATTTTATTATTATGTAATAATACATTTAAACCTTCCTCTTGAATAACTCTATCTATTAAAACCGCATCCAAATCCGTTGCGAAGTTTTAAAGATCTAAGGATACATTGGGTCATATTGACATACAGCGGGAAGCGACTTTGCTTAATTTGATGTAGTGATTATGTGAATGAATTTTTAATGGATTATTACTTTGAATGTTATTGGTACTTAATAATAATAATTTTATTTTCAATAAGTTGTTACATCATGAACACATTAATTAATCAAATTCTTCAAGTTTTTAAACAATCGTAGATACATAACAGAGATAATAAAAGGTGTATATTAATTTTTGTTTTTTTTTTGACTAAACGTAACAATACTGTAGCATTTACTGTGGGTCTCACACTAGGAGAAACCTGTATCGTGGGCACCCTAATATAATAAATAGGATGGCGTCACATTAATAATTTATATGTAATTATTATTTGTAACAAAACAAACGTAATGAAATCTATTATAAATACTTAATTAAAATCAATATTGTATGTACGTGTATGTCTGTCTATGTGTGTTTCCGTGCGCGTGTGTGTGTTGGTGTGTGTGTATGTGGAGAAGAATAGATATAGTTTGGGATAGGAATGTATCGATGAGATGTTGGTCTTATTTTGTGTGCTTAATAAGGTCCTCTGTTTGAAGGTAGGTCATGCACTTCAGCCTTTTAGTGAGCACGCGTTTGGCTTGTTTCAATGTAGCTGTTTTTATGTCACACAGTTTTGCCATTTTATTATACACATACGGGAGCATGTGACTAGGAAAGCGTTGTGCAAAAGCGGAACGCACTCTGACAACGGGTACCCTAAATACTCTTTTGCATCAGAGGGATTTATAATTGGGTGAGCTTAATACTTGACGATGCATTTTTAAGGAGGCTATCAGTATATACGTAAGTTGACGTACATTTAAGATTTGCGATTCTGAATAAAGACAGTCGGTGGGGTATAAAAATGGTTTCTTTAGCATCGTCTTTAAGACAGCTCGTTGTGCTCTCTCCAAGACTAACATGGCAGTGATCCCGGTTCCACCCCAGACAGGAATACAGTAACTAAGTAGTGACTCCCCGAGACTCTTATAAACGAGATTGAGAATCTCCTCGTCAGCGCAGCTCCTAAGAGTTTTCATAACGTAGATCAGCTTTCTGATACGTGAAGCAGTGGTTTCTATGTGCATCTTAAAAGATAGGTTTTCGTCTAAAGTGACACCCAGATACTTGGCATTTGTAACTCGCTCTAAGCTCTGGCAGGTACAGTATTCAGAGAAGCAATCTGAGTGAATACGTAAGGAACGGGCGAGGGGCGGTTCTGATGCTTTGGTTTTATGGAAACATAAATACTTTGTCTTGGAGGCATTCAAAGAAAGAAGATTGCCGTCGAGCCACTTTTTTAGAATAGCCATTCCCCTTTCAGCCTTATTAAACACAACCTCCCAGCATCTGTCATGAAAAATGGCAATAGTATCATCTGCATAGCAATATATTTCGACATCCCGTGGTGTTGCTTTATGAATATCGTTCATAAAGATAATGAACAAAGTTGGTCCCAAAACACTACCCTGTGGAACACCGAAGCGTACAGGCAGCTCGTCACTGACAAACTCTCCCACCCTTATGCACTGACGTCTGCCAGTTAGATAACTACGAAACCAACTCAAGGGCAAGCCTCTTATTCCAATATTCTCCAACTTTTTGAGTAGCAAGTGTACCGGTACAGTATCAAACGCCTTGGCAAGATCCAGTACAACTCCAATACACTTACTACCTTTGTCAAGGTGATCGGTGACAAATTCAACCATGTTCGTGACAGCATCTTCTGTAGACTTTCGACGTCTAAACCCAAACTGCTTAGAGGAAAGTAAATTATGTTTTTCGAGATACAATTGCAGTCTTTTATTAACAATTTTCTCGAGTATCTTAGAAAACACACCCAGAAGCGAAATCGGCCGGTAGTTTTGGGGAATCTTTTTAGAGCCATTTTTATAGATAGGCACGACTACGGCCCTTTTCCAACTATCGGGGAACATCCCGGTTGCAATACTGAGATTGAGGATGTAAGTAATGGGAGTAATTATTTCTGCCTTAATAGCTTTCAGTAGAATAGGGCTAAATCCATCAATGCCAGCCGCACTATCGCTGCGCCGTGCATCGGTCGGCTGCATGAAAAAGGAAAAAGGAGCAGGGGGATCCAAACGAGGGTCATGCAATGTAGAACTTGAAGTCGTGCTTGTTTGCGCTAGTAATTTGTTTGCCAATCTTTCACCGACGTTTGCGAAGTAGTCATTGCAGATATTAACAGATTCACTAGCGTCACCAGGTTTGAGATTAGTAAGTTCCACAGCAGGACTGGAGTTTCCCCCTGAATTACTTATCCTCTTTATGGTCTTCCAGAGAGCTTTCGGATTATTTTTGTTACTGGCAAGTTCCTTTGATTCGTATTCCCTTTTTAAGTGATGCAAGAGATTCATAAGGTAGTAACGGTACCTTTTGTAGACCAATTCCTTCATTTTGTCATTGGGGTGCTTTCTAAAATCAAGATGGAGCCTGTATCTGTGTTTCGTACATTTTAACAGACCGGAAGTCATCCAAGGCTTGAAGATTAGTTTTGACTCGTGTTTTGGTAGTATGGTTTCTGACTGCAGTGGAAATGATCAACCCAAAATTTTCAGAGGCCAGATCTACATCTTGGGTCGTTATTATACGTGACCAGTCTGCCTGCCTTAGCTCTTCTACTACAGCCTTGTAGTTGATCTTTATAATTTCCTTAGTGAAAAGTTTTGACTTACGATGGGGCATTCCGGTACCAAGCATGCATATGCTATGGTCTGTGATGTCAGTGTGGCCAATCACACCAATCGAGTCAGACGCCGAACACCTCAAGAATATGTGATCGAGACATGATTTTGCTCTTGTAGGGCGTGTGATTGCAGGAACCATAGTGAAATCTGCCAGAAGATCAAGATATTGGGACGTGTCCTCTTCATTTGGTTCAAGAATGTTTATGTTTAGGTCACCTGCCAGTATAAGTGTCGATGAGCGTTCGAATGACTTTAAAGATGAGTGCAGTGATTTTAGAAAAGGTAATATGTCAGAGAAAGATGGAGAGCGGTATACCGCCAGGACAGTGCCTACATTAACGATTTCAATTGATAGGCCCTCCGCTTCATATAAATCCATCTCTTGTACGATTGTATTTAAATTATTTCGAACGTAAACCGTAACGCCACCACATTTATTCAAATTTTTGCTGGTTTGAAATACACTGAATCCAGACATTTGATTAATAATCGGGGTACATTGTAGCCAACATTCGGTAAGAATAATTACATCAAACACAATGTCCAGTCTTTTTAACGCGACCATGAGGGAATCAAAGTTACGTTTAATGCTTCGGATATTTAAAGTTAAGAGTTTAAGCCCATAAGACTCATTGAGCACAGTTTTGCAGTTTTCCAACAAATTGAATTCGTGACATGTTATCGCAAAAGCTTCGTCCATCTCATTAACTTTATCTATATTTATGGACGCCATTTCGGTGATATGAACTTATACAGTACTGAAAAACAGATACACCCATCCAGAACGAAGCCTTTGCGAAGCGAAGCTAAGGGAAGAAATTTCAAGTTGTGCTCATCGAACATTCCTAGTTCAGGGACTAATAAGAAGTATGTGTATTTTGGTATGTATGTGAGAGTGTTTATGAGATTGAGTGTTATGTAAGAGTGTGTGTGAGACTGAAAATGTGTAGGAATACAATGCCAAAAAATATAATAAAATGACAAGTGGTGCTGTGGTCGTTGGAGTTGGAGCCGATCATTGTGGACTGTGAGAGTTTGCTGATATTTCGCCCGTGTTAGCCCCAACTTTATCATTGAGTTCTTGAAGCGTTCGTATGAGTACAGCGGGTGTTTTCTCTGCTTTGCGGACGTATATGGAACCATTAAGAACCCAGCAGTAGCTGTAGTTATGCTGTTTGATGCGTTTCCGAGCTTCACGAAATAAGCCCCGGTTAGACTTGCTTAGGCGCTCATACATGGAGATCTTGCTGGGGGTACCTGGTATTACACTCTCAGTAGTAACTGTACGTCTGGATTTTGCAGCTTTAATCAGTTCGTCACGCTTTGCGCTTCTAAGGAGCTTGACAATGATCGGACGTGGTCTCCAGTCTGTTTTCGTTACTTCCTGGTTCTTTTTAAGCCTTGGACCTGCTCTGCGTATACCATCAATTTCCACCTCCATCAGTTTAACGCCGAATTCATTCGCTATCAGACCAACGGTGTGTTGTAGATTCTCCTGGTCATATTCAGCAACGCCATGGATTTCTAATTCGTTTCGCATACTCCTTTGTTCCTGTGTTGCCACCTGCCACTGTAGGTCTTCAATAGTGCATTTCAATTCAGTAATTGTCTGGCTCTTAAGATCAACTTTTGCCTCCATATAAGCAATTTTCTGCAGAAAAGAAGATGGTATATTTGCTAATTCGTTTTTGAGTTCCTGAACCTCTGATCTCAGTAAGGTGATTTCAGAACCCTGTTGTTTGAGTTCAGCGATTTCCGCTCGCAAATGCCGAATTTCTAGGACAAGCTCAGCAAAGTTTTCTGGATCATTAAGATTTGGGCTCTTGCTTCGATTGCCCCGGGTTACAGTAATGTTACTTGAATCTGTTTTAGTGAATGTGTTGTTGAGACTAAAGGAATTTCGAACTGGGGTCCCCGAATTGTCACGCTTGGGCAGGCTAGCCACACAAATCGGACATGTCCAAGTTTGTTTATGTTGGTCAGAGTATTCCTGATATGTTTTTAGTGGGATGGTTAGGCAATCTAAGTCATATAGTTGCTGACACTTTGTGCATTCCATATAATTTAATGTGAGAATAGGTTTTCCACAGGCGTTACAGGTGGTAGACATTTTGTTATATATGGTATGACCAAGAGTATTAAAATAATGCTCTTTCACAATTATTAAAGTTTCAAGTTTCCAAGTTATACTTTTCCACTCAAACAGGGGCAACCTTTTCAATCGCGGCAACACTGAGATATTGTCAAACACGAATGTGGAGCTGTCAGTTGAATTTGATTACTCAGTTATTACACTTACGAGGGTATTTCTAAATGTCATTGACAGTCCTCAACACACAAAAACAATGAGGGTATATAGTTACAAACCTAAACTCATTGATTTCGGACGTGATTGGTGCTAAAAATCGTGGATAACTGTATTGTGGCACAATCTTACACTGCACTACGTTTCTGTGAGCACTACTTTTTAAAATTGTTAAAGAATTCAAATATAATTAATCAATCAGACTATACGAATGCACAGTTAACAAAGGCAGGGTTGCCAGCGTTTTATTTATTTTTTGTTTTGATTGACATACATTTCTTGACCTAACTCTAAATGTATTTTATAACTGCTGAAAGTATTATATGAATTAAATTTAAATTTATATTTTTTACTAACTAATTAAATTTATCTCTCTGTCTTAAATTGTTATCCTTTTATAATTTTATCAAATTTTAAATTAATATTTGTATACTTTTATTATAATTTGCAATGCCCTTGTAGAGCTCATGTTTGCAAGCTGATATAAGATTAAAGACCTACTTGTAACCAACATGAAGCAATAAATATTATGTCTTATGGCTTATAAGTGTTTTGGAGTATAACTTTTAAATCTGGAACCGGCGCTACTTCCTTTATATCAATCTTTCATATCAAGCGGCGCCGCGCTGCCTGGGACTCCACCAGGGACACCGCTGACGGCACTCACTCACCCAGCAGCAGCGTGTCGACGAGGCGCGCGTGCAGGCCGGCGAGCGAGGGAGAGGGCGCGCGTGCGAGCAGGAAGGCAGTAGCGCGCTGCACGGTGTTCAGGTGCCGCGCTGCCAGCTCGCCGCGCTCCACGCCGCGAGACTCTACCAGGGACACCGCTGACGGCACTCACTCACCCAGCAGCAGCGTGTCGACGAGGCGCGCGTGCAGGCCGGCGAGCGAGGGAGAGGGCGCGCGTGCGAGCAGGAAGGCAGTAGCGCGCTGCACGGTGTTCAGGTGCCGCGCTGCCAGCTCGCCGCGCTCCACGCCGCGAGACTCTACCAGGGACACCGCTGACGGCACTCACTCACCCAGCAGCAGCGTGTCGACGAGGCGCGCGTGCAGGCCGGCGAGCGAGGGAGAGGGCGCGCGTGCGAGCAGGAAGGCAGTAGCGCGCTGCACGGTGTTCAGGTGCCGCGCTGCCAGCTCGCCGCGCTCCACGCCGCGAGACTCTACCAGGGACACCGCTGACGGCACTCACTCACCCAGCAGCAGCGTGTCGACGAGGCGCGCGTGCAGGCCGGCGAGCGAGGGAGAGGGCGCGCGTGCGAGCAGGAAGGCAGTAGCGCGCTGCACGGTGTTCAGGTGCCGCGCTGCCAGCTCGCCGCGCTCCACGCCGCGAGACTCCCCCAGGGACACCGCTGACGACAGCACTACGACATCAATCTTTACTGCTTTCTCTCATTTTGTTAAACACTTACGGCTCGAAGGACCAAAAAATTATAAGAGGCAGCTTTATATCTGATAGTGTTGGAATAACGACCGTATTCAGAGATATGAAACATAACAACGAAATGACTACATTAATCGTTCTACACACACATTAAAAAATCTAAGCAACATGCATCATTTACAGAAACTGTATGTTTTATTCATTGTTGTTTAATTTTCTTAGCAAAGTTGTACGGGTTATATACTTTTAGAGAAGAGATTGAGAGATTGATAAATAGAAAGTCACTGGAGACAATTACTGAGTTTATTAAGATAATTTACACTACTACAACAAAGTCTATAAAAAATAAAATACACGGGACAACTAAAGTTTAAGTATGGTGAAAGAATGGTTTACGTATGGTGAAAAGGTAAGAGTGAGTACGCGCGGTTGGTAAGGCTACCGGATAGACACTAATTATAGATTCAATATTTTATTGTTGCGAAACAATGAAATTAAAATAATTATATAGTAATAAGTTGCGCAGCGGGTCATATTGCTGACGTGTTTACCTACTTATTATGAATACAATGTGCGGCTTAACCCGTACAAAAGTAATTGCTACTACAATCTTTTTAACTCTCCAAAATATAATTATCTTTAAAATAGAAGATTTTCAATAGTAAAAATCGATTAAAAGTTCAAAACTGTACAACATATTGTTGGGACATTTTGATGAGTATATTTCCATCACAAAAATTACAGTATGGACATTAGTAAAACATTTTTTTTTATTAAAAATAAACTTATTATATCTCTTAATATAGCCGTGCATTAAAACATTTATGAGTCAAGTGAGGACGCGTCAGTGAACCTCTTTAAGTAAAGATTAAAATTTAAGACTTGCGAACTATCATATTTTTTGCACCACAATAAATATTTTTCGCAAGTTTTATATAATTTTAAATAATAATCCTGATTCTGCTATGATTTTCTAAATCAGAAATACAATTGAAAATAGAAATGTTCCCACTAATACGCACTAAGTCCGTAGAGTACAGGGTCATGGTCTAATCTCCCTATTCCATCTATAAGGAAGGACTCTGCCACATCAGGGGGGACATAAATAAGCTAAGATGACGGCAGAATGTATCAAAAGTAACAATCACCAGTAGTAAGATACGCCGCGTACGAAGAAGGCGCCGCATCAGCCAGTCTCCGCTCCAGGTGTTCCAGCTGCGCCGTGAACAGCGCCACCTGCGCCTCGCGGCAGACCGCCTCTACTTCCGGGTCCGCGCTGCTCACTTCCACAAACGTCAGCATGTTGTGGATGTCGATTATAGTCTGAAAGTGACGGTACAAAATACTACTATAAATAGGCATAAAAGATAGACTGAGCGTTTCCTGCGCTCTCATTGCCAAGTATGGTTCGAGCCATGCTTGGCAATGAGAGAGCATGGAAGGCTGCCGCCTCCTTCTGCGAGGTTGTGATGGGGCAGAAGGAGGCAGCGGAGAGGGAGCGGGAGGCAGACGCTCTGGCCGCTCCCCTCCGGCGTAGACGGGTGGGCCGAAGAAGGCAGGCGGCTTTGACCGCCGGTCTTCCTCGGCCCTAAGGTGGTCTGGGCGCGGCATGCCAGCCGCGCGTCCTTGGTGCCATTCGGCATAGGCCACCCCGTCTGGGGATTACCTAGTACCCTAGAGTGATCCCCCATAGGCGCGTCGCCCGGTCCACTCGTTGGGCCGGGCCAGCCCGAGGACGCTCTGGTGTAGTGGCGCACGTAGGTGCGCCGATCTCAAAGCGCCCTCAAAAGGGCCGAAAAGGGTACCGGTGGTTTTTAGGCGTTGTTCCGCGCCGGGGAGTCCCACACGCGTCGCGCGCCTGGCAAGCGCGCGGTATGGTGCGTAAATGCATTTCCTGTCCGATTCTAAAGTAAGGGTGCGGCCAGAGTGCACTCAGATTCAGAGTCAGATTCAGATTCTGAAAACAAGCGCGAGAAATAAACAGTGTAGTCGAAGGGTACGGCCAGATTGCACTCCTGATTCAGATTCAGATTCAGACTCAGAAAACAAAGAGCGAGAAAAAGCAAGCAACCTGCTTAGACTACACTGTTTATTTCTCGCGCTTGTTTTCGAAATCTGAATCTGAGTCTGAATCTGAGTGCACTCTGGCCGCACCCTAAAACTGGACAGACAGATATCTGTGACTCCTACATATGCGCGACGAAGCTTTGGATGGCGTTTTTGTTAAATCACAAAAATAAAAACAGGTAAAGCACGCCCGAGTTTAAGGGAGGAGGCGGGGGGGCTCGCAACGTCATTTCTATATAAAACAATGTACCAAGACGTGACGTCATAGACAATTTAATAATAAATAAAATTTTAAAATATTCGTATGCCCTCTTATTAATAAACGAAGATTAAGCTTGGACAAGGTGCTCCATGTTTAATCATAAACAAACTGGAAGAATTTAATGAACAGTCATTGAATGACAAATGTCGTTTGTGTGGTACGAATAAAACGCGGCGTAATTAGTCTAAGCTTGTTCGATGCATTGTAATCGAACACCCATAATTTTGCCTAATAATAATAATAATAATCATTTATTTTCGGATAACAAGGATCCATAGTAGGTTAGTAACAAACAGATTATACTTAAAAACTAATGTTAGTAAATAAACACAATCATGTGGTTTAATGTCACCCTACGATGCCCTCGCCTATATGACTGCATGCAGTCGTATCCAGCGACCTAGCATCGGAGAGTCCCACCGTTCTGCCAGCGCCCTCAGGATGGTGTTGGGGCTGCCGCGTAAGACCGCGTTAATTAGGTTAACACGCGCGTCAATTGATTCAGTGCATTTTTGGTACCGAATGAGTCGGGTGCATTCATCAAACATTAACATTTCAACATACGCGTAAAAACATTATTATCATTTAACTTAAATTTTAGTGTATTTTATAAAGAACTATCTAGTGCAAGTCGGAACAAAGCTTATTCCTCGTTTATTAATAAGGGGGCTAAAGAATTGGCGGCACACTAGCTTTCGCTTTTCCTAGAGTTTTTAATTTAATGAGAATGTCGTTCAAATTCAAACTCATTTATTCAGTCTAGGCTGTTACAAGCTCTTGTGAAAGTCAAGTTGCGTTCAGTCCATACCACAACACAGGTCCAAAGTTAACGTCTATGCTTGTTTGTAGGTATAATAAATTATTAAAAATGGTGATGATGTGTCTGTCCGTTTCCTTTTCATGTTTAAACTGATGAACCGATTTAGATGAAATTTGGTATTAAAATAATTTAGAATAAAGGGTACTTTTTATTCCAGATAACATTATTTTAGGGGCTGAATAGGGAGGTGGAATTTGTATGGAAAACCAATTATTTCACGCAGTTGATGTCACAGACATACACTAGTAATATTGCCGAACCCATTTAGACAAAATTTCGTTAACAGATACTTTGAATCCTGGGAAAGAACATAGGACAGTTTTTACTCCAGAAATCATTCTTTAAGTGGGTTGAAATAGAGGTGAAAGTTTCAAGTTTGTTGCACCTGCATGGCGTGTGGCGCGTGCAATGCGTGTAGAGCTACGCTGGCAAGCAGCTGCTGCAGGTCTTGCTGCAGCAGGCTGCGGCCGTCCTGCAGCTTATCCGCCGCCCGCCCCACGTTCTGCAGCGCTTTCACAACCACTTCACAGAGCGCCACTTCGCTAAGCGCCCGCAGCGATGACTGTCATTAAACAAAAAAAAATTAAATATTATATCAAAGAAAATACAATATAAAGTAGTATGTACACAGATTTTGAAGATATTGCTTACTTAGAGATCTTAAGTTCGAATTATATACTAACATGCTAACGATTAGCTAATGGCTTAATTAAATTAAATTTACCTACACCCATGCTTTTAAACCTCTATAAAATATTCTGAAGCAGCTTATTGCTAACATTAAAACATCCATCCATCGTGTCCTAATTAAAAAAAACATTATAACTGGCAAACAAGTGTTATTACTATGTATGTAGTTAATATTATACTAAATTTGATAAAACACTCCTTCGCTTGTCTAACCTTTCCGCGCAAAAGGTTTACTCATCAGACAGCCACATTCTCATTGCTGCACTCACTTTTGGTATAATTGTTTGAATTAAAAACGGTGTCATTCTGGCGCATTTTAGCAATGAACATGAACTGTTCCAAGTCCATGTTATATTAGTCCCGCGCGCGCACCTTGTCGATGAGTCGCCGCAGCACGAGCGTCATGTTGTGCGCGAGGGCCACATCGGTGACGCTGCCCGGCAGCAGCGCCAGCAGCGGCGGGCAGCGCTGCGTCCCCCCCCCCCCCCTCTCGTTATAATAGTCCCGCGCGCGCACCTTGTCGATGAGTCGCCGCAGCACGAGCGTCATGTTGTGCGCGAGGGCCACATCGGTGACGCTGCCCGGCAGCAGCGCCAGCAGCGGCGGGCAGCGCTGCGTCCCCCCCCCCCCCCTCTCGTTATAATAGTCCCGCGCGCGCACCTTGTCGATGAGTCGCCGCAGCACGAGCGTCATGTTGTGCGCGAGGGCCACATCGGTGACGCTGCCCGGCAGCAGCGCCAGCAGCGGCGGGCAGCGCTGCGTCCCCCCCCCCCCCCCCCCTCTCGTTATAATAGTCCCGCGCGCGCACCTTGTCGATGAGTCGCCGCAGCACGAGCGTCATGTTGTGCGCGAGGGCCACATCGGTGACGCTGCCCGGCAGCAGCGCCAGCAGCGGCGGGCAGCGCTGCGTCCCCCCCCCCCCCCCTCTCGTTATAATAGTCCCGCGCGCGCACCTTGTCGATGAGTCGCCGCAGCACGAGCGTCATGTTGTGCGCGAGGGCCACATCGGTGACGCTGCCCGGCAGCAGCGCCAGCAGCGGCGGGCAGCGCTGCGTCCCCCCCCCCCCCCTCTCGTTATAATAGTCCCGCGCGCGCACCTTGTCGATGAGTCGCCGCAGCACGAGCGTCATGTTGTGCGCGAGGGCCACATCGGTGACGCTGCCCGGCAGCAGCGCTAGCAGCGGCGGGCAACGCTGCGTCCACTCCTCGGTCGCCTCCACCCAGATGTCCTCCTGCAGATTTCACTTTGATCAGACCTTTTAAAGTTCAATTCCTATCCTTTTGAATAATAAGGCCCAAACACATTCGTTGCCAATAAGCCTAGCCTTATTATCCTTTTGAATAATAAGGCTAGGCTTATTGGCAACGAATTAGAAATAATAAAGAAGCATTACTCTCTAAAGAGGCCGCTAAAACATAGTTTCGAACTCATGGAACTAAACTTCAATATTAACGCTACACGCACACAGATAAACAAACAAATTTGACAAATTAACTATCTCCAAATGAATTCGGATACCTATTGATAAGGTACAATATGTTTAACGGAAATTTCAACCAATCCTATGATCGCATTTTTTTCGCCCCGCCCATTTGATCGCTATTTGCTTGGAACCACTTTTTGGCGCAGTTCGTATTACATGTTATTTCTAATTGGTGTGTGTGTGTTTGTGTGTATTATTACAAAAAAATAGTTACATCCAGTTGGTCCTCTAACGGCACATCGCACTTGGTGATGAGCGCCGCGCACGCTGTCGCCAGCTCCCATGTGGTCTCGTACAACGATATCTGCAGGCAACGCTAAACTTAATATACACCGTTTTGCTAATCTAAGTTAACAATACTTCCAAAACCAAATAAAAGTTTTCACAGTCAGGAATCATCTTCTCTTCTTGGCATTAGTGCGTGTATTGTCTGAAATTTAATTCTACGCCTGTGGCCAAAGCCGGTAGTTTTTGATGAGAAGTAATATTTCTGATATTATCGATATTGAGATTGGCACCCGTTCAATTCGCCGAAATACCTCGACGGCTATAACCGTAGCAACAGCCCTGAATAGTAAGTTTGTGACCTTCCGCGGTAGTTCGGGAGCTCTTCCAGCTGTACATACATTGTGCCTTATTCATGACGCATTCCTCACCCCCCAGGGATTGCAAGTTAGGATACGTGAGGCTCCTCCCCTTCCAAATTGCTTGAAATTATATGCGGCGTAGGGTACTTTTCGATGTTGTTCGACGTATGTATAACGACTTTGTGGGCTTAGAGGCGAATTTCAGGTAGCTTTGGAACTTCGGAGTACATGGCACAGGGTTCGGAGTGGACTCGAAAGAAGCGAAGCGAGCGGTAAAGAAGCAAGAGAAGGAGACTTGCAGATGCCGGCTAGCGGTATCACTTTATAGTGGGCACGGGATGGCTGAGAAAGCGACGAAGGCGCATTTGAGTGCGAGAAAGTGCACGAAAAGGCAGAGGGATCGCACATTGTACGCACCTAAGGCGCATGAAGAGGTAGCTAACAAACTCGAGTCTCTACAAATACGCCGCGATGTGGTATCATCAAGCGCTTTCTACCGACTATACTACGGCGAGTGTTCTGAGGAGTTATCGAGAGTTTAAAAATTCTCTCTAATCTGTGGCTCATTCACAATCATCACACAGTTTCTGTCACAAAGTATCTTAATATAATGGGAAATGCATAGATGATACCTGATTTTAAGTAACTCTTGTGCATGAACTTTAAAAACAGGCAACTATTTGTTCTATCACCGATAATTTTAAATATCTTGGCATAGTTATAGATAATACTCTCAGTTTTAACTATCATATAGATCGACTTTCAGGTAGAATTCGGAAATTAATTTTTGTTTTTAAGAACCTACGTAACATTGTAGATAAATCTTTTATTAGTATACCAATATAAACAGTATACCAATCTCTCTGTCAGTCGATTCTAACCTACTGCATAACGGTGTGGGGAGGTACCTGCAAGTCCAGACTTATAACTTTAGAAAGAGCTCAGCGTGCAGTCCTTAAAGTAAGTCATTTCAAACCTTTTCTTTTCCGACTAAAGACCTATATGCTTTAGCTGATGTACTGAGCGTTCGTCAGCATTTTATCCTCAATACAGTGCTAAAACACCACTCTGCAACAACGTTTGACCCAAATCTTAATGCAAATAAACGACACAAACACAAAGTTTGTCATCGTAATAATCAGTGGACAATTGCCTTTTCAAGAAGGTTTTTTGGTTATATAGGCTGTTCTTTGTATAACGAAATTAATAAGCACACTAACATCTATCCGCTATCTAAGTATGATTGCAAGAGAGTTGCAACCGATTGGCTAAAATCTCTGGATTACTTTACAACAGAGAAACTCTTTTCTGTCATCTCGTGAAAGGTACTTAACATCATATAAACATATTTTTCACTTGTACGTACAACAACAAACAGAGACGCACTCATACTACAAAATCTTAATAACACAATTAATCACTATAATAAACAATACAATTCATACACGCACACAATCACATACACCCAAACAAACACACTACCTCTTTTTGTTTTATTTTTTTTCTCATATTTATGTTTATGTATTTCACTTAGGAACTAATATTATTTGAGTTCCTTATAGACGGTTCAGAGGTGGAGAGACTGGTAATCTGTAATACAGGTCTCCTAGTACAGACGCCAGTCTCTCATATAACTAGATTTAAGTATTAAGGTTAAAATAAATGATGTATTGTTATGTGAGAGAAAAAATAAAGGTATTATTATAATCTACATGCTCTATATACTCGAATCTCGGTACATGGCTTGACTTCCCTAGTTTACTATATAACTTACTTCTTTTTTTATTATTTTAATACCTATGTACCTATTGCAAACATAACCTCAAAATCATTCAGTGTATATGGTTTATAGAAGTTCTCAGGGGTGTCCGTCAATAATATTCGTTTCTACAGTAATTTATATATAATTTCGAATCTAGGAAACAATTTTTCGTGATTATTGGTCTTTAGGGCAAACATGTATGGAAGCTGAGCAATCTCCTTTGGTGACTTATTTCTTTGTCGTACTATTCGTAAGTGGCATTCTTTGCCCGCGCACGTGTTGCGTTTGTTTTTTGTTTGTTCGCGACTTCCTGTTACTCACTTCCGTTCCATTTCACGAAATCACTCTCACAAATTGCCTTTCCTGCGAAAGCGAGAGGAAAGATGTTACACATCAAAAACTTGGTCTGCGAGGTGCGTATACAGCAGGTCGGGGCGGGGGAGCGGGGCCGGCGCGCCGCGTATGTAGGCCTTAGATTAAAACAAAACCGGTAGATACGGTACGCTCATACTTGCATCAAACAAAAACTGATTCCACGGCAGCGAGAACGGGACGGCGAGATTCGCGTCACTGCATTACCGACTCGAACGAAAAAGCACGTTAAGTTTCAACGGCAGCGCGAACGAGACGGCGAGATCCGCGTCACTGCATTACCGACCAATCACGCGACCAGTACTCGACGTTACTACCGAATAAGATTCAAAACAAACAGCATTTTTTATGAAAAATATATTTTATAGTACTAACGAATGAAAAATGGTAGAGAATGCCATGTGGCATTAAGTCCGCCATTTGTTGTTAATAACAATAAAGAGTAAATAAAATAAAATAAAATAAATAAATAAAAGTGATGCCGTGGGTTTTATTTTTAGTTCTTGAACAATTTGAGCACTTTTTTAAAAACGCACTTAGGCGTTGTTTTATCATATAAACACATTATATAAGCAATATTTGTCTTCGGCGTTCACATGTACGTCGTTTGCATGTCAAGTCGTGACTAAAGCGATCAGGGTCGTAGACCACAATTGATGCGGATCACTTTTGTGAGGCTAGTGCCGTATCTACCCTTTTTGTTTTAATCTAAGATGTAGGCAGAGTGGGCAGACATTGTACGCACCTGGTCGGCGAGGTGCGTGTACAGCAGGTCGGCACGCGGGGCGCGGGGCCGGGCGCGGGGTGAGGGCGCATGTCCCGGGGCGCGGCGCTGCAGGGCGCTGAGGGCGCGGACTGCAGCAGCACGCACGCAGCCGCTGCGGTGATTGGCCAGCACCACCAGCGCCTCCGCGCTCACCGCGCCGTTCAACGCCTGCCACCAAACACGATAAAAACAATAAATAATCTCTTATCTATTAGACAAGTCCGTCCGTCCGTCTGTCTGTGGTGCTGTTTCAGCGGCCAAACCGTAAGAGATAGATAAAGAGAATGTTTAAGTTATAAGTTAAGAATAGTCTGATGAGACTACAAACCGGATTTAAGTAACGTAGCACTTCCGGTTTTCGAGAAATCACGAATTTCAAACGAAACCACACAAAATCTCCGAAGTTCTCAATTAATTAAATACATTTTTTTTTAATTGGTAAACATTTGGTTCACTGGTTTGCTAGTAATAAATATTTCCAACACTCACACCAATTAGCTCAAAGTAAGCACTGTAAGGCTTGTGTTATGGGATACTAGGGTAACGGATAGAATACATATACTGTACATAAATAAGTATATTTATATAGAAATACATATTAAACATCCATGACTACAGTACAAATGCTCCTATTCATCACACATACATCTGCCCCTGATCTCGAGTCGGCGACACCGTGAAACCTGGCGTACAAACGACTCGGCCACGGAGATCGTCAAAAAAATGATACATTAGCCAAACTATACAGGATGGTCCAATCAGCGACGCCAACAATTTTTTTTAGATTCCTCGCACCTGGGAGTATCCGAATTATCCCATGTATGTTCCGCGATTTTTCTTAGGTTTCGAGTTATATATATTTTTTTTTAATGATTTCTGCCACCAAGGTTTCAAAAATTCATATCTTTTGCGTAGGAGGTATTTGCAATCTTTTTTTTGTGACATAATTTACTTGAATGTTGTTTTAATAAAAAAATGGGTGCGTGTACTTATGTAGGCGCGTGAGAAGTTATCCTTCTTTGGCATCGTTTAAAATTAGTTTTTAATTGCATGCAAATAATTAATTACAATAAATTAATAAAAAGTCTGGAAAAGGACGAAGTCAATGAAGTTCAGTTTTAATTTGAAAAAATAAATAAATAATCAAAATATTCAATTAAAATCGCTACTGAATATAATTTATTAGAACATATTATGTGATTTGCACTTGTATGAAACTCAAACACGTATTCCGAATATACAAACTAGAAACATGTGGATAAATATTATAAATATGAATACCTATAACTGTTACTTTATTACAAAAAATAAAGATGTGGTTTTTGATTCTACTACACCAATGGTCAAGAGATGGCGCTGTAGTCTTCTGAATCGCGCTTTGGTTCCGTTGTTCCAGATTAATAAATACTTTTTGTTACTTTATTACAAATAATAAAGATGTGGTTTTTGGTTCTACTACACCAATGGTCAAGAGATGGCGCTGTAGTCTCCTGAATCGCGCTTTGGTTCCGTTGTTCCAGATTAATAAATACTTTTGATAGGCCTTCACAATGCAGTCGTTAGCACCGACAAAATAGAGATTCTATTTCTATTTTGTTGGTAGATTTTCTTAATGTGCGGTAAACATTATGTTAAAATTTTGTGTTACAGTGATGCGCGCGCATCTTAAAATTTCACTCTCATAATTTTTTCATAACGCGCCTAAAGAAGTATAACTTCAAAAAAAACATACATGGGGTATTTTCGGATATCCCCAGGTGCGGTGGTCCCCAGGAATCTAAAAAAAAATGTTGAAGTCACTAATTGGACCACCCTGTATACATGTAGTTATCTTCTTATTGCAAACGTAGACTTAAGCTAAACCTGTCATTTTTCTACTAAAAAGAAAGACAGAGACAACATTAGGTTTAAACCAAGACTTTAGTCTGCATTTTGTAATAAAGCGGAGTGAGTTGAGATGTTGGGTCAACACTGTCGTGCCAACAATCAAAAACATTGCATTGTTGCAAAGACACAGCATTTTCAATTTATTACAAACTAAAGTTTAACCTGGAGCAAAACTGATGCTTTCACTTTTGTATGCTGCAAAGTACAGACAGATAACTTTAGATTTAAACCAAGACTAACTTTTGTCCGCGTTTTGGAACTAAGGAGAAAATGTAATTGAGGTTCTAAGTGCGACCGTAAGATTAGAATCTCGTCTCGAATACTAATGTTACCCTTACACAATACAAAATATGATAAAATACCTGCGCCAGCTGGTGGTCCCGCAGCACGGCGATGGTGTCCCGCAGCAGCAGCAGCAGCCCCGAGCACGCGATCCAGCCCGGCTCCGGCCCGCGCCCGCACCCACTCATCATATCACACGCACGCGGGGCACATTATGATACAATACCTGCGCCAGCTGGTGGTCCCGCAGCACGGCGATGGTGTCCCGCAGCAGCAGCAGCAGCCCCGAGCACGCGATCCAGCCCGGCTCCGCGCCCGCACGGAGACGCCCCTGCATTATATCATACGCTCAGAACAACAACTCAAGCAAACAAATGGCATTTGAGCGTCATAGTCCAGTCAGTATTGTCGCGAAATCCGTTTTTCCTCAAACAGCTGGAACTATGCTAAAAAGTTTCTTAAGATAGTAAAGAACACTTTACATAGAGAAAAAAATGTTTCCAACCCCGGGCAAGGGTGAAAACCACCCTTAATAATCTATTTTTCCAATTATCTCAAAAAGTATACGAGATACGGAAAAAAACTTCAAATGAAAATTGTAGATCTTTTTGAAATCTACAAAACATTATTCCACCCTCTTGCCCCTATTTTCAATAGGGGAGCCAATAATCGAAGTCAAAGATAACTTTTTTAACTAACTTTAACTTTTTAAGTATTGAATCTTTGACTTCGATTATTGGCTCCCCTATTGAAAATAGGGGCAAGAGGGTGGAATAATGTTTTGTAGATTTCAAAAAGATCTACAATTTTCATTTGAAGTTTTTTTCCGTATCTCGTATACTTTTTGAGATAATTGGAAAAATAGATTATTAAGGGTGGTTTTCACCCTTGCCCGGGGTTGGAAACATTTTTTTCTCTATGTAAAGTGTTCTTTACTATCTTAAGAAACTTTTTAGCATAGTTCCAGCTGTTTGAGGAAAAACGGATTTCGCGACAATACTGACTGGACTATCACTCACATAGGCAATTCAATGTAAAAATTTCCAAGCAAATTATTACCCAACCAAAAGGTATTAGTGGCGTGTTAGCCGATTGCATTTTCATTAATCTCTTTTTGTTCCGGTATTGTAAAGGTAACCAAGGTCTGCAACGGTTCCAACTTCATGTTTGTATAGTCCACAAACAAGATTAAGGTGGAAACATTGTGACTTTCATAATTAATTATATTAAAACTAGAAGGCAAACTTTTTCCTTATTGTACCAATAAAATAATGAAAAAGTGAAAAAGATTGATTCCTGGCGTTTAAAGAAGTCTGCAATAATTAACTTTAAATTTGCACAAAATTACCATTAAACAAATCGAAACACTGGCTACTACGCGCCACTTCAAAATCTTTAATTTGAAAATGCAACAAGCCTTGTTATTTGAAACTTCCAAAGACTTTAAATTACTTACATGTATTCTAATAACAGTACCCTAAGCAGGAACCGATATCAAATTAGAATAGTTGAATCCGATCTCGATACGCGCTAAATGTCAAGAAGTTCTGTATGGAATATTACCAATTCTCGTCACGTCCGCTGTGGCGCTGTTCAAACTTCTTGACATTTGAAGCTCGAATTCAACAATTCCAATTCGATATACGTTCGTGCTACGGGTAAAGTTGTAAGCTTCATCATCATCATCATCAGCCTATTAATGTCCCCACAGCTGGGGCACAGGCCTTCCCTATGGATGGAATAGGGAGATTGGGCCCAGTGCGGATTGGCGGGTGCTAACGACTACAGATGCAGCCGGAACCAACGGCTTAACGTGCCTTCCGAAGCACGGAGGAGTTCGAGATAGTGAATTTTTTCGGTCACCCATCCAATGACCGACCACTGCGAAAGTTGCTTAACTTCAGCGATCGCAGCCGAACGCGCTAAACACTTGCGCCATCGAGCTCATCCTCGAAAATTGTAAGCTTACTTTTAAAAATTAATAAGAAAAACGTAATGAACCGACCTGATGGTAGATGCCGCCGGTGTAGAGGTCGACGGTGGTGTGTCGCACGTCGTCCAGATCTACAACAATGTACTCGTTGAGGTCGGCGTCCCCCAGCCCGCCCGCGTCTGTAACGCCACCGAACCGCACACAACGACACTCGAGCCGCTATCCACTAACGCCCGCCCTCTACCGTCCACGTGCCACGTGCCCAAACATTGGTGTCGATTCTGGCGTGATTCTCTAAACTTAAAACTAAATTTAACATCAGTCTCTCTTTTTCATTCTGTATAAAGAATGACAGGGATGCACTGTTGTCAAATTTAAGTTTAGCTTTAGAGACTCATGCCAGACATCACTAACTACCTTATTTTATATGTGGGAAAGGCGTTCCGCCACCCTGAAATACCGGGAGTAGCAAGAACAGGGTATCCGAGGACTCCTCCCTTGCTTTTTTTCGATGACGGGGAGAAAGAATGCGTTATATCTACGGCAATGACCAACGCCGCGTTGGTTTGCTGTCAAAAAACCCTCACGACGCAGGTAATTGCGTGGTGCATTCGGCAAGTGGCGAGCAGCCCGAGGGCCGCTAGTCGGTGCGGGTATACTTTGACGTGCACTCACGCATACGTGGCATACGTCAAATCACCCCGCCTCCAACCGGCAGCCTGGTCCGCACCGGCTTTATCCTATCACGGGCTTCTCTGTTCACAGCGTCACCTGACTATTTCATCTAGCCCCTTGGGTCAATGAAATGAACAAGGCCCTACCCAGTTAAAAGAGACATTACTCAGCACCGGTCACCCAACGCGCACTAAGAGGACCTAAGGTCCTCCTAATGCGTGCCGAGAGTGCGGGTATGGTATGGTACTGTAACGTCCGTTACGTTACAGCCTCCTTGTTTGGGTAAACTCTTTGTTTATTCAATGCCTACGGCTGGCAGTTATATCAAAAAGTTAATGTCATGATTTTAATATTTGAAATAAGGAATCGTCTATCTTTTGATAGAAGATTTCACATCATATGGACTTCAGGCACCAAACCACTCGTTGATAGATAAAATTTAATAATTATATTCGCCTGAATTCCGATTTAAAATAAAAGAGTTAAACATCTAATTAGTTTTCATTTATACGTTACGCCCCCAGGTTCTACCCCTTCAGGGTAGAACTCCGCAGTACCCTCCAAGAGACTGGTCACGCACCCACCGGTTAAAGCACCAACTGCCTACTCTACTTTACACCATTACCTACAAACTACGATCCAATAGGTCAATATCACAGCGAACTAGTTTTACATTCATAGTATAAAACAAAGTCGCTCGCGCTGTCTTTCTGTAAGTTTATATTTTAAACGACGCAATGGCAATCCATTGCGTCGTGCTTACAATTATGCAGTTTTCGAAGCTATCTTTACAATAGATACAATGATTCAAAAGGAAGGTTTATTTTATTTAAGACCTGGGAATAAAAACTATAGTCTTTACCGAAACGAAGCGAAGCGAAGACTAGTCACTAGTAAGTAATAAAAGTAATGGCCGTAAGGCCATTAAACGGATATGTTGCAGTTTATCCATTTAACAGTAGCTTCATATTGATGCAAGGTGGTTACATATTAAAAAGCATAGATACATTTTTACTGGGCATTAGCGTGACAATTAAACAGTGGAATGTGAGGCGCGATGTCGAGTGCCGCAAGCAAGATGCATGCATACGCGAATATTTTTATTTCATTCATCAGATTAAAAGCTAAATTATAAAGAAAATAAAATAAAAATAGTAGATTGGCAGCTAATTAGTATGCAGACAAGTATTTATAATTGCCTGTCCAGAATATTACACAAAATAAAATAAAACTACGCAACAGAGAAATAAATGTTAAAATAACTTATGAAGATAAAGCTTTGTTTTAGCTGTACACCCAAACCTATGTGTTTTATGGTTCAACATTTAATTTATTTTAAAGTAGTAGTAGTAGTACAAAAGTTTAATTCAATGTACGTGTTAGAAAATCTCAGTTTAAAAACATATTTTTTTATGACAATACCAAGTTAAGCACTTCACACGGCTACTTGTATCTGCCATTTGTATACTTAACATCAGTATATCTTTACCATACTCTATTTTGAATTGAAAAGGAGAAACTGCTGTCAAGTTTCATCATCAGCCTATTAATGTCCCCACTGCTGGGGCACAGGCTTTCCCTATGGATGGAATAGGGAGATTGGGCCATGACCCACCACGCGGGTCCAGTGCGGATTGGCGGGTGCTAACGACTGCAGATGCAGCCGGGACCAACGGCTAACGTGCCTTCTGAAGCACGGAGGAACTCGAGATAGAATATTCTTGGTCACCTATCCAATGACCGACCACTGCGAAAGTTCTACGATCGCCGTCGAATGGGCTAATCCTCCCCTGTCAAGTTTATAAATAGCTAATACGAATAGTCATATGAAGCATATTATAGTATTGAGGAGGCTACAATAGTGAACACTGCTAATAACGCTTTTATTGCCACGCAATACAACTGTTGTTCGATCGAATAGGGATGATCAAGTATATTATCAAAAAATAATGGACAATTTTTTTTTATTTTTTCAATCAACCAAAAATTTAAAAGATAAAGCACGTCAAAGTTTGGGAGCGGAGCTCGTGACGTCACTTTTAGTAAAAACTTACAAAGCGATGACGTCACTCGATATTTCAAATCAATTTTTTTTTGTCATAGTTTTGATTATGTGAAAAAATACGTGTCCCATTACTTTTTGACAATCCACCTGATGGACGAAGAAAAAATAAGTTAACCCATCCACTCGTCTATTGTATCCAGCATTCACCATCATAGCTCCATTGTAATTTTATTGGTTCTATGTTTTTTATCAATTTGTGTTTCAGTATTAGACAGTTGTTGAATGAAATCATCAAATTATAAATAGATCTCGAGTGTAGTAAAAACTCACCAAGTGTTTCCTCGCCATTCTCGGAAGTAGGCGCAGTATCTGCGCTCTTACTAAAACAAAGTATGATTTCGTAAATGTGATCAGCTAATCGGAACTAGTGTGAGTATTTGACAAGTTTTAGAAAACGATCTCCCGTTATTGACTAATGTTTATGGAGTCCGTAAAAAGTAGATATTCATCATTCCGTTGTGTATTTCAGTAAAAATAACCAAATCAAAAACTCCATTTTCAAGTTGCCGCGAAAACGTTTTTCTGGACAATATGGCGTCTTACTAGTGTGTGACGTCACACGACTGTTATTAAAACGTCAAACGATACAATGTAATGTCACTTTAACCGGAAGTTTACTTACGTGTGACGTCATTTTAGGCTCCGCCAATCCCAAGCGTTTTGGGTCACGCGACAATAGATAAGAAAATTATTATCTCTTTCGTAGGTTTTTAGTAAAATTATGAATATTTTTTTGTAAAAATAGTAGGAACCCCTGGCAATATTCATTCTAAACACAGATGCTAACAATTGGCACTTTATTTTTAATACTGTCAAATACCCTATTCTTATGTACTCTAAACATTATATTAGCAGACTGGACTGGACTAATCAATAACAAAGACATATCTAATACAGTGTTTTAAACTTTCATGGTCACTAACATTATAGTAATATAAGTTATTTACGGGATTGTTACCATATACCTTGACACACAAGGTACATATGGTAACAATCCCGTAAATAACTTATATTACTATAAGACGTATCTAAGTTTCAAAAAAGGTGTATGTCCTGTGATGGATGTCCGATAAAGTTTAGAATTTTGTATTAACGACCCAGCATACTGTTAGAGTGGACAATGAAAATTCTGGGTACGGCTGATCTTATTTTGCTATATTGAAAGTTAGCTAGTTTATAATCTAAGGTGAAGGAATGATACAAAACTAAAAAAAAAACAAACAAAAACAATTAAAAATCGAAAATGGAATTAAAAAGTACTAAACAATATCTGGTTCATGATTTGTAAGTCAGGCGGGTCAAGATTGAATGTTTAAATCTTGACCCCGCCCGACTACCAAATCACAAACCAGATACTATTTTTTACTCTTTAGTTCCATTTTCGATTTTGAAGTCTGTTTTATTTTTTGTTGATTTTTTTTTATTTCATCCATTTTAGTGATAATTACATCGTCCAAGTAAACAAATGATGGAGAATCCAATTGACGGAGAAATCGGTGAACATGCATAAAAAAACTTTTTTTTTTATGTTATAGGGGGCATACGAGCAGACGGCTCACCTGATGGTAAGTGATCACCGTCGCCCATGGACACTTGCAACACCAGGAGTATCACAAATGCGATGCCGGCCTTTAAGGAAGAAGTACGCTCTTTTTTGAAGGTTTTTGGGTCGTATCGGTCCGGAAACACTGCTGGCGAAAATATATTCCACAGTTTTGTCGTACGTGGTAAAAAATTTCGACAAAAACGAACGGTTGTGGAAAGACATCGTTCGTGCCTTTGTTTAAAGGTTTCCCTCGATTTCCACGGATTCTACCATCAGATCCTGACTTGGTTCTAATGGGACCAACTCGGAAGTGCACTCTTTCGAATAAAAAATGAAATTTCAGAAATCAGTCCACAATTGACCGAGAAATCGGTAAACATACATAAAAAAAATACAGTCAAACATAGAACCTCCTCCTTTTTAGAAGTCGGTTAAAAATAAGATTTACATTCCATTTCGAACGTAAACTACCTGTTTTTTTATGGATACAAACAATGAAATAAAAAGGACATGATAAATAATTTTAGATTTCTTACTTGCTGCTCTCCTTTATTTGCGTGTTGATAATGCCTTTCATTTCCTTGGTTGGTAGGCCGCTGCTGTCTGGTTCCGTCTTGTCCTCGGGCTCGGCCTTCTTCTCAGGCTCAGTGTTCTTCTCGAGCTCAGTGTTCTTCTTGAGCTCAGTGTTCTTCTCGGGCTCAGTGTTCTTCTCTGGTTCTTTAGTTTGCCCCGTATCAGGCGCAGCATCTGGTTCATTGTCTCCCGGCCCCTCTGGAGCGACGTCTTTCTCTTTTGCCTTACGCTTGATGGAGGAATTTCTTGTCATCTTGGTGAATTCGCTCATCTCCTGAGTCTCTGGGGTCAGTAGAAAGTAGAAGTTGGCCCGCGAGTGTGTCACAAAAGTGTCGCTAGCCTGTTAGCGGACGTTATAATATTAAAAAATAAGATTTCTTGAAAATCAACACATATAAATAAATTTTGAACATATCACAACAATTATTTGGTATTAATCTAAACAGGTGGTCTAATAATAGTTGTTAAAATGAACATAAAAATGCTCCAGTATGCGTTGATGCCCCACGCATCTAGCGGTAGTGTTCGATTATGAAAGCGAAGCAACGTGAGTAATGGGGTGAAGCGGGATGGGTGACCGGCTTACTTTTTTTTATATATAGTTAGGTCCGACAAATGACTCCACCCCTTCTGATGTTAAGTGACGGTGAAGTCCAGACGTGAAGATAGCTGGTACAGTAGTTCTACCTGCCACACCAGCCATCCTCATCCTGCCGGCCTGCATGTTGCTTTTTCACGCCTTTTTTAAAGAATCCCACGAAGAAAGAAGGAGGGAACACGTGAGCGGACAGAGCATTCCATTTACGAATAGTGCGACAAAGAAACGTGTCACCAAATTTCTTTGTACGCGTTAAGAATAGGGATGATGACTAATTTTTTTTTCTTCCTTTATCAGGTAGATTATCAAAAAGTATTGGACACGTATTTTTTCTTTTTTCACATAATATAAACATTGCAGCGATATATTGATTTAAAAAGTCGCATGACGTCACGTTTGAGTACACTTATGAGGGAAAATTCACTCAAAAGTGACGTCACGAGCCCCTACTCCCAAACTTTGACGCGCTATAACTTAGTCATTTTTTGGTTGATTGCCCAAAGAAAAAATACGTGTTCATTATTTTTTGATCATCTAACTGACGGACTAAATAGAATTTCGTTTACTGTACTCCGTCATTACCCCTATTGTGGCCACAGTTAGACGGTGATAACGTAGGCTAGCGCGCTTGGTCCTCCGAAGGAAAGGGGAAGGTGGGATAAGAGAGAATATGACCTGGTGCATGAGCAGCAGGAAGTCCCCCAGCATGGCGAGGTGGTGCAGCAGCGGCGGCGCTCCCAGCAGTCCGCGCACCAGCGCCACCAGGGCTCCGCTGCCGGCCGCGCCCAATGGACCGCAGTCCGAGTTCAGGAACCTCTCCTGATAAACATAATAAGGAATGCATTAATTTTGGTGCCTTATTTTGTTGGTATCGGAAGGTTTTTTTCTGTGCACGTGTACCTTGTTTTTTTCTTCAATACAGAGGCTCAAGCACGAATTTTGACAGCTCCGTATTCTGTCCCCATTGATAAATATATGGGAGAAGCCAATTTGTTCTTTTTCCGTCCGGCAGGGGCGTTGCTTAGTTTCTATAGAAACTTTGACGATGCGATACGAATATAGAGCTGTCAAAATTCGAACTTAGGCCTCAGAACCCTTTAAATTGTCGATTGCTTGCCGCTCCAGCTGGTGGTGGTTGTGCCTCCAGCGCGGGTGATGCAGCCGCAGCAGGGCGCCGCAGCACTCACTGCAGCACACACGCACACACACACACACACACACACACACACACACACACACACACACACACAGAGCGCGGTACGGTACCTTGCAGGCGTGCAGCAGGTGCGTGAGCGCGTGCGCCCGCTCCAGCTGGTGGTGGTTGTGCCTCCAGCGCGGGTGATGCAGCCGCAGCAGGGCGCCGCAGCACTCACTGCAGCACACACACACACACACACACGCACACACACACACACACACACACACACACACAGAGCGCGGTACGGTACCTTGCAGGCGTGCAGCAGGTGCGTGAGCGCGTGCGCCCGCTCCAGCTGGTGGTGGTTGTGCCTCCAGCGCGGGTGATGCAGCCGCAGCAGGGCGCCGCAGCACTCACTGCAGCACACACACACACACACACACACACACACACACACACACACACACACACACAGAGCGCGGTACGGTACCTTGCAGGCGTGCAGCAGGTGCGTGAGCGCGTGCGCCCGCTCCAGCTGGTGGTGGTTGTGCCTCCAGCGCGGGTGATGCAGCCGCAGCAGGGCGCCGCAGCACTCACTGCAGCACACACACACACACACACACACACACACACACACACACACACACACACACACAGAGCGCGGTACGGTACCTTGCAGGCGTGCAGCAGGTGCGTGAGCGCGTGCGCCCGCTCCAGCTGGTGGTGGTTGTGCCTCCAGCGCGGGTGATGCAGCCGCAGCAGGGCGCCGCAGCACTCACTGCAGCACACACACACACACACACACACACACACACACACACACACACACACACACACAGAGCGCGGTACGGTACCTTGCAGGCGTGCAGCAGGTGCGTGAGCGCGTGCGCCCGCTCCAGCTGGTGGTGGTTGTGCCTCCAGCGCGGGTGATGCAGCCGCAGCAGGGCGCCGCAGCACTGCAGCGACAGTTCGAATAACGACCCGCGCCGTACGCCCGCCTCGCCTTCCACTTCCCACTCCACGTCCTAATAATCAATCATTACCCCATTATTATTCACTCGCGGATGCCCGCTACCTACTTTGCCTGCGTAATTTAATTAGATTTCACGTTACACCTTTTAGATGTTTGTAGTGAGCAAGTAAATGAGACACCGAAGTTTATTTAAATGCGCTTTTAAGAGGGAAGACAGGCTTCTTTTCTATACAAACGTTGTTGACAGATTCGCCCATGCTTTTTATCACTAAAGACTGTTTGTATTGAATAGGCTCCGAATCTGCTGGACTGATTTTAAAAAAAATTTCAACATTTACAATTTTCAACAAAGTTAAAGTTCTCTATAAAAACTTCGACAATGTTCCCCAACGTGTGAAAAAATAACCTTATATCACGTACGCAGTGGAAGTCATTGACAATAGTGATAAACTAAAGTAAGTTAAAGTGATATACTAAAGCTTTATAGAGGACATCAATATCTATAAAGTCCGCGATACCATATGTCTAACTATTACAGTTATGTCACAAGTAGAGGTTCCTTTCGGTTTCATCCGTGTTAATTTGAAGAAATAGGTTATACTGAGCCAAACCTAAAAGATGGCATTATCTGTCGCGGACTTTTTTTTATAGAAAAAGGAAAACAATTCCGTCATACGTGATTTTTGTACAACTTTCACCTTTTACGCGACGCACGCAACTGTGGTTCGTATGCGTAAACCAGAAATAATCAAAAAAGTGTCGTGTCGCGATCCGATACTGTAAGTGTTGTGTGTCGAGAACAGTTTCGAGTGAATAGTGAGAATGTGAACAGTGATACGGGTATCGAAGGCAATAAAAGACTTCGTCGCAGGGTAGAACGATATGTCTGCCAAAAACAGCCTACCCGCAATTACTTCAGTTACTCCGTGATCATGGCACTTGCAATTGTGCCGAAATATCGGAAATTCGCTAAAAACAAGGTACTTGGTAACAATCCCGTAAATAACTTATATTAATATAAAATGCATTTTTCACAACATTTTTGCCGATATAACTTAGTTAATATTATTCGTGCACGTTTAACGACCGTCACTAGTGCCTCAATGTCCGCTTCCTCTAAGTAGATGTGTAAATAGTACCAAGCTGCAATGCCTTATAGCATTTCATACCTGTATCCTGTCGAACTGTTTCCAAGCCCGCAGAATGAGCGCGATCAGCTCGGGCTCCAGCAAGGCGGCCGTAGTCTTAAGCACCGTCAGCACGCCTCCGCCGCCGATGTTGAGTATTGGCGCGTTGCAAGCTTCTTCTAGTATCACCTAGGATGAATTTTAAAATTATATGACAAAAATCATATCGATCCCAACTTAAATGGCTTCCTGTTCGCCAGCGCAGGCAGTTAAGATTAATCTGCACTCTTTTTACCATTATTTCCAACCCTCATTCTCCAGAGTACTTGAAATGCAAGCTTCAGTATCTCTGTGATAGTCACGACCGTTCTCTCCGCTCTGCTGATTCATTAGCTCTCTATATTCCTCTTTCTCATTCAGGCTATATGTCCAACTCCTTTACTCTTCAAGTCATACGACTGTGGAATGACCTTCCCGACTCCATCAGAAGATCTCCTAGTAAACTTATATCACTCTTTAATCATGATCAGTATATATTATATGTATCTCTCTCTATATATATATATATATATAAATATTAGTGTGTTATGTATGTATTATATTATTTTTATGGTATGTATTTATATATGTATCTATGTTATTTTGTACATATATTCATATTTAGCTTTATACCGCCGTTCGTGTATTTTCATTTTTCCCAAAGGTTGACTGGGAGAGAATGCTTTTAGTATTAAGTCCGCCTTTTGTACCATTGTTTATATTTTGGTCTATAAAGTTTAAATAAATAAAAATATACAATTTATTTGTTTTTACGAACGCAAGCGTCCACATGCTGTAGAATAATTTGTCTCGTTACTGACTATTTTCTAATCAGAGTGCATCTCAAAAACTATTTTCTATCGGTTACAGATCAATCCGTCGACAAAATCACCCGCGTCAACGCCCCTCCGCAGCTAGCAAACTTGCACACTAGCTTAGCATTAGGCAGACACCGCACCCGTAGGATAAGAGTGTGAAGACTCGATCTACACACGACACGCTATGCCAGGTACAGGTATAGTGGCACAACTGCTAACTAGAGGCCCGAGCCTCGGAGACATCCTTTAGTTGAGCCGATCCCTCAGGTTCGAGTGGTCTAGAAGCTCCAGACGACGAGGAGACTACGCCCGTGGGGAGATGCCATCCACTTGGAGTACCACGAGATGCATTCGCTAATTCTCGTCTTGGGGTCCCCTTAGGATCTCGCCGTCCCCAAACCCAGTGATGCGGTAAAGGTCATCTGTGACTAACAGCATACACATTCAAAAAAAACACAGCGCAACGCACACGCCCACCCGCGCACCTCGTTTCCCCCCAACACATTTTAATTATCAATTCTGCGCAATAACGATCAGCGCTTGTTTCGTGCCGCGACTTAGGGCACGCGGCGCGAGTGGGTCACCACACTCACCATGAGCAGGCGCGGCGCGGGGCGCAGCACGGGCAGCAGCGCGTCGAGCGGCGGCGCGGCGTACAGCGCGTGGTACAGCCGCACTCAGCGCGGCGCGAGTGGGTCACCACACTCACCATGAGCAGGCGCGGCGCGGGGCGCAGCACGGGCAGCAGCGCGTCGAGCGGCGGCGCGGCGTACAGCGCGTGGTACAGCCGCACTCAGCGCGGCGCGAGTGGGTCACCACACTCACCATGAGCAGGCGCGGCGCGGGGCGCAGCACGGGCAGCAGCGCGTCGAGCGGCGGCGCGGCGTACAGCGCGTGGTACAGCCGCACTCAGCGCGGCGCGAGTGGGTCACCACACTCACCATGAGCAGGCGCGAGTGGGTCACCACACTCACCATGAGCAGGCGCGAGTGGGTCACCACACTCACCATGAGCAGGCGCGGCGCGGGGCGCAGCACGGGCAGCAGCGCGTCGAGCGGCGGCGCGGCGTACAGCGCGTGGTACAGCCGCACTCAGCGCGGCGCGAGTGGGTCACCACACTCACCATGAGCAGGCGCGAGTGGGTCACCACACTCACCATGAGCAGGCGCGGCGCGGGGCGCAGCACGGGCAGCAGCGCGTCGAGCGGCGGCGCGGCGTACAGCGCGTGGTACAGCCGCACTCAGCGCGGCGCGAGTGGGTCACCACACTCACCATGAGCAGGCGCGAGTGGGTCACCACACTCACCATGAGCAGGCGCGGCGCGGGGCGCAGCACGGGCAGCAGCGCGTCGAGCGGCGGCGCGGCGTACAGCGCGTGGTACAGCCGCACTCAGCGCGGCGCGAGTGGGTCACCACACTCACCATGAGCAGGCGCGGCGCGGGGCGCAGCACGGGCAGCAGCGCGTCGAGCGGCGGCGCGGCGTACAGCGCGTGGTACAGCCGCACTCAGCGCGGCGCGAGTGGGTCACCACACTCACCATGAGCAGGCGCGGCGCGGGGCGCAGCACGGGCAGCAGCGCGTCGAGCGGCGGCGCGGCGTACAGCGCGTGGTACAGCCGCCCGTCGCCGCGGCACGACTGCAGCACGATACGCAATGCGCTGGCCTGCTCCTCCGCTGTCGTCTCCAACTCCACCACCTATGCAATCATAATGCATCACATTATAAAATGACAAGTTTAGCTTCCGACTAACTAAAAGTTTTATAATAATAATAATAATAACTTTATTGCTTAAAAAACTGTGTACAATTATGCAGTTGGAATTGCAATAATAACATAGTCACAACAGTGTGCCCATAACGGGCATGCAATGGTAAAATTTATAACTTAAAACTATCTTAATTTAAAAAGTACATTTTAGAGCCTAAATTATATTAAGTTTTACAAGTATAATATTCATCAAGATTATAAAAAATATTATTTAATAACCAGTTTTTTAACTTAAATTTAAACAGTGGCAAATTGTACGCTTTAATTTCTGCAGGCAAATGATTGAAGATCCTAATGCTAGTACTGAAAGCGCTACTATAATACAAGTGATTATTTATCCTAGGTATGCATATATCGTATTTGTATTTATTACGCGTATTCGGACGTAATGTGGTTTTATTTTCAAAGTATTCTGGATTTTGTTTAATAAAAATTGCTGATTGTAATATATAAATATTGGTCAAAGTGAGATAGCCCTTATCCTTAAAAACATTTCGTAACGTTTCATCTGAATACATATTATATATTATGCGTAAACAACGTTTTTGCAATAGGAAAATGGATTGAACGTTCACTGAATTACCCCAGAACATCACACCATAAGTCAACAGCGGGTAAACTTGTCCGAAATAAGCGGCTCTGGCTACATCTCATCATCATCATCATCATCAGCCTATTAATGTCCCCACTGCTGGGGCACAGGCCTTCCCTATGGATGGAATAGGGAGATTGGGCCATGACCCACCACGCGGGCCCAGTGCGGATTGGTGGGTGCTAACGACTGCAGATGCAGCCGGGACCAACGGCTTAACGTGCCTTCCGAAGCACGGAGGAGCTCGAGGTAGTAATTTTTGGTCACCCATCCAATGACCGACCACTGCGAAAGTTGCTTAAGTTCAACGATCGCAGCCGAACGCGCTAATCACTTGCGCCATCGAGCTCCTCGCTACATCTACTACATCTACTGATGTTGTTTCAGTAAGTATAGAGAGTGCATAACAATGACTACATATTTTTTTGTGTATTTTTTGAATATGGTCTTTCCAGTTTAAGTGAGAATCAATAGTGACGCCAAGAAAATTAATTTCGTCAACTTCTGTTACTTTTGTATTGTTTTGTGAAATTTGTAATTTATAAGACAATGTTTTGTAGTTTCTGAATTGAATAAAATTTGTTTTAGTTAAATTTACACTAAGATTTACAGATTTGAGCCAGCTTACGATTGTTTCCAATGTTTTATTAATATGATTTTCAAAAAGAGTTTTATTATTATATAAGTCTGGAATGAAAATTGTTGCATCATCAGCAAACATAACGCATAAATTGTTAATAATGTCTGGTAGTTCATTAACATAAACTAAAAATAGGAGTGGTCCAAGAATACTTCCTTGGGGTAAACCAACTTTTACCTTTTTTGTTTCCGATTTTACTTCCTCAAATATTTTACTATTTTTGTTATATGAATCTACCACTGTAAACTGTTCTCTTTCTTTCAAATAACTTTCTATTAGTTTTAGGGCCAGGCCACGCACGCCTAAGTTATCCAATTTACGAAGCAAGGTATCATGACAAACGCAGTCAAATGCCCTGGACATATCTAGGAATAGTCCAATACACGGAATTTTATTATTTAATGATTCCCATACTTCTTTCAGGACTTTGTAAATAGCATGTGTGGTTGATTTCTTTTTTTGAAAACCAAATTGACATTTGTTAAGTAAATTATATTTGTTTAGGAATTGCAACAGGCGGGAATATATGACTTTTTCAAATATTTTTGAGAAGCAAGATAATAATGATATGGCTCTATAATTTTTTACATCTTTTTTACATCCTTTTTTAAAAAGTGGTTTAATTTTTGCTATCTTTAATTCATGGGGGAAAGTTCCAGTCTCAATCATCAGATTTAAGATAAAGACTAGTGGGTTGGTTATATATTCAATTGAGCTCTTTATAACTTTAATTGGTATATTATCATAACCACAACTTCTTTTGTTACCTAAGCTTAAAATCAGTTTCTTTAATTCATATTTATCAACTGGTGACATAAATAAAGTTCGTGAGTGGTTTGTGGGGATGCTATTTTTAGAAGAATTTTTGTTTGCTGTACTGGATGAAATGAAATGATTATTAAAAGTTTCAGCAATTTTTTGAGCATCAGATATTTCAACCTTATCAACAATAATTTTGTTTATTGTATTTTTGAATGTATTTTGTGGTCGTGTCTGTTTTTTTATAATATTCCATCTTGCTTTATTTTTATTATCACTTTTATTTATATATGTAATATTATACTTTTGCTTAGCTAATCGAGTTACACTTTTGAATATTTTGCAGTATTTTTTATAGTGAGGTATAAGTGAAGAAGATTTTTTATGTATTATTTTATGATGTAACTTTCTTTTTACTTTACTTGCTTTAATTATACCTTTAGTCTGCCACTTTTCTTTCATATTGTAAGAAACCTTTTTTCTTTCTAGCGGTATACACAAATCGAATATCAACCTAAACAGTTCAATAAATACACTAAAAGCAGATTGAACATCTTTGCATTGGTACACCTCCGAAAAATTTAACTTAGACAGATGCTAAGAAAGGATGCAAGTGCTTATCAATGTTTCTTTTGTAAATATACCAATATTTTTCGACAAAACCTTGATTACATGGTACATTTATTAACTGACCAGAGTGATCAGACAAACCAAGGTGAAGTACTTTGGCAGTGAAATTTTTTATGTTAGTTATAATGTTGTCCAGGCACGTAGCAGAGTCAGCGGTTATTCTTGTGGGCTCTTTAATAGTTAGAAGCAGATTATACTTTAAGAGAGTATTTATGAATAATGTAGATTGATTATTGTTTTTCAGGGTATCGACGTTGAAGTCACCTGTAATTATAACTTTCTTTTTGTTATGACGTGAACGTGATGTAATTTTAAGTAATATTTCATCTAAAGCTTTTATAAAGATATGAAAATTCGAGGTCGGTGTTCTATATATACATATAACTATGCAGTCTATTTCTGGCAATAATATTCCACAACATTCAAAATGTGATTCAATGCTAACTGAATCTAAGCATTGTAATAAGTTAAAGTTAATATTATTCTTTACATAAATACCGACTCCGCCTCTCGCTTTGGTTCTGCAATAGGAAGCCGCCAATTTATATCCAGGTACCTGTAATACATTTGAATTTCTGCATTCAAGGAATGTCTCACTTAAGCACAAAATATCCACTGATTTGGCAGACAACATTATTTCCAGCTGATTAAGTTTTGCTCTAAGACTCTGTATATTTTGGTGAAATATATTAAGGGAAGTTGAAGATTGTTGCTTGTTAACATTGTCAACATGAATACCAAAATTTTTTTTATTTGCGAAAGGAATTAATTTTATTATTATTTACTAGGGTTGCGGAACAAGATGCTGTTTGCTGTAATAAAGGATTTTTTACTGCATATGAGTCATGGTATGTTTCTTCGGCAATACAAGACATTAATTTGCTCAAGTCACCCAATAGTACCTTAATACCCTTAATATTAATCCTTCCAGAATACCTTGAGAACATGCTATATTCATAATTAAGATTTTTATTTGAATCCAGGACAAAACAGTATTCATGTATTTTATTGTCATTAAATAACAAATCATTAAACATTTCAATTCTATTATTAAACAAATTAAATGAATTTTTGAGCTTAAAATTAGGTACACAAAGTATTACATTAGTGTGCTGTACAGTTAATATTCTCTGTCTTAACATTTGAACAATATTATTATAATTTTGTGTTATATTGAAATCAGCTTCACCAATCATAATAATGCAGTAGTCGTTTAGATTAAATCCTTCTAGCTTTACATGCAGATTGCTGGAGAGCTCTTGTACTCGTCCTCCTGGTATCCGATAGTGGAAATATTGAGTTTGTTTTCCTAGCATGTTTCTCACTATATTTGAAGTTTGATTCCTATGAATGCTACTTATTAAGCATATCTTAGACTTGGCCTGAGTACTGTTTTCTGTTTCCGTGATTGAGGTTTCAGTGACAGAACCTATTGAAGACTCATTATTGGAGTCTTGCTGGAAATTTTTGATTTTATATTTTTTCCGATATTTACTTATGGGTGTAGAAACGCAGGGTTCGTTTGTTTCGATTTCCGATCTCTGGTGATTATTAATACTTTTTTCTGAAGTAAAAAGTTGAATAATTTTTTCTTGTTCTTCATTTTGTTTTTTTAGCTCAGTATTTTTCATTCTTATATTCTCTATCTCATTGTTTGCCATTGCTAACTCAAGACGTAATCTCTTTATTTCTATTTTTAAATCATGCATGCCAGAGTTAACGCAGGTAGCGACATCTTTTAAACTATTTGAGCTTATGTGAAAACTTCTGCTGCTACAGGGGAGTGACTCATCGAGTGATAAGTACGATGTTGATAAGTCAGGTAAGGACTTCTGTTTTTTGTTTTTTCTAATCGTCACAAAATTACGTTTTGGTGTTTCTTCTGACATATCCGTTAAGGATTCGAAAGAATTTCTTGTAGATACATTAATTTGCATGCTAGGCGAATTTAATTTAGGTTTAAATCTGCAGTTATCACATACGCTCTTTTTTCTGTTTTCAGGAGGCATCAGATAAAACATCTTCTCTCCTATACTTGTACAGTCGAGGTGGAAATAATTTCGACAGTTCATGCATACAATAAAATCTCTTTTCGTAATTGTATTTTTGCACTTATCGCAAATAGAGAGGGACATCTTGCGGAGCAGTTTATTTTATCCTATGCACCAACACTCAAAAGCAAGTCAAAAGCAAAGCAAAAAAGTCATATATTATTTCCACTTTGTTACCACAGAGGGCGCTTGAATAGATATATTGTTAAAAGTTCATTTAAAGCCACAAAAAAGTTTTATTTACACAATTAATGTTATTTATATTTAACTTTTACTAATTCAGTGTTCAGTATTTTGTTTACTATTTATTTAGTTTTATTTTCACTGCCTTCCAATATTTTAATGATCATCGATTACTTTACACTTTTAATGTTTTTTTATTTTTATTAATAATATATTAATATAGTGATATCTACAAACACACAGAAGTGTGTTTAGATTGACCTTATTTATCAAAAACAGTGCACGAAATCTATTTACTGGTAAACATAGTCACTTAATAGAAAATTCTGTTTGAGCGTTCAGGAACGTGCTTTGTTCGCTAGATGTCACTAGTCAATATGAAGTTAAAAATTATATTTTTATTTGGAGGCAACTTTAAATTTAACGGAACATAAATTATGTTCAATAGCAAACAAAGCTAATACTAGCATGAAATGTATGTATTATGTATTTATTGTTGGTTCACTTGGTCACTTTAATGATTTCACTCGGTTTAACCACAGTGTTTACAAGTTTTTTTATCACTTTTTATTAAAAGTCTCCCGTAACAGTTTTATAATTGTTATGTAATGTTTGCTTTATATTTCATTTGAATAACACTTTCACACTAAGTATAACAAACGATCTTCACATTAGATCACTTTTTACAACGTTAACTTTACTTTTTTTATAAGTTTAAGAATTAAATATACGGAGCAGTTGTTTACGTGGGAGCAGCGCCCTCTAATATTTGGATAGTAACCTACTGTTATCATATATTTTTATTATTATTCAAATATCACTTATTTTTCGTAAAATATCGTTTTCTAAATATGCAAATCTACACTAAGATCCACTTGCAATAATTTTGCTAATTTCGATTCAACTTTAACTAGATTAAACCCATAAAGAGATGTCAAAACGTCAACAATAATTTGATATTGACCGCAGCGCTATCTCACTCGACGCGCACGCCTCCTCTACTCGCGCGCAGGTCCCCATCTAGAGCTCGCAGGCGCAGCGCGTCCATTCACCGCCCTAGTCGCCCCTCGTCGCCTCACCCTCACCTCGCGTACAGGTACAGCAGGTGCGGCGCCCCCCCAGCGCGTGCAGGGCGGCATAGAGCCCCTCGCGCCGGCGCAGGACCGCAGCCGCGCTCCATCTCACTCGCACGCCCTCCTATATAGTGAGGGCAGGTGCCCCCAGTACCGCCTCGCCCTCACCCTCACCCTCGCGTACAGGTACAGCAGGTGCGGCGCCCCCCCCCAGCGCGTGCAGGGCGGCATAGAGCCCTCGCGCCGGCGCAGGACCGCAGCCGCGCTCCATCTCACTCGCACGCCCTCCTATATAGTGAGGGCAGGTGCCCCCAGTACCGCCTCGCCCTCACCCTCACCCTCGCGTACAGGTACAGCAGGTGCGGCGCCCCCCCCAGCGCGTGCAGGGCGGCATAGAGCCCCTCGCGCCGGCGCAGGACCGCAGCCGCGCTCCATCTCACTCGCACGCCCTCCTATATAGTGAGGGCAGGTGCCCCCAGTACCGCCTCGCCCTCACCCTCACCCTCGCGTACAGGTACAGCAGGTGCGGCGCCCCCCCCCAGCGCGTGCAGGGCGGCATAGAGCCCCTCGCGCCGGCGCAGGACCGCAGCCGCGCTCCATCTCACTCGCACGCCCTCCTATATAGTGAGGGCAGGTGCCCCCAGTACCGCCTCGCCCTCACCCTCACCCTCGCGTACAGGTACAGCAGGTGCGGCGCCCCCCCCAGCGCGTGCAGGGCGGCATAGAGCCCCTCGCGCCGGCGCAGGACCGCAGCCGCGCTCCATCTCACTCGCACGCCCTCCTATATAGTGAGGGCAGGTGCCCCCAGTACCGCCTCGCCCTCACCCTCACCCTCGCGTACAGGTACAGCAGGTGCGGCGCCCCCCCCAGCGCGTGCAGGGCGGCATAGAGCCCCTCGCGCCGGCGCAGGACCGCAGCCGCGCTCCATCTCACTCGCACGCCCTCCTATATAGTGAGGGCAGGTGCCCCCAGTACCGCCTCGCCCTCACCCTCACCCTCGCGTACAGGTACAGCAGGTGCGGCGCCCCCCCCAGCGCGTGCAGGGCGGCATAGAGCCCCTCGCGCCGGCGCAGGACCGCAGCCGCGCTCCATCTCACTCGCACGCCCTCCTATATAGTGAGGGCAGGTGCCCCCAGTACCGCCTCGCCCTCACCCTCACCCTCGCGTACAGGTACAGCAGGTGCGGCGCCCCCCCCCAGCGCGTGCAGGGCGGCATAGAGCCCCTCGCGCCGGCGCAGGACCGCAGCCGCGCTCCATCTCACTCGCACGCCCTCCTATATAGTGAGGGCAGGTGCCCCCAGTACCGCCTCGCCCTCACCCTCACCCTCACCCTCGCGTACAGGTACAGCAGGTGCGGCGCCCCCCCCAGCGCGTGCAGGGCGGCATAGAGCCCCTCGCGCCGGCGCAGGACCGCAGCCGCGCTCCATCTCACTCGCACGCCCTCCGGCGCCGCGCTCGCACCGCCCCCGCCACTAGACCCGCGACCGCCGAACACTGCATGGAAACACACACGTAAAACAAATAACCAAGACATAAACCCAAATTTTGACAGCTCCGGTATCGTATCGCATTGTCATACTTTCTATGAAAACTAAACAGCGGCCCTACCAGACGAAACAACAAACGATGACGTAACGATTACGGGGCTGCCAAAATTCGTGCTTGGGCTTCAGATGTTTGGAAAAATCAGTCATCTTCAACGGGCTGACTTTCAGTGTCAAGTGGTTTACTATTGAATAATTCTACTTCAATAACCCTGGGTGTCGATTCTGCTACACTAACGTAACAAACCGTATCTTAGTAGTGACTCCATAGTTTCCAGTTTTGACATAGTTCTTGTTACTAAATCATAAAACAACAAAATAATGTTTAAGTATCAAAATAAAAAAAGGAGTGTGTTTATGACCACACAACTGAAGTGAAACTTCTTTAGCTCCATCTGTATGGGTGTATAAATATATATATATATATATATATATACACAGTCAGGTCATAAGTATTGTTATACAGTAAAAACTTTTCTTTTAGAATGCTGGCCACAAAAAAGTTTATTGAATTCGAATTTCGAATTGTCCATGAAAATAAAAATGTATACTTTTTAGAATTTCACTCATTTTTAAATATGGAGTGAACGCTTAAAGAAGACCGTGTTGCAGTTATTGCGTTGCATCGTTGCGGTTACGCGCCAATTCAAATTTTTGACATACTGAAAATTTTGAATATAAGCAAAAGATTCGTTTATCGTACCATCAAACGATACAATGAAGACTCTAGTGTAAGTGACAAGTCAAGAAGTGGTCGCCCTCGGTCTGTTAGGACTCCAGCAGTGATAAAAGCTGTAAAGGCGCGAATTAATTCAAAGAAATCCCAAATGTAAGCAGAAACTGTTGGGCGTTCAGATGGGGTTAAGCAGAACCACGGTGAAAAGGGTGTTAAACGAAGACTTAGGGCTTCGGGCATATCGAAGAAAAACAGGACATCGTTTGAATGCTCGTCTAATGGACCTGAGACTGAAGAGATGCCGCGCTTTGTTAAAGCGGTACGCGGGAAAAAAATATCGGGAAATTCTTTTTTCGGATGAAAAAATTTTTACCGTAGAAGAGAGCTACAGCAAACAAAATGATAAGGTGTACGCACACAGTAGTGAAGAAACGAGCAACCGTATTCCGCGTGTCCAACGAGGTCACTTTCAATCCTCGCTCATGGTATGGTTGGGAATTTCTTATTGTGGCTTAACAGAGGTACATTTTTGTGAGAAAGGTGTAAAAACGAATGCAGGTGTGTATCAAAATACAGTCCTGACGAACCTTGTGGAACCTGTTTTTCATACCATGTTCAATAACAGGCACTGGGTATTCCAACAAGATTCGGCGCCAGCTCATAAAGCGAAGAGCACACAAGACTGGCTGGCGGCGCGTGAAATCGACTTCATCCGGCACGTAGACTGGCCCTCCTCCAGTCCAGATTTGAGTCTGTTAGATTACAAGATATGGCAACACTTGGAGGAAAAGGCGTACTCAAAGCCTCATCCCAATTTGGAGTCACTCAAGACATCCTTGATTAAGGCACCCGCCGATATTGACATGGACCTCGTTCGTGCTGCGATAGACGACTGGCCGCGCAGATTGATGGCCTGTATTCAAAATCACGGAGGTCATTTTGAATAAACTTTATCGTCCTAAGAATCTATATTTTGTTAACTTCATTTTGGTATATAAATGGTTACATAATGAATAAACTAGGGAAGATGCAATATTTTTATTTTTGTTTTCATTTTAAAGAATTCCATGTAGAATAAACCACAGATATATTAAAAAATTAAAACATTGTGATTTATCGGAAAAACTGCGGTTTTAAATTGACAATTTAAATTTTCGCGCGAAAACGAACCTATGTTTGCGATGACGTCACTCCAGTCTGTCACTGGTCGTACTTGTTCGTTGCTGGCTTTAAATTTTCATACTTTTGCATATTTTTTTGAATTTCGAAATATTTTTTTGAAAAAATTAAAATGGACTATTCATCAACATCATGTGATCATAACAATACCACTAATATTCCGAAAAAAAGCCGTGTTGATTCATGTTTTGTGCCAATCTACTTCAACAAAGTTCCCAAATAAATTGCTTTTGACTGGAACTTCTGACCCAAAACTGAAAGAAAATGTGCGCGCGCACTGCTTTCTCTTGCTTATATCCCCCACTCAACTCCCGTTCGCCTCGCCCGGACACACTTTTCGTTACGCATTCGCCAGCTTATCCCCCAAGCAGTGCCGTCTTTGACCTATTGGATGCCCTGGGCATATTAGGATAATGGGGCCCCTATGACTTCCCTTTGGTGATTTAACAGGAACTAGGAATCAAATACAAAGATTTGATCTGAGGGGGCCCCCTATAGATCGCGGGGCCCTGGGTATTTGCCCTAAGTGCCCACTGGTAAAGACAGGTCTGCCCCAAAGTCAAGCGTGCGGGAAGTTTCACTTCAAAAGTTAACAAGTTTATTTTTTTGTTTTATGTTTATTGGGAATAATACGCAAGGCTCGCTGCAGAGAGCACCACTAGCACATATAGTAAATAAAGCGCTATAGTGCACAATATTGTATTATTATCACACATTGTTTTGTAAAATTATGCCTGTCAGTTTCAATTATCCCTTGTTTAACTTAAGCATCTACAAAAAGAAGTATATAAATAGTATGGGTCACAAATACATCTTTTTCACTTAATTAACGTTAAGCTATTATAAAATTAAGTTATTAAGATTTAAATCACATTTCGACAGCTAATAATACAATGGCAAGACAAATCTGTATATATAAAACTCAAAGGTGACTGACTGACATAGTGATCTATGAACGCACAGCCCAAACCACTGGACGGATCGGGCTGAAATTTGGCATGCTGGTAGATGTTATGACGTAGGCATCCGCTAAGAAAGGATTTTGATCAATTCTACCCCCAAGGGGATAAAATAGAAAATGGAAGTTTGTATGAAACTTTGTCAATTTTAACCGATCGGGCTGAGACTTTGATGCAGGTATAAGAAGAATCATAGATTAATGTCATTGTGTATAATACAAGCCTGAGATCAAAAACTGTAGTCTACACTTCAGCTCCACACCGAAGCGAAGCGAGGGCGGGCCGCTAGTCAAACATAATTTCATACTTTAAGACTAATTTGTAAATTTAAATAAATATATGTTTCCCTAAACTTACCGGAAGGCATTGCAAGCGTAGTCTGATGATGTAGATTAACAACATGCGGCGCGTGCGCGGAGAATGTCAACAACACGCTGTCGTGAAACTCGCGCAATACGTTGAATGGCATGTCATATACCTAATAAAAAAATTAACGAAAACCTACTTTAAATAATATCTTAATATGAGAAGGAATATTGATACAAACAATTTAACAGACAATAAATTTGACGACATTTGAAAACGATCTTACGTTACTTATTCGATGTTTGTAGTTAATCCATAAAAAGCGGTTATTTATCATCGACGATTTATCGAAAAAACGACGGGTTGCACTCCAGGATGGCTGGCGGAAGTGAAAACTTGACGTTGTGCATTTTTGATATTTTGGAATGGTTGACCTGGCCGTCCTAGATAGAGACTTATTATTATAATACGATTTAATAAAATATAACTATGTTTCGTCCAATATATTGATAGTCAACAACCTTTCCAATTTTAATGTTTTCGTCTTACGAATTTTCGATTAGGTCACGTGTCCTAACGTGATCAAGCCACGTGTCCTGACGCGAGTTTAACGTTTAACATTTTTTACCCATTACAAAAAAAGTGTGCAACGCCACTAAAGAAGTTTTTACTTCAAAACTAATCAAAAATACTGCTTTCAGGTATGCCGCTGAATCGCTTCTCTGGCTAATATGGCGTGTTTACTTGTGTATAGCGTCATACGCCTGTCATTTAAACGTCAAATGGTACTACAACTAATGTCACTTTGACCTGAAGTTTACCTGTATGTGGCGTCATTTTAGGCTCCGCTCATCCCAGACGATTTCAGTCACGTGTCAATTTATAAAAAAAAAACTATTATCCTTCGTGGGTTTTAAGCAAAATTATGAACAAATTTCTGTAAAAATAGTAGGAACTGTCATGTCAATATTCACTCTAAATACAGATGCCAACAATTGGCACTATATTTCTAATACTGTCTCTACTAACCCTTGTCAACTCAGTACATTGAATTGCTATTTCTTGATATCGAAGACAGGAAAACACTTGATAAACTTGACAAAAATATTTATGATTAATCTTGAAAGTAACTGTGTGCACACTGCTTGAGACAAACGCGAACTAACTTGGGCGTTATTATGAAATATATTTAAACAGTAAAATATTGAATAAAACTAGTTTTTACGGGTTAATGCACGAAACTTTATTTATTTATTGACGTTCGTAGCCTTTACAGGCTACGTCTTCAGAATCAAACTTTTATTTAATTTGTCGAGCTACCTTCGAAAGACTTTTATTGAGCGTTCGGTTATTTCATTATTCGATTTTTAAAGTTTTATTGTCTGTCTAAATAAATAAAGTTACGTGCATTAACCCGTAAAAACTAGTTTTATTTAATGAGTGATGTGCTTGAAAACCTAAGAAACAAATATAGTAAAATATTGACCTAAATAATTACTTGCGATTAAAAATGCTTTGCTAGTAAAATGTACGATTTGATCGTACATATTCCAGGGCGCGAATGAAAACAGGACATAAAGAACCCAGTCAATGTTGTCACACAATTACTGTAATACCCTATAGTGATAACTTACTTGTTCCCAGTCTATGTTTGAATCTAACACGTTTGCAGTCAGCACTGAGGCATAGTTTGGAGATTCACATCGTACCTGTTGAGGGCAATGGTTGAAGATAACAAACTTATACGAGACCAAAAATCTTGTAACAACATATAAGTTCTGTAGGAATAATTTAGCTCCTAGTGCCGGGAGATGAGGAATGAAACAGCCAGTGTGTCGCTTGTTAACTAAGAGCGTAATTTATTATTATTTACATCTTATATACTAATTTTCCTAACTAATATTTATGTGCGTCAGCTGTAAATTCCGTGCTCGGCGTGTTCTAGATACAAAGTACACGCTGACGCTACAGTTCCATCAAGTAGAGAAAAATTATAATATTAGTGTCATGGACATTGTCATAGTCTTGGGTTAGGGATCCTGTAATTAAATAACACTAGCTGTAGAAATAAATAGATTGAAAGTTGAGAATAAACCATTTATAAGATTAAAGAGGAATGCAAATACTATGATTTCGCAATTTCCATTTTTCGGGTATTCGCACTCATTTTGGGGACTTTCGGTCTTCATGATGCGTGTCGGGTAATCGATGTCTGTGGTTTCAGTGGGAGAAATGAATGAATGTACGAATGAATTAGAAGTTGTGTGTTGGATGTAGACCTTTAGTGACGACGGACCATTTGTCAAACTCTTCATCTTCCTTATGTAATATTTTTTCGAATGGCTACGTGGTCCACTTCGGATGGCTTCAGGAATCACCAGTGCTCCGCGAACCACCGTTTAAGAACCACTGATGATATATGATTGAGGAGCTCGATGGCGCAGCGCATTCGGCTGCGATCGTTGAAGTTAAGCAACTTTCGCAGTGGTCGGTCGTTGGATGGATGACCAAAAATTTACTATTTCGAGTTCCTTCGGAAGGTACGTTAAGCCATTGGTCCCGGCTACATCTGCAGTCGTTGGCACCCACCAATCCGCACTGGGCCCGCGTGGTGGGTCAGGGCCCAATCTCTCTATTCCATCCATAGGAAGGCCTGTGCCCCAGCAGTGGGGATATTAATAGGCTGATTATGATGATGATGATGTAGATACATTTAAACCTTCAGGCCGGAAAGGTGAGGATGGCTGGTGTGGCAGGTAGAAGCGTACCAGCTACCTCCACCTCTGGACTTCACCGTCACTTAACATCAGGTGGGACGGAGCCATTTATCGGACCTATCTATAAAAAAAAAAAAAATACGTGTGGCACTCAGGGACTGCCGCAGCAAAGCTATTGCATAGCATTATTTATCAACTTATGTATTTATTTATTTCATGCAGTATATTTTTTTCTTTGGTATTAATAGGTGGCGAGGCAGGCCTTATGATATCTTATTGGGCAAGCACAGCAAACAACAGCATTGCCCGGCGCCAAAAAACTTCCACAAGCTCCACAGTTTACCATCTTTAGTCCAAAAATTTTAATTATAATTATAAAGTCTAAATAAAAGGGAGACAAATAAAAATATGAACAGGTGCTGGGGTCTAAAACAAATACATAAAAAAGGAAAAAAAATATAATAAAAAATACGAGTGCGGGATTTGAACCGACGACCGCGGCGATGCGTCGAACGTTGGTCCCGTGGCAAAAAATTAACACACTGCACCGTTTCGATCGATACTGGAAAGGCGAAAATTGTGTTCATATGCACTGTTGTCAGGTTATTTTGGTTACGGAATTTCTGAATTCGGTCGCCGCGCTCAAAGCCCGCGATAAAATCTATGCAATAGCTTAATACTAATACATTGGTTACGCACATGGCAGGCGTGGTCGGGCGAGTGCGCGGCGAGATGCAACGCCAGATGTCGCGTTAGTCTCGGCGCGCGGTAAACGCGGATACTCGACAGTTCATACGAGCCCGCGTTGGCGTCCGCTTCTAATGTGTCCCCTATCAGCACGTTGGTGGCAGTCACTTTCCGTGCCAGAATGCCTACGCGAAAAAAACTATACTTAGTAATATGTACGATTACTTAGTAATAATAATAACCACCGGCCCTAACTACCGGTAGCTTGGGCCTAGCTCCGCTGCTGGTGGCCTTCTAGGTTAGGTTTTTCATACTATATTTATTTTTGTATTTATAAAAAATCTAACTGTTAAATTAAATAAATGAGAGATATAATAATAATGTTTATTCATCAAACCTTAAGTACTACAATAATAACATTTCTTAAAATAAACAAGGAGTGGTTTACTATCTTATAAGTAGGACCTGACTTTCATGCTAGGTAAGACTTGTATTATTACCTGTATTATTATGAAAGGCAGTAGTTCGATTCAAGACACCGGATGATTACAAAACGTTATTGATTAATGTGTATGTCAGTGTGTATGTTTATTTCTGTGTGTATATGTGAGACATTGTGTGTGTTGTAATAATATGTACAATTACTTAGTAATATGTACAATTCTGAGGAGCTCGATGGCGCAGGTGGTTAGCGCGTTCGGCTGCGATCGTTGTAGTTAAGCAACTTTCGCAGTGGTCGGTCATTGGATGGGTGACCGAAAATTTCTATCTCGAGTTCCTCCGTGCTTCGGAAGGCACGTTAAGCCGTTGGTCCCGGTTGCATCTGCAGTCGTTAGCATCCGCCAATCCGCACTGGGCCCGCGTGGTGGGTCATGGCCCAATCCCCCTATTCCATCCATAGGGAAGGCCTGTGCCCCATCAGTGGGGAGATTAAGAGGCTGATGATGATGATGATGATGTACAATTCTTAATTGCCGACGCGCTTTGGAGCACAGCGCGGCGCGTTTTACAATTTGCTAAAGCAAATTATTTGCATGCAATTCGACAGTCATTAAGCCGATCGGCTGCACTCGGACTCTGCTACAGCCGCTCGGTACCGCATGCACATAAGGAACTTAACTACTTTGCGGATGTTTCAATTTCCTTCAACAAATTGTAATATGCGAAGATGCGCCGGTAAATGAGAATCGTCAGACCCGTCTTTCCCATTGGGCACTTTGGGTAGGTGCCCAGGGCCCCACGATCGATAGGGGCCCCCCTCTCAGATCAAATACAAAGTCCCTAGTTCCTGTTAAATCACCAAACGGAAGTCACAGGGGCCCCTTTATCCTAATATGCCCAGGGCCTCCAATAGGTCAAAGATGGCACTGGGAATCGTACATTACGGTTTTTTATTCTAGTTTCCATTTGAGAGACCTGAGTCAGTTAAAGGAGTTGCTAAAACAAGGAAAGGGATTGATCGTATCACAAATATGCGTTTTACATGCCATTTCAATTCGAAATTTATATGAATGATAGGCCAAGCTGTTTGAAAAGAATCTTATCTATAAACGCTTACCAAAGTTGTAATTGTTACTTAATGTTTTACACTTAACACCAGATGTGTGGATTTCTTTGCTTAAGCTTTAATAAAAAAGTACATAGTGATAGAGAAGAGTTAAAGATTTCCCCTTTCATCTAAATATGTATGACTCGAAGGACCAATGCAAGTATTTGGAATATTAATGTTATATTACATTGCTCTGGTACCGCAACCAATGTGAGTTATTAAAACTATTAAAAAACACACGATGCATATCCAAAATTTATGTAAAAAAAATGGTTGCCTGTAAAGTCGGTTTTACGGGCGAAGATTTTACGTGACAACGTCTTTTTCTCGGTAGAATATTTATTGATATGAATATAATTAAATTGCACAATAGGAACAAGGAATTGAATGAAAATAAGAATTGCACAAATTTTAACTATAGAAATATATTTTGTTTACTAAAACATTGTACATGTAAACTTAAACTTAACACGAGAGACTCATCGTAACGTTACCGAGCGTTACACTTTTTCATAAGTGACTCCCAGCCGCAACCTAATTTAAGACGTTGTCACGTCAAAACAACATAAATTTAATAAATAACAAAGATATAAAATGTAAACTTATAATTCCTCGCCAATTTAGAATTGCGAATTAGGTTATAAACGTATAAGATTTGTTTAATGTTTTACCTTGCAAAGGTAGAGAAACCGTTTCACACTCGTATCCGTTGACGAAAAGTGTCACCTGAAACAAAATACATCAGTTTTGTATTCAAGTTAACCAAATAAACATAATAAAGATGAAATTTTCTTAATCTCAAAAAAGTAGATACTTTCATGATGATAAAATCAACTGTTATTTCATAATGTCTAACGTTATGTTACGTTTAATTCTTTTTTCTTTAAAAACAAACTTGGTTTAAATGAGATACTTAGAAAACAACAGAGGGAGCGCCAGCACCTCAGGAACCGAGGTCTCTGATTTTGTGGATAGATTTTATGACAGATATCTTCAATATTTCCGGGAATTTACCCTCTGAAAACGATAAGTTTATTAGGTATGACAATATATCGGAAAGAATTAAGGCACAATATTTTAAGACCTACGTAGGGAATTCATCGTAACCGAATGATGCACCCGCTCCCACACGTTGACCGCCACGTGCGTCCACCGCCGCGCGGGCAGGGCGCGAGGAACGTTCCCTCGCATGACGCACTAACACTAACAACAGAGGGAGGGAGCACCAGCACCAGCACCAGCACCAGCACCTCAGGCCACGCGGCCCCAGTACCTGCACGTGTATCCGCCTGCGATGCACCCGCTCCCACACGTTGACCGCCACGTGCGTCCACCGCCGCGCGGGCAGGGCGCGAGGAACGTTCCCTCGCATGACGCACTAACACTAACAACAGAGGGAGGGAGCACCAGCACCAGCACCAGCACCAGCACCTCAGGCCACGCGGCCCCAGTACCTGCACGTGTATCCGCCTGCGATGCACCCGCTCCCACACGTTGACCGCCACGTGCGTCCACCGCCGCGCGGGCAGGGCGCGAGGAACGCGCGCCTCGCTGCCCCCCGCCCCCGCGCCCGCTTCCGGTCGCGATACGCGGAATAATATGGTACCTGGATAGAGCGAATGAATGACATAATATTATGTTTAAACCTTTGGTTATTTAATCCTAGACAAAGCGTGGCAGCGCAGATGACGTTTAAAAAAATATGAGCCAAATGCGGAACTCTAAGGCTCGTATTACAGACTGACATCTAAGTGTTATGTTGATCATTACTTGAGTACAGTTAGAAAGGGATGCCGCTATGTGCTATATATAGCGACATCCCTTTCTAAATATGCTCAAGACTAGATCAATCACTGAGAATCTTTGTATAATATGGGCCTAAGTCATTTCCCGTCACTTAGTTTTCAATGAAATGCTGAGCAAATTATTAGATCATGTTCGGCCCTCAATAAAGCTGACACCAGCAAAGATAGCTTATTTAATAGCATCAAAATTATAAACAACAGTTTGTTCCAGCTAATTAATTAGTTATTTTGTAACGTACTTATTGTAATAGTTGATATTTTCTCTGACTACTAACATTCCATGTAAAACTTTTATTACTGTTTAATTGACGCTTCTGTGTTTTTATTTAGTATTTTAATCGATACAGATTTCTATATGTGGTAGCTTGTCAATAGCTTTTAGTAATGTTTTTTGCTGTTATTTTTATTTTCATAAGCTTAGCTACCCTGAGATAATAAATAAAAAAGCGGGTCTGCTTTTATCGCAGTGTTCACAAAGTGACGCTCTATCTAGAAAATATATAATCAATGGCTTAAACATTTCCTGTAGTTTCAGAATGATTGGATTGATAACTTTAGTGGATTCGCAATTTTAAATAAAATAACAAAAGAGTAGGTGTGGGGTGTTATGAAACCATGATGTAAGTGAAACTATTAAAATCATTAATCCCTCATCGGCTGGAAATCGAATCCGGGCCCCCGCGTAGCAGGTGACATTGCTACGACTTAACCACTGATGGTTCTTGTCAAGATCTGTTTTTTTATATAACGGCGAATAATAAGATTTTAGACCTATCTAATTCAATAAACTTAAACGATCTCAATTCTCATTTCACCACAACTTTTAAGTTGGATCGTGATTCTACAGCAAGCACTGTTGCTTCCATAAATGGTTTAATGCGTCCTAACGTCGACCTCTCCCATTTTGCACCAGTCACACCAGCAAAGATTAAAAAGATAATACTTTCCATTAAGTCAAATGCGATAGGGTGTGATGATATTAGGCGTCGCATGATCATTACTATTCTTGAACCTCTTCTTTCTGCTATAACGCATATAATGAATTCTTCTCTTGAAACCGGCACTTTTCCTATGCTATGGCGAAAAGTTTATGTACGGCCTCTTCCCAAAGTCTCCAATCCAACACAGCCACATGAATTTCGGCCGATTTCTATCCTCCCCTTCATGACAACAATTATCAGAATTTGTCCACAAAAAATCATTGATGAACCCCCTCCAATCCGGATTTAGGCCAGGACATAGCACAATTTCAGCGCTCTTAAAGGTGACTGGCGATATTAGGGCGGGAATGGAGAACGGTAAAGTAACATGTTTAGTACTCGTCGATTTCTCCAATGCTTTTAATACAGTCAGTCACGATATTCTCCTTTCTATACTATCCCATCTTATGGTCTCTGACGATGTGTTGACTTGGTTCTCTTCTTATCTTCGGGACCGCCAGCAGTTGGTCCGGTCTGGGGAATATTCCTCATCCTGGCGCAACCATGAAACTGGTGTTCCCCAAGGCGGTATTCTCTCTCCTCTTCTTTTTTCATCTTTTATTGATTTTATCACACAATCTTCAGAGTTCGTATCATCTATATGCTGATGACTTACAATTATATACCAAAGCAAGCATCGACAATTTAAACGAAGCCATTGATGCTCTAAACAGTGACCTAGTCGCTATTAAAACCTGGTCGGAAAAATTCGGGGTCACGGTCAATGCTTCAAAATGCCAAGCCATTTTACTAGGGGGGTCAAGGATGATGAGCAAAATTGACATCAACAGTCTTGGTTCCATCATTCATGACGGCACTACAATACCTTTTAGCAACGTTGTTAAAGATCCAGGCTTGTATATCGACTCGAGTTTTAAATGGCAGGACCAAGTTAGTAGTGTCTGTAAAAAAGTAAAGGGAACCCTGCGTGCCCTTTATCGAATGAAAACTTTTTTGCCGGTCAATATCAAGGCAATGCTTGTGCAAACCTTAATATTTCCCATAATCGACTATGGTGATTTGTGCTACCTCGACCTGAATGCAGATCTACTCAACAAACTTGATCGCCTTCAGAATAACTGCATTCGATTCGTTTTCAATCTGAGAAAATATGACCATATATACATGCGGATACCGATCTCTCTTAAAATGGATGCCCATTAGGCAGCGCAGAAGTATGCGGGCTCTGACCACCCTGTTCTCTTTGCTGGATTCTCCAAATGCTCCCCCTTATCTCACTTCTCAATCTCAGTACTTATGTACCTCTCATATTAAATATCTTCGATCTTCTTCTAATCGTTTACTTATCGTTCCATCACACTGCTCCGATTTTATTCACTCTTCCTTCTTCGTAAAAACGATACTTTTGTGGAACGATCTCCCGCTAGATATCAGAATGTCCCCCAGTAAATATACCTTTAAAACCAAACTGCGAAGCTTTTTATTAGAACAGGCGTTTCGTTGAGTGGTTTGCTGTCATTATTTTGTATTTATTTTGGAAATATGTATGTATATGTGGATTTATTTAAATATATTAAGTTATGTATGTGTATATTTATATATTATTATTAATATTTATTATTTTTATAAACTTTTCTTTCAATGTGATTTCCACTTCAGTTGTGCACCCTACCACTAATAATCTCCACAACATCCTATGGTTGACTGGTAGAGAATGCCTACGGCATTAAGTCCGCCATTGTACATTTATGCATAAAGAATAAATAAATAAATAAAAAAATGGTTGCCTGTAAAGTCGGTTTTACGGGCGAAGATTTTACGTGACAACGTCTTTTTCTCGGTAGAATATTTATTGATATGAATATAATTAAATTGCACAATAGGAACAAGGAATTGAATGAAAATAAGAATTGCACAAATTTTAACTATAGAAATATATTTTGTTTACTAAAACATTGTACATGTAAACTTAAACTTAACACGAGAGACTCATCGTAACGTTACCGAGCGTTACACTTTTTCATAAGTGACTCCCAGCCGCAACCTAATTTAAGACGTTGTCACGTCAAAAATTGTAACGCGACATGTTAATAAATGATAAATGAAAAAATAATGTGGTGATGTAATAATTGGTTTCACAAAAAATTTACAAGATACAAACTATGAACTTTAAAATTGAAAGATTTCATTTACAACATAAAAATCTTAAAGTAACAAATAAAAATAAAAAAAATGGGTGCGTGTACTTATGTAGGCGCGTGAGAAGTTATCCTTCTTTGGCATCGTTTAAAATTAGTTTTTAATTGCATGCAAATAATTAATTACAATAAATTAATAAAAAGTCTGGAAAAGGACACAGTCAATAAAGTTCAGTTTTAATTTGAAAAAATAAATAAATAATCAAAATATTCAATTAAAATCGCTACTGAATATAATTTATTAGAACATATGTGATTTGCACTTGTATGAAACTCAAACACGTATTCCGAATATACAAACTAGAAACATGTGGATAAATATTATAAATATGACTACCTATAACTGTTACTTTATTACAAAAAATAAAGATGTGGTTTTTGGTTCTACTACACCAAGAGATGGCGCTGTAGTCTCCTGAATCGCGCTTTGGTTCCGTTGTTCCAGATTAATAAATACTTTTTGTTACTTTATTACAAAAAATAAAGATGTGGTTTTTGGTTCTACTTAGATATGGGCGTTTTTGGTTTTGAACGCAAACGGATATTTATCGGATTTCAGATTTCAAAATCGATTTTAAAATCCGTTTTTAGATATCCGATTTCAGATGTGCTGAACTTAGCCAATTCACTAGTTTGTGTTATGATTTGGTTTTATTAGCTAACAACAATTAATTGTAGGAAGCAAGGATACTCGTAGATTTTCGCGATTTTCCTTCATGCTTTAAATCTAGGCTTAGGACTAGCAGAAAAGTTATGTTTACGGTTAAGAGTAAAACTTTTGCGGCGCATTTAAAAATCGGCTTTTATACAATGATTTCTTTTTACATATTTTGTAGTATTTTTTTTTGTTATTCTGTTTGTTTTTATTATTTTTCAAACCATTTACAAAATCAAACCTAATTACTTCAGGTTGGCGTCCAAAAATGTAAGTTGCTCGACTTTTGATGTTTTTAGACGACATATCTTTTCAGTGATAAATAATCCCGCCTCAGAGAACAGCAATAGATTTCCGCAAACAGCAAATCGAAATCGGACTTCCGAAAACGAAAGCACGAATTTCGAATCCGATTTACATTTGGATACTTGTGGTATTTGGTTTTGGTTCGGTTAGATTTCTGAAATCGGATTTTCTTGTTGAGAAATCGTTCGGTATCGATTTGTGTTTGAAATCGGATTTTGGATTCGTTTTGATATATCGGACGCATGCCTAGTTCTACTACACCAATGGTCAAGAGATGGCGCTGTAGTCTCCTGAATCGCGCTTTGGTTCCGTTGTTCCAGATTAATAAATACTTTTGATAGGCCTTCACAATGCAGTCGTTAGCACCCACAAAATAGAGATTCTATTTCTATTTTGTTGGTAGATTTTCTTAATGTGCGGTAAACACAAAAGTAACTTCATGCTGTTAATTTTTTGTGTTACAGTGATGTGCGCGCATCTTAAAATTTCACTCTCATCATTTTTTCATAACGCGCCTAAAGAAGTATAACTTCAACAAATAGAATTTCAAAATGATTGTGGCGTAAAGACTCACCTGTATCAGGCTCCAGCCACATCTCGAACAGAAGCGAGTCGTTCCCCAGTGAGAACACGTGCAGGAGAGCACCCGTCCCCGCTTTCGTCCGAGCCCCAGCCTGCTCTAGCGAGTCGCTAATACCGTCTTCCGCAATGTCTAGTCCTGTGATTCAAACATTATAAGGCAGAATGCCCGCTATCATCCAAGTCTTGTCAATGTGTTCAATGTTCAATTCAAATATTCAATGTGTCAAGTCAATGTGTTAAGAAAGGTCTTCTAAAATACTAATTTAATTTTTAAGACAATCATTTTGTTATCTCGTGCAAGTAAAAACATATGAGCAAATTTAAACGACAAAGTACTAATTAAAAATGTTTTTAATTAGATAGGTTATAAAATCGGCTATTAGTTATATCTAAAATAACAAAATTCCTTGTTCAAATATATACAAATTACGTTAATCTCAAGTATCGCTAGTGCACGCGAACTTTGTTCATAAACTTACTCTCAATTGATTTTTGTGTTTGATCAAGGGATTTTTTACACCCAAAATTCATATGATTTTCATTCAATCAAAACGATTAATTATAGTAGCCACTTACTATCAGACGATTTAAATGCTATTCACCAATTTGTTCACATAGAACACCTTTTAATATTAGTACTAAAAATGTATGTATAATGTAGCAATCAGTATGCACTGCAGAAGTCCTGCAGCCACGCCTCCCTACCCGCCTCTGAAACGCCCGCACCCCCTGTGTTTGAAGCATCAGGCAGTATGTATGTGTGTATGGTGCAGCAGGCAGTACGTAGGTATGTGTGTATGAGGCAGCAGGCAGTCCGTATGTGTGTATGATGCAGCAGGCAATAAGTATGTGTATACTAATACTGAGAAAACTGGCATAGATTTGTTTTACACTAGCGTTCCATCACTGAGGCGAGCAGTGCATTTTTGGACAAATAGGCAATTGTACAATGCTTTTTGGAGTTTACTCCTTAAGAATTGATTTTCATATAAGGCCCCCGGTATGAAAAAAAATATGAGGAGTAAAATCTACTGAACAAATGACCTCGTTACGTTTTTGTGCGCAACCTCATCTGAGCACCTTTTACTTTTAGCCATGGCAACGGATAAAAATCATTAAGTTGTCACAAATGTCAATAAAATAAATAAACTAAAAATAGATAAAATCGGAGCAAAATTAATGAAAACAAATAAATAACAGAATATAGAGAAATGCCGGTAAGTGTCCAGCACTCTGGGATAGTGATTTTCAGTACAGATGGAATTATAATACATATTTACAAAATGATGACTAGTGTGTGATATTTTTGAAATTGTGTGTTTCCAGAAATCTATACTTATAATAAATCTGTAGAGATGTCAATTCTGTACATGAAATATATTTTTAAAATAACTATCAGGGGGTGATTAGTGATCGATACTGATGCCAAAAATGCAATCAGTAAAATTTTTGTCTGTCTGTCTGTTTGTGTGTATGTTCCTTATAGAAATAAAAACTACTCAACGGATTTTAACGAAACTTGGTACAATTATTCTTCATACTCCTGGGCAGGTTATAGTATACTTTTCATCACGCTACAATCAATAGCAGCCGAGTAGTGAAGGGAAATGTTGGGAAAACGGGAGAAGTTACTCCATTTTTTAAGCTTCCGTCGCGGGTGCAGCCTTAATGGTTAAAGTTACATAGAAATCATGTATGACGGAAATATTCTACATAAAATTGTCTAAAAAATATCCCGCAAAGCATATGTCCATCTTTTATGGTTGACTCGCAATAACACGTGTAATTATATAAATAAAGTCATTCTTTATAGCACAAGCCTGAGAACAAAAACTATAGTTTACACTACAGCTCTACACCGAAGCGAAGCGAGGGCGAGCCACTAGTACATAATAAAATATATGATGAATATCGATGATGTTAGATGATAAAATGTGTGACATGGAACTTATGATAGTCGAAACCATGGGACTATTCCTGAGGTATCTCTACTTGTAACCGACTTCTTCGGACTTGTTTTGTTTTGAGTCTGTTCAAAGACAATCGTTTTTAGAGTGTAAACTCCGGTCGTGCGTCGGAGCTGACACACACAATTTTTTTTGTAATTATTAAGTGTGCTTATTTATGGTGTAGTGTGTTTTTATTGGTGAAGACCTGTAATTGGCTTTCTGTTGTTATTTAAGTTTTTATTATCTCTTATCTATTAGACAAGTCCGTCCGTCCGTCCGTCCGTGGTGCTGTTTCAGCGGCCAAACCGTAAGAGATAGATATAGAGAATGTTTAAGTTATAATATTTGTTTCTTAGGTTTTCACGCACATCACTCATTAAATAAAACTATTATTCTGACGACGAAGCCTGGAAAGGCTACGAAACGTCAATAAATAAATAAAGTTTCGTGCATTATCCCGTTTAAACTAGTTTTGTTTAAGTTATAAGTTAAGAATAGTCTGATAAGACTACAAACCGGATGTGAGTAACGTAGCACTTCCGGTTTTCGAGAAATCACGTGATTTCTATTTCAAACGAAACCACATAAAATCTCCGAAGTTCTCAATTAATTAATTTTTTTTTTTTTGGTGAACTTTTGGTTCACCGGTTTGCTAGTTTTTATTAATAGCTGTTGGTCTTCCAATAAATAAGTAAATACCGGGGGGTGTCGGCAGTCGCTGCAGCCGCAGTGTGGCGGCGAATCCCTGCAGCCAGGCCGCCCACCCCGCCTCCGCTACGCCGGCGCCTGCCGCGGCGCGCCGCCACGCTGAACAAACGCCTAAACACAATCCGTACCATTCTCAACACCATTACGACTCATCAAACACTATGAAAACAATAATAAAGTTACACATTACGTTACGATTAGATAATCAAAAGCTATTTAGAACGCGCCGAGCTTGCAATAAATAACTGATAAAAATGAATATTAGTTAAGAATATTAGTACTTATATAAGACTGACTGTGCCCCGCGGTTTATTTGGGATATTTTCCCGCAGTAAAACAGTAGCCTATGTGTTAATCCATCGATCAATCGATCGATTTAGCCTAAATCCGTATTGAAAATCGTGAATCAGAGAGTGATCTTCTAGGTAGCGAATCAGATGGTTGTTAAGGACCCTTTCTAAGACTTTACACAACACTGAAGTGACAGCTATCGGCTGATAGTTGGCCGGGTCTAAGGGGTCCACTTTTTTTGGGCACCGTATGTTTCAGTATAACTACTGGGATGCCATCGGGTCCACTAGCTTTCCGGACGTCGAGTGATTGCAACTTCGCACGCTGCCTGCTTTTTATATCAGGCATCGTAGTGCCGCAATGAGGTAGTGTAGGTGGCAGTGCATTGCAATCGTCGATTAGGGGAGTTAGCCGCAAAGAGCTTTGCCAATAAATCGCCTTTCTCCTGCGGCTTACGAGCTAGTGACCCATCTGAATGTCGTAGAGGTGGCAGCGAGGGCTGGCAGAAGTTGCGCAGGCCTTAGCCAAATGCCAAAAACTACAGGAGCCCGTAGGGTGCGTTAACAATTCGTGACCAGTACGTGCTACATGTTGGGCATCCGCTGTGATGTAAGCCTTCTTGCAAGTCTTAGAAGCACTATTAGAGGCAACTTTCAGTGAGTCAACCCCGGGATCCTTAAGAGCGCGGTCTCTGATCCAATCGCGATATGCCGCCTGCTTACGAGAAACAACATCAGCAAAGTCACGATTGAACCAGCGGTTACGTGCACCCTTACAATGAGATCAGAATGTGGAATGTAATACTCCATTCCCATTACGATCTCCTCAGTAATAGCAACGGCGCTGGCCGATAGGTCCTTTTCACTGAAGCAGCGCTGCCTCCAAGGGACGGACGCAAAGTAGTCGCGCATACCATCCCGATCTGCTAACCCACAATGCCAGACTCGAGACAGAGAATCGAGGGTTTTGGCCTGTGGCACTTTGGCAGATATCAGGCAATGATCTGATGAACCCAGTGGGGCTCGAACCACAACCAGATACTCCTGCGGATGAGTCATAAGTAGAGGGTCTAGTAAAGAAGGCGCTTGGTTATAGCGATTAGCACAGCAAAAAACGACACGCCAAAACTTTGATGTTTTGTCGAGTTTTAGGTGAAACTCTGTCATTTATCCAGTACCTAGTTATATTTTAATAATTATGTGATTAAAATGAAACGTTAATTTTTATTATTTTTAAAGCATGTAACTGCTTGATGTTTGAATCTAAAGAAAATATAACTAGAAAAAATTCCACGCGGACCAGGCAGCAGACGGGACTCGAACCCGCACCCTTCGCAATCCGGGCGAATGCACTGACCAATTATGCTACCGCGGCCCTCACGGACCGCGTCGAAATTCTTTCTAGCTATTCTTAAGCTGCAAGGCAGCGCCATCTCTTCGCATTATAGGTAAACCCACAATGTCAAATGAATACTTTTACAAGTATTAAACATTTGAAAGAAGAAATAGCAATTATAGTTATAATTTTTATTATTTTTAAGGCAAGTAACTGCTTGATGTTTGAATCTAAAGAAAATATAACTAGAAAAAATTCCACGCGGACCAGGCAGCAGACGGGACTCGAACCCGCACCCTTCGCAATCCGGGCGAATGCACTGACCAATTATGCTACCGCGGCCCTCACGGACCGCGTCGAAATTCTTTCTAGCTATTCTTAAGAGATGGCGCTGCCTTGCAGCTTAAGAATAGCTAGAAAGAATTCTTTCTAGCTATTCTTAAGAGATGGCGCTGCCTTGCAGCTTAAGAATAGCTAGAAAGAATTTCGACGCGGTCCGTGAGGGCCGCGGTAGCATAATTGGTCAGTGCATTCGCCCGGATTGCGAAGGGTGCGGGTTCGAGTCCCGTCTGCTGCCTGGTCCGCGTGGAATTTTTTCTAGTTATATTTTCTTTAGATTCAAACATCAAGCAGTTACATGCTTTAAAAATAATAAAAATTATAACTATAATTGCTATTTCTTCTTTCAAATGTTTAATACTTGTAAAAGTATTCATTTGACATTGTGGGTTTACCTATAATGCGAAGAGATGGCGCTGCCTTGCAGCTTAAGAATAGCTAGAAAGAATTTCGACGCGGTCCGTGAGGGCCGCGGTAGCATAATTGGTCAGTGCATTCGCCCGGATTGCGAAGGGTGCGGGTTCGAGTCCCGTCTGCTGCCTGGTCCGCGTGGAATTTTTTCTAGTTATATTTTCTTTAGATTCAAACATCAAGCAGTTACATGCTTTAAAAATAATAAAAATTATAACTATAATTGCTATTTCTTCTTTCAAATGTTTAATACTTGTAAAAGTATTCATTTGACATTGTGGGTTTACCTATAATGCGAAGAGATGGCGCTGCCTTGCAGCTTAAGAATAGCTAGAAAGAATTTCGACGCGGTCCGTGAGGGCCGCGGTAGCATAATTGGTCAGTGCATTCGCCCGGATTGCGAAGGGTGCGGGTTCGAGTCCCGTCTGCTGCCTGGTCCGCGTGGAATTTTTTCTAGTTATATTTTCTTTAGATTCAAACATCAAGCAGTTACATGCTTTAAAAATAATAAAAATTATAACTATAATTGCTATTTCTTCTTTCAAATGTTTAATACTTGTAAAAGTATTCATTTGACATTGTGGGTTTACCTATAATGCGAAGAGATGGCGCTGCCTTGCAGCTTAAGAATAGCTAGAAAGAATTTCGACGCGGTCCGTGAGGGCCGCGGTAGCATAATTGGTCAGTGCATTCGCCCGGATTGCGAAGGGTGCGGGTTCGAGTCCCGTCTGCTGCCTGGTCCGCGTGGAATTTTTTCTAGTTATATTTTCTTTAGATTCAAACATCAAGCAGTTACATGCTTTAAAAATAATAAAAATTATAACTATAATTGCTATTTCTTCTTTCAAATGTTTAATACTTGTAAAAGTATTCATTTGACATTGTGGGTTTACCTATAATGCGAAGAGATGGCGCTGCCTTGCAGCTTAAGAATAGCTAGAAAGAATTTCGACGCGGTCCGTGAGGGCCGCGGTAGCATAATTGGTCAGTGCATTCGCCCGGATTGCGAAGGGTGCGGGTTCGAGTCCCGTCTGCTGCCTGGTCCGCGTGGAATTTTTTCTAGTTATATTTTCTTTAGATTCAAACATCAAGCAGTTACATGCTTTAAAAATAATAAAAATTATAACTATAATTGCTATTTCTTCTTTCAAATGTTTAATACTTGTAAAAGTATTCATTTGACATTGTGGGTTTACCTATAATGCGAAGAGATGGCGCTGCCTTGCAGCTTAAGAATAGCTAGAAAGAATTTCGACGCGGTCCGTGAGGGCCGCGGTAGCATAATTGGTCAGTGCATTCGCCCGGATTGCAAAGGGTGCGGGTTCGAGTCCCGTCTGCTGCCTGGTCCGCGTGGAATTTTTTCTAGTTATATTTTCTTTAGATTCAAACATCAAGCAGTTACATGCTTTAAAAATAATAAAAATTATAACTATAATTGCTATTTCTTCTTTCAAATGTTTAATACTTGTAAAAGTATTCATTTGACATTGTGGGTTTACCTATAATGCGAAGAGATGGCGCTGCCTTGCAGCTTAAGAATAGCTAGAAAGAATTTCGACGCGGTCCGTGAGGGCCGCGGTAGCATAATTGGTCAGTGCATTCGCCCGGATTGCGAAGGGTGCGGGTTCGAGTCCCGTCTGCTGCCTGGTCCGCGTGGAATTTTTTCTAGTTATATTTTCTTTAGATTCAAACATCAAGCAGTTACATGCTTTAAAAATAATAAAAATTATAACTATAATTGCTATTTCTTCTTTCAAATGTTTAATACTTGTAAAAGTATTCATTTGACATTGTGGGTTTACCTATAATGCGAAGAGATGGCGCTGCCTTGCAGCTTAAGAATAGCTAGAAAGAATTTCGACGCGGTCCGTGAGGGCCGCGGTAGCATAATTGGTCAGTGCATTCGCCCGGATTGCGAAGGGTGCGGGTTCGAGTCCCGTCTGCTGCCTGGTCCGCGTGGAATTTTTTCTAGTTATATTTTCTTTAGAATGAAACGTTAAGTCAGTAAAAAACGTGTTTAAGAACAGTTATCACTTCATGACTACCTTTTCGTAGCATGTGCGAACCAGCGACAATCATACTTTGTTTTTTTTTTAAGAAAATCCATTGTAGAACTTAATTTTTTTACTGAAGAGTGAAGAATTGCCACTAAAAAATAATGAAAAGATATCGTGTTCAATATTTTTTTAAAAATGTCATTATATTTTAGTATAAATGTTAGAGGACCAATCGTTGTGTGAGGGAGGGGTAACATTAGTATAGGATCCGCTACCAGTTTATTTAAAATATTTATTAATAAAATTTAAAAAGTCAACACAAAATAAAGCTAAATTTCAACATAAGGAATGAGAACGTATTAGAAGCTCTTTAAATCTGACTCGCATTTGTAAGAATCTTAAATTCATAACCGTGTCTTGAATTCGCTTAAGATATAATTATAATATTACCAGATTGTATGTGTGCTTCGCGCAGTCTTTGTGCCAGCGCTTCTGCTTGATGATTGGGCGGCGACACTGTCCCTGTCCCTTCTGAAGTCATCGTCTCTTGTTCTAAAACAAACATATTACCATCATTATCGGCCTATATGAGTGATATGACTCCGTGAGTCACGGAGTACATAAAAACTTTCATTACGGGGTAGAATTGATCAAAATCCTTTCTTAGCGGATGCCTACGTCATAACATCTACCTGCATGCCAAATTTCAGCCCGATCCGTCCAGTGGTTTGGGCTGTGCGTTGATAGATCACTATGTCAGTCAGTCACCTTTGAGTTTTATATATATAGACTGGCTGACCCAGCGAACTTCGTACCGCCATAAAAATAAGGGTTGGTGGTAGAGGGTTGAAAATTCAGGGTTATATGAATTTACTAATGCTGTATCATAAAAAAATTCAAAAAAAAATTTATCTAAAATTAAAAAAAAAAATTAGGGGTGGATTACCCTTAACATTTAGGGGGATGAAAAATAGATGTTGTCCGATTCTCAGACCTACCCAATATGCACACAAAATTTCATGAGAATCGGGAAAGCCGTTTCGGAGGAGTTTAACCACAAACACCGCGACACGAGAATCTCTTATCTATTAGACAAGTCCGTCCGTCCGTCCGTTTGTGGTGCTGTTTCAGCGGCCAAACCGTAAGAGATAAATAAAGAGAATGTTTAAGTTATAAGTTAAGAATAGTCTGATAAGACTACAAACCGGATTTGAGTAACGTAGCACTTCCGGTTTTCGAGAAATCGCGAATTTCAAACGAAACCACACAAAATCTCCGAAGTTCTCAATTAATTAAGTACATTTTATCAGGTTTTGGTGAACATTTGGTTCACTGGTTTGCTAGTTTTATATATTAGACTAGCTGACCCAGCGAACTTCGTACCGCCCTAAAAAAATAGGGGTTGTCCAGCGGACAAAATTGTGAATCTAAACCATTCTCAGATCCCCTTGAACACACACAAAAAATTTCATCACAATCGGTCCAGTCGTTTAAGAGAAGTTCAGTGACATACACACTCACAGAAGAATTATATATATAAAGATAACGCAAGTATAAAAGTCACCAAGGTTAGTATGTTGCGGCGGGGCAGGGAAGGAGAGGCAGTGCGCCGGCTGATGCGGGACAGCACGGCGCAGGCAGCGCTGCAGGGCTCCCAGCAGGAGGCCGCAGGGAGGCGCGTCAGCAAGGAACAGTCGCAGGAATGATTCCAACTCCTCGGCCTCCAGTCGCTGCGACGCCACCGCCTCGAACAGTTCCAACACGCTGCGCTGGAGCTCTGCGACAAAATGTCCACAACTTAAGAGGGGAGGTTTACCTACAAACGTTCTGGACTGATTCCCGCCTGTTTTTTTATCACAAGAGCAATGATCTTCATATATAATAGTAGATTATTAACCGAGGGGATAAAGCAGTGTCTTCTGTCGCGGGTGACGATTTAAATCGCGAACGTAACGAAGGACTCGACGTTTACTCCCGAGCGTAGCAAAGGTGTTTAAAACTTAAATCACGAGCGAAGCAAGGGATTTAAGACGAGTCCTTAGTGTAGCGAGGGATTTAAGTTCACCCAAGACTAAGACAGCTTTATCACCGAGGAAAATACTCTACTTTTCGTACCATTTGCAAAAAAATTAACACAATAATAATATTTACTTTGTACTTTTACGTCTGCCATTTTTCTATAACTTGTTTTTCAAAGCAAGTAGAAGCCCTCAAAAATGCCAAAAATAAACAAATTTTTATTACCACTAAAGATGTTTAGTGTGGAGATTCAATAAGCATTTACAAAATAAGCAAAACATAGAGGCCTAGTATAATTACTTATTCTTCTATGGGTGTAATTTCTATAACTTTTCGTATTCGGGGAGGAAATCATCGAAAACCATACCTCGAATTTTGCAATTCATATGCGCAATTTTCGCATTTTGCGCATCGAATATTTTTGGGACAATTTCAGTAACGATATTATTCCCCTTCGCATGAGCATTACCATACACATTATATCACGTTTTTTATTGCGTCTAACTGTCAAGCTCCATAGTAATTTGACAATTCAGCGTGATAAAAACGAGCGATATGTCATATTACGGTGCTCATGCTAATGCAATTTTAGCAATCAGACAAATGGACACATACAATGCCGCAAATAATTTAGTAAACAGCACTTGTTACTTACACTTCCGTTTATATTCTGAACTACGATAAATATTGTGATTTAATGAAAATTTCATACAACAATTAATATCTGAAATTCATTCGCATTACGATTGCAATTATCTATTTATTTATTTTTTGGAAGACCAACAGCTACTAATAAAAGAAATGATTTGCACGGACTGCACATCTGAAGTGAAACTTCTTTTCTTAAATAACATAACATTATGCGGTGCATAAGGCATAGGGGAATAGAGCAGCGCACGCAGCACTCATATACAGGGTGTTACAGAATTCCGAAATAAAATTTGTAGGTATGTATTCCGAAATAAAAATTTGTAGGTATCTGAGCGGGGCGTAGGGGCGCCTGGGGGAGAGAGGGGGGTCTGTTTAGGTAGTAGTAATCGTACGCATTTATGGGGTGGTCATAGGCAGGTGTAAAACGATATTTTTATTAATTTAATAAGAAAATAAAAGTAGTCTGAAAGGCGTCAAACTTTCGTAGGTAATTCTATACAAGGAACACAACCAAACCCTAAAGTTTTATTTCGGACTTTTGTCACACCCTGTATATGTACATATATTCATATATTGTCGCGTTACCCTCCGACTTTCATGCTCGCCGGGAAGAACTGCTCATGTTTCATCCTTTCCATATTTTTTTTGCCATTTACACCCGTACAAAAAATTTCGCTTAGATACTACGCCTATCATCTCGCCTTGCGAAACGCCACAGCATGTCATCATGGAATGCAGAAGTGTGGCTGACCAACGGGCACGACTTCTTCAGTCGCCAGATTCGCTTCCGAAAGCTTGCAGTACTCTGCCAAGACTGCTTTCCTTCTGGACTAACTTACGCTGGCTGGAGTAAACGGGAATGTTTCGAGACACGCATATTGAACCAATAATTAAGACTAAATGTAAACGTAATAAACGTGTTCCCTCCTTCCTATAATCTGGGGATCTTTAAGAGAGGCGTGAAGAAGCATTTTTGCAGGCCGGCAAGGTGAGGATGGTTGGTGTAGCAAACTATAACTGCTGTACCAGCTATCTTCGCGTTTGGACATTATCACCACTTAACATAAGGTGGGGTAGAGTCATTTGCCTAAAGGTCTCTACCCACTATGCAGTATCATACCATGACCGTGCTATGAACGTGTCAGACAAAAAAATATTCTTTGTATTAAAAAGTATGAGACAATGCCCACTAGCCCGTTCCGTCACCGACCAGCACCGTCGCGAGCCATGCACGAAGCGGTTACTATTGTCGGCGAGTATATTTTGCTGGTGCCGATACGCTCCGCGCATGGCACGCGACGTTGCAAAACCGATGCGCGCAGGCAACAAAACGGTGACTGGGTTAGAACCGCGTATGATGACCGTTATATAGGCGTCTTAAACGCCGGAAGTACTGAAAGAACTTATCTACATCTTCAACTAAGTGCTTATACAACGTCCAAAATTCTCCTATTGTTTTCCGTTCTTTTATAGAATCGTGAATCTAGTAGCGTCGAGTGGTTTTTTTGCTTCTGTTCTTCCTTATCCAATATTATGGCAATAATTGTCAGTTGTCTAACAGTTAATGTTTTAATAGCCATACCTATTGTATTCAAAACTTGATAGTACTCCGCAGACGTCCATTCATTATCGATACACAAGTAAGAATGAAACGGTTTCTTATCGATTTTGGTGAAGACGTCATACAAATTACGCAAAGGCAACATACGGGTTGCATACGGGCATTATACGCCGTCGATCCGTTTCAGCGGGCATAGCAAGCCGTTTCGTGTCAGTTTCCGTGTTTGATACGGTCCTAGCACGTTCATGGTATGAAACGGTGTAGTCGGTAGAGACCTTAATTCGCTATAAAAAAAAATGGTTGCCTGTAAAGTCGGTTTTACGGGCGAAGATTTTACGTGACAACGTCTTTTTCTCGGTAGAATATTTATTGATATGAATATAATTAAATTGCACAATAGGAACAAGGAATTGAATGAAAATAAGAATTGCACAAATTTTAACTATAGAAATATATTTTGTTTACTAAAACATTGTACATGTAAACTTAAACTTAACACGAGAGACTCATCGTAACGTTACCGAGCGTTACACTTTTTCATAAGTGACTCCCAGCCGCAACCTAATTTAAGACGTTGTCACGTCAAAAAATGTTGAAATCGCTCTGAACTATCTCACCTTGAAGCTGCGGGCATCGCACCTGCAGCAGACGGGCGGGGCGCGCTGCCAACAGGCGCCGCAGGATTGATACGGACGCGGTGTCGGGCGACGCAGTACACGTGAAGTTAGCGACAATGGGTCCCGACAGCCGCGCGGCGACCGCGCGACAAACGCCCGCGCCCGCGGCCGCCGCACGCCACGTTTCCTCTGTCGCCGTGCCCGCCGCCACTGCGTCCATCACCCTACGATAACATTATCTACGTTATAATAATAATTTATTGCATAAAATCTTTTATATAAAATTCTCGTGTCACAATGTTAGTTACCATACTCCTCCGAAACGACCTGACGGATTTTTATGAAATTTTATATGCATATTCCGTAGTACTGAGAATCGGCTACTATCTATTTTTCATATCCTTAAGTGAAAATGGTTGTCCACCTGTGACGTAGTGATCTGAAATCTACGATGCGCTTTCGCGCCAAAATTCAAAGTATTGGGTATTGTAACACTACGTTACAATTCAAACTATTGGGTATTGTAACGTAGTGTTCTTATATGGGTTAGGAGAAATGTTATCCCAGGAAATTGATAGAACACTACGTCACACCCCTAAATTTCTTTTGGTCAATATAAACTGAAACGTTGTTTAAAATCGAACCTGGCAACACTGGTGACTACCAACAGTGTCTAATCAAAAATCATGTATGACGGAGTTTTTCGCATTCAAAAGTTCCTTATAAAAGTATTCGACACCATAATGGTAATCATTCAAGGATAACCCACTATGCCCTTTATCCTCAAACTAATGCGGGTAAAACCGCAGGATACATCTATAATTCAATAAAATTCTAATTGTATTACAAGCTATGGCGGCCGCTTACCAACAGGCGGGCAATATGCTTGTTTGCAACCGTTTTAAAATATTCTTAGAAAAATTTCACGCGGACCAGGCAGCAGACGGGAGTCGAACCCGCACGCAACCCGGGCGAATTCACTGAACATTACGCTACTGCGACTATGAAGGCCGTGTGGAATTTTATCTAGCCTTTCATAAGCTGCAAGAAAAGAAATTATAATTATAAAAAATAGATTGGTCGACGGCAATGATTGGTGTTGAACTGCACTGACTTGTTGACAATCTGCGTGAGTATGTCGACGACGATGAGGCACAGCTCCGGGTGCGCCAGCTCGCCGCCCGGCCAGCACTCGCCGAGCTCCGAGCGAGTGCCAGACTCGTCGCCCAGCGCGGACGCGACGCCAGCTGATAAAACAACTAAATTTACTGACAGCATAATCTTTATCAAAAGAATTTATTCAGTTTAGGCTGTTACAAGAACTCATGAATGTCTAGAAGCTACGCCATCAGTTCGTAAATCTGAGGCGGGAGACCTTGTACTGAGAAGAACCGGCAAGAAATTCAGCAAGGGCTGCTTAGTTTTTATAGACACTTTGACGATGCAATACGTTATCGGTAACGTCATACGCAACAAAAAATCCTGCTCGGGCCTCAGTTTCTTTCCTTTCTCTATGTCTATGAGTTAAACTTTCACGCACCCATATTTAATAAAAATTTTTACATGCAGCGAAATTTTGGAAACATTTTTGTATGTAAAGATATTCTTTGACGCGTCACAGTTGTTTATAATATCTGAGGAAGTTAGTAATTAATTTTTGGTATCCTGTTTTCATCATCAGCCTATCAATGTCCCCACTGCTGGCGTAAAGGCCTTCCCTATGGATAGAATAGGGAGCTTGGCCATGGCCATGTAAAAAATTTCATCCCCATCATCTTGATGCGTGGCTATCCGTGCGCTATTGTCGAAATTTTTTACCACGTACGACAAAACTGTGGAATATGTTGTCGCCAGCAGTGTCTCCGGACCAATACGACCCAAACGTTCAAAAAAAGAGCGTACTCCTTCCTTAAAGGCCGGCATCGCATTTGTGATACTCCTGGTGTTGCAAGTGTCCATGGGCGACGGTGATCACTTACCATCAGGTGAGCCGTCTGCTCGTATGCCCCCTATAACATAAAAAAATGACCCACCACACGGGCCCAGTGCGGATTCATCATCTTCATCATCAGCCTATTAATGTCCCACTGCTGGGGCACAGGCCTTCCCTATGGATGAAATAGGGAGATTGGGCCATGACCCACCACGCGGGCCTAATGCGGATTGATGGGTGCTAACGACTGCAGATGCAGCCGGGACCAACGGCTTACCGTGCTTTCCGAAGCACGGAGGAGCTCGATAGCTCTCACTCTCTCCTGTTTTACGATAGACTTTTACTAATTACTATAAAACATGCATTACGATTAGCGTTCTTATTACTACATAATAAGGGCGTTGTGAATGCCGAATTCGATCCATCCGATATCTAGAATAGGGGTGATGACGGGGTACAGTAAACGAAAAACTATTTAGTCCGTCAGTTAGATGATCAAAAAATAATGAACACGTATAATTTCTTTGGACAATCAACCAAAAAATTACAAAGTTATAGCGCGTCAAAGTTTGGGAGTAGGGGCTCGTGACGTCACTTTTGAGTGATTTTTCACTTATAAGTGTACTCAAACGTGACGTCATGCTCTGATTTTCAAATCAATATATCTCTGCAATGTGCATATTATGTGAAAAAAGAAAAAATACGTGTCCAATACTTTATGATAATCTACCTGATAAACGAAGAAAAAAAAATTAGTCATCATCAATATTGTCTTGAATGTTTTCCACTTGATGAAGGTTGTTTCGATTTAGTTTATAACGAGATAAGGTCTAGGGCTTACCTAAAGAATTATCGCTCAAAGGTAATGTTTCGGAGAGTCTCGTTTTCTCAGAAGTGACATCGAAGTTACCGATTTCAACATCAGCCTAAAAGAAACAAATCATTTATTAGAAATAAGTGCTATTAGTCCGGGAGGTAGCGTTGCAAATGCAAAAGTCATAGTAAGCCGGCTGATATTAACGTCGATAGTTGATATTATATGACTGATAAGTGAACCGACCGTCAGCTGCTCAAGTAGCGGTGGGTGCGGGTGTAGGAAGCTGCGAAAGAGGTAAAAAAATAAAATAAAAAAAGTAATAGTACGCTGGCTGAAACTTTTTCCATAAATAGTTGATGTCATACTGAGCGAAAAAAAAATCGTCAGCTGCATCGTGGAGGGGGGATTATGCGTCAGCTGGCTGCATGAATTTGTAAAAAAAAACGTAAAATAAAGTTATAATACGCCGAATGAAATTTAACTACGCGATTCTTCAAAATATTTAGAGTACGAAGTACGAAAACAACAATCAGCTGATTGTGTAGCGGTGGAAAGACCGTCAGCTGACCCAGTCAAGATTTAAAATTTTGGAGTATTGCTGTGAGGCTGTTCGCTTTCAAACACATATTTTGCGATACATTCTGGCCTTCCTTGAACCCATAACACGACCTTCGGGCTACCTAAGCCTCTCCCCAGTGTTGCCAACTCTACGTCTTTTTACGTAGATCTACGTATTTTAGGCCTTTTCTGGAAACCTACTAACTTCAGTCCCAGAATCTACGTATATTCTTATTTTTTTTCATATAAAATAACTTAATTCACTAGAATAAAGAAGAATATTTTCCGTTACTTTACTTAAAAACTATACAAATGTATCTCTATTTCTTATAAAGATGTATCTAAACACTCTTGTATCTTGTAGAAAAGGTTCCCGTTACCTATTGGTTTTGTTGACTAAATTAATGCTGGCCTCAGGATTTGTGAAAGCAGAAACGACAAAACTCTTTGACTTAGTAGGTACATTCATAACCTTAAAAATTGTATTTTTAAACTTTTAATATTATCAATGAGCACCTACTCACATCGAATTGATCTTTGCAAAAAGAAAAGACTTTGAGTCGATAAAGTTACAGGATTTAGCAAGTTTTAAGCATATGTTCATGTGTAAGTATGTTTATTTCTCTTGGCAATTTAAACCACAACTTTTCTGGAGTCTTTTACCAAGTGTATCATGATAACTACTATATTTTTCATGTGATCTATTAGAAATCATGGTTTTATAATATTAACTTAGAAAGTTTATTTCCTACGTGCTTGCGAGTGTTTGTTTACAAATGTTTTGACGTCATAGCATAGATAAGTCTATAGACTAAATAGCGTTTTTGTATGTCTTCTAGGTAAAAATATATTTTTTTTTTCGTTGTAATAGAACAATTATTACCAATTGAAAACATAATTCCAAAAAGTGTCAACTAGTTATCATATAACAACAGTTTATCCTTGTCATTCTCTATACAGAATGAAATATATATATATATGTCGACGATGAATAACTTTCGCGATCTTTTTATTCCATACAAAACAAATACAAATAAAACGAAACGAAAATATATCGAGTAAGATTCTGTCCATTACTAGAATAATCTTTACCTTTACTGCGTCAGCTGACTGTCTTTCCACCGCTATATACGCAGCTGATTGTTATTTTTGTACTTATGATTATTTAAAGAATCACGTAGTTCAATTTCATCCGACGTATTATAACTTTATTTTACGTTTTTTTTTTACAAATTCATGCGGCCAGCTGACGCATAATCCCCCCTTCACGATGCAGCTGACGATTTTTTTTCAGCTCAGTATGATGTCAACTATTCGTGAAAAAAGTTTGAGCTGGCGTACTATTACTTAATTTTTTATTTTTTTTTACCACTTCCGCAACCTCCCAATTCCACACCCACCGCGGGTGCGCCAGCTGACGCTTGGTTCAGTTATAAGTAGTTCGCGATAAATAGTAAAGGAAGGCAAACAGTCGGCGTAAAATCACTGCCAAAAATGCAACGCTACCTCCCGGACTATATTGTATTCGAATAGTTTGCAAACCGAAATGTCAATGTCGAATTTTGTATGGAAACTTGAACAGCAGCGCCACAAAGTACGTAACGAGAAATAAAAATCAGTACACATTTGACAATGACAGTTCGGACTCGCAAACGTTACGAATTCGATTTTGGTTCGTGCTAGGGGTACAGGTAGCGGTTGGAACGCAAATGTTCTCGAATGGTGAATGCGCACCGAACGAACGTTCAGTAAGAAAGCTCCCATGTAGTGAATCGACGACCTAAGGGGGGTCGCGGGAAGCCACTGGATGCCAATAGTGCGATCGGTGAGGAGATCCTTTCGGGAGGATCACCAATAGTACAGAAACTTGTCGTAAAAAAAATGGAACCGAACTGACATCAGCGTCTCTGGTGCTTTTTTGGTAAGGAAGCCCAACCAGGGATTTTTGGATTTACTCGAACGCGGCAGAATAACATAAGGGCAACCTTGCGCCATGTGAAGTAGTCCCAAAAACAAAAATCAACGTGAACCCTCCAGTAGCTAATATTCAAAGACTATTTGGATGCTAATAAAAAATATCTTTCTTTGATGTTTTTTGCTGCCCTAGACGTTCGGATCTACATAGGGGGCTCAGGTATATACTTTTCTGCCGCGCACAATACACTATAAACTAGTAAAGTCGGTGCAAATTTTGTAGAAGCTGTGTTATATTGGATACAACAGTCACTCCTTATATTTATTATGACGACCTCCGTGGCCGAGTGGTTTGTACGCCGGGTTTCATGGTAACGCCGACTCGAGAGGTCCCGGGTTCCAATCCCGGTGGGGGCAGATGTTTGTGTGATGAATACGAGCATTTTTACTCCAGTCATGGATGTTTAATATGTATTTCGATATACTTATATATGTACAGTATATTTATTCTTTCCGTTACCGTAGTAACTCATCACACAAGCCTTATAGTGCTTATTTTGGGGCTAGGCTAATTGGTGTGTGTTGGAAATATTTATTTATTTATATTTATTTACCGCGGGGATCGGCCTCCTCCCCCGACGCCGCCTCGTTGGGGGAGGTGTATCATCATCAGCGGGCGCGTGCGGTTGATATGATGACAGTGAGTGCTCACCTCGTAGCCCTCGTCTGGCGGCGTGTGCGGGGCGTCGCTGTGCTCGCTGTCGTAGGGCCCGGAGGCGGCCTCCTCCCCCGACGAAGCCTCCGCGGAGCCCCCGCCCGCCGGACACATCAGCGGCGGCACCTGTTTACCAAAAAAACGACACCTATAAGTTATAATTTTATTTTTAAAGCATGTGTAACTGCTTGATGTTTAAATCTAAAGAAAATACAACTAGAAAAAAATCCACGCGGACCAGGCAGCAGACGAGACTCAAACCCGCACCCTTGGCTATCCGGGCGAATGCACTGACTATTATGCTACCGCGAATCTAATGGCCGTGTCGAATTCTTTCTAGCTTTTCTTAAGCTGCAAGGCAGCGCCATCTCCTTGCATTGTAGGTAACCCACTATGTCAAATAAATACCTTTACAAGTATTAAACATTTAAAAGAAGAAATAGCCATTATAGTTATATTTTTTTTGTAGTAATGTAAATGTTAGTAAATGTAGGTAACTGGTCGATGTTTAAATCTTAAAAAAAATTGTAAATGTCATATTTTTTATTATTTCTTACTCACACACCAATCATTTGATAAAACCCTTTTTAACGAGTAATAAATATTTTTGAACTATATTATTATCTTCTGAAAACGGGACTGTCAAGAATACCTAATGTTAATGTAAATAATACGCTCTTTATAACGGATAAAATTTCTCATTAGCATGTAAATCACAAAATAAAAAAATGGCCAAAGTTAGTTAAAGTCATCATCATCAGGCTATTAATGTCCGCACTACAGTCACAGATCATCCCTATGGATGGAATAGGGAGATTGGGCTATGACTATGACCCACCAGGCGGGCCAGCCATTCAAAACCGACCACTGCGCTAACCGCTTGCGCCATCGAGATCCTCAGTAGAAATAACTTAGGTAAAACTTAAGTAACTTTTGATGTTATGGAATCTACATTCCATAAGTTTTATTCGTTGTAAGGTGCGTGGAATAAGGCATCTTCTTCCAACAAAAGTTTACGCAAGTCAGACAGGGCGGCCTGCCAGATTTGAAATTACAAAATTTATTTTCCGAATGTTATATTGCCCACTGATCAGAGCAAAGCAATAATTATATATTGACAGGTTAACAGTTAATTATAACAATTTGTACGTATAGTAATTAGTGCGTCTCTGTTTCGTGTTACAGATAAGAAATATTCGAATTAGTTATCAATTAACGATTGCTCAATACATAAACGAATAAAAAAATTTCCTACGACATTAACTTCAAGTTTTTTAATCCACTTCTCATATATCCGACTTTGAAGACTTGAAAAAATATTTTTAAAACATAACAAGCGAAAAAGACTTACGGATTTACTATTTCTCATAACGAAAACACAAATCACAAACAATTTTTTAAAAACAAATCAAATACACAAACACATTGCTCAAACGTCCTACGATAAGTGGAATAAAAATGTAAACAACTGTAGTTCGAAATTTTAACCAAACGCGGTTATAGATTCTTTTCTAGGCAAACAAGTTTGACCGAATATGCATGAATTAACAGAGGTCGCGTGAGTGCGACAAAGGCGCGGCGTGTACTGTCTCTAGTCGTTACTACTAGGCACTCATATGGGTTCCGAGGCCGGCCTTAATAGTTCACTGCCAATGTTAGCTGTAATAAGAGCATGTAACCAATGACTCGGGGAATCCTGCTGTCATTGATACGCCATCGGTCGGCCGTGAAGGCTCAATAACTTATAATTCGTGTTATATAAATATTTCATGACTTATCATGATTATCACAATTTAAGATGTATCCCCTATCGAACTGTATACATACAGAAAAAATACTGTTAAATAATGATTTATCACTCACTACATAGTATAAAACAAAGTCGCTTTCTCTGTCCCTATGTCCCTTTGTATGCTTAAATCTTTGAAACTACGCAACGGATTTTGATGCGGTTTTTTTTTAATAGATAGAGTGATTCAAGAGGAAGGTTTATATGTATAATGCATGCATAATATAGTAGAGAAACACTGATAATTTTAGAGGTTTTTAATGTAAGGTGGTAAATAAACACATTTTTTTGCGCTTACATTGCAAACGCTGGCTGGACCCTACGAGATAGATCAAAATAATGTACTACAGTATTGTACTCCTTAAAATGGTCTACACAAAATGCCACGATGGTATATGTCTATCTCTTAAGGATAACCCACAATAACCATTTTTTATCCTATACTTTTTACGAGAAATAATAGCTTATTTACGAAGCGATTTTCAGCAATATAACATACATCCTTATCCAATTAAGTACCTTAAATACATTGTGCATTTAATATAGACCAATTTGGCCTTTTAACGCATGTAATTTAAATGAATATTTTCGAAGATATTACTTAAAATGCGACAGCAATTCCGACGCTACCGGGCGGGGGGCTGGCGGCACGTGCCAATTGTAATTAGGTATTAGAAGAATGTCATTCTGTATAATACAAGCCTGAGAACAAAAACTATAGTCTACACTTCAGCTCTACACCGAAGCAAAGCGAGGGCGGGCCACTAGTATAAAAATATAAAAAAAAGTGAAAGAAAGCTATTGATGCGGCAGATATCTTTCAGTATGCGACGAAGATTGTTTTAAGTACATATGCGACGAATTTTGTAGTCAAAGGGATATAATAGCACGAATAATATGTTTTATTAGATTTTATTTAGATTTACAAATACACCTAGCAGTTAAATGCTATAAATACAAATATAATAAAGTGTCTATAAAAATTGAAATAATGACACAATCCATATTTCTGCATTTTCTGGGGTTTACCAATACGATTTTTTCATACAAACCTTATCCAACAATTACAAACTTGGCGCAAAAATATGCAAATCATTTGAGCTACTCTCAAGTGATATTCCGCAATCGATTCTCTATTTTTTTTTATAATTTGAAAAAGGCGTGAAAAGATAAGCATATAAAGGGAGTCCCACGGCTACCTCACACGGAGGGAAAGTATATTATAGTATATATAGTATATATCTCGATATGTGTTTAAAAGGTTAGTAGATACTTTAAGAAAGTTAGGACGTTTTGGTTTGCGCTTACAGAAACCACAGCAGCGGATGATAAACGTCTACGATGTTGAACTCAACATTTTAACTTTGAGGCGTATCCGATTTTATATTAGTTTGTGTTAAATAATTTGAAATAAAATGTTAAATTTAACTGCTTTTCTTTCATTTAAAAGGCTATGTTATTTAGCAAAAAATAATCCTTATGATTAACCCTTTCGATGGTTATCATAAAATATGTTTGGTTTTTTTCGAAATCTCACGAGTTTTATTCCCAGTTATAGCAGGCAATTTAAAATAAAATCCATGAATGCAGTTCTAGTTATTATTAAAAATAAAATGATGTCTTCTTTCATAAAATATCCTATCTTCAATATTTAATATACTTTCCCTCCGTGTAAGGTATGGCACGTATGAGAAGCTCGATGGTGCCGGTGGTTAGCGCGTTCCAAAACGTCGAGTTCGTCGAGCCAATCCGCACTGGGCCCGCGTGGTGGGTCATGACCCAAACTCCCTATTCCATCCATAGGGATTCATACGCTGATGATGATGATAATGGCACGACCAATGATAAGCGGCGTCTTATTAAATAAAAATTTCTAACCAAAGTGCCTTAAAGGGGAGCCCAAACATCGTTAGAAACAGCGTTCGCGTGCTTGTAGAATAAATCTTTAATGAAATGCAGTATGCACTCGGACCGCGTTGGCGTTCTCAAACCGGTCTCATAGTGTCATCCGCGGTCTCATTAATAAAGAAACGACACATTTAATGTATCCCGGAATGCTTTTATCGGAACGCTTTTACCGAACGGCAAACTTGTTTGATTCACATTAACTTTCTTGTTAGTGAAATTCTTGTAGCAATTTAATGAATGCGGCGATCTTTAATATTTCGAGAAGACTCGTAATGATGCTTTGAAAATGGTTTCTAAAGGTATTTTTCTATAAATTTTATGAAACCTTCGGAATGCATAAGAATAATAATATATAAACTTTTTGCTGCAAATTTCAAAATCAAAAAGCTTTGGATTCTGGCATTTATATAGTGGTTTACTCGTATGATTGAACAATAGATTCGGGCCTAGTGGAATTTCATCTAGTAAAGTTAAGTGACCACCTGGAGAAGTATCCTTTGCAGATTACAGTATAGTAACACTACTTTTGCTTTTGCAATGGCGCGAGTAAAACTTTGGTAACTCAAACATCTATTTCGGTCTGAAGATGTTTGCTTCGCTTATGATTAAGTGTCTCATAGACAGTTGAGGAGCTCGATGGCGCGGGTGGTTAGCGCGTTCGGCTGCGATCGTTGGAGTTAAGCAACTTTCGCAGTGGTCGGTCATTGATGGGTGACCAAAAATTTACTATCTCGAGCTCCTCCGTGCTCCTGCAGTCGTTAGCACCTGCCAATCCGCACTGGGCCCGGGTGGTGGGTCATGGACCAATCTCCCTATTATATCCATAGGGAAGGGCTGTGCCCCAGCAGTGTGGACATTAATAGGCTGATGATGATATTTCATTTGCCACCATTTTTACATAAAAAGGGACCTTTAACTTTTTCCATGTTTGTAATACTTTTTGGAACTTTGGGCTGATTTTATTTTTTGACTCTTTATTTAGGACGTTTGGCGTTGAACAAAAAGCTGAAAATACAAGCCAATTTACATAACCGAGGACGACGGATCAGGCAGTTTCTTGGTCTGATGTATCTACATTGGATATACGTGTATTGTTGATTTTGGAATAGTCAAATTCATCCCAATCCATCAATAAAGTTTTTGTCAATGTCGTGAGTCACTTCGGCGATAACATTAGAAAAAACACTTAGATATTTGTCTCAGTGACGTGTGTGTATACAGTGGTGGTGATATAATTAAGAACGCTTCTAGCGAAGACAACATTTAAAAATTCCAATGTTTATAACAAAAAAAGTATTACTTCTTGATAAATATTGGCTATACTATCATTTGAATATCTTTAGAACACTAACATTATCGAATAAGAATTATTGTATTACTACAGTTTTGTTTACTCTCATTTAGTTTTTAATATTGTTTTTATAGCAACAGGTGAACAAATAATTAAGAACGAGAGAAAAACTTCGTAATTATATTAACAATAATTTAATAGTTATGTTTTTATTTTTTTAAACATTTAACTGCTAGATGTTTAAATCTAAAGAAAAGTTTTATTAGAAAAAAAAACATCTAGATTTAAACATCTAGCAGTTAAATGCTGTTAAAAATTTTTAAAGAAGTTAAAAAAATAAAAACATAGCTATAATTCCTATTTCATCTTTCAAATGTTTAATACTTGAAAAAGTATTCATTTGACATTGTGGGTTACCTACAGTGCGAAGAGATGGCGCTGCCTTGCAACTTAAGGCTAGGAAAATTTCGACGCGGCCATCAGAGCCGTGGTAGCATAATTGGTCAGTGCATTCGCCGGATTGCGAAGGGTGCGGGTTCGAGTCCCGTCTTTTCTAGTAAAATAATTTAATAATTGGACTATAACTAATAAATTACTAGCTCTACGTAATGGTAATATCCCCCAGTCTTTAAGGAGCGCTGTAATACATCCAAATCATAAAAGTGGTGACAGAAGAAGCGTCAGTAACTATCACCCAATATCTATTCTACCTTCCATGTCAAAGATTTTAGAAAAAATTGTAAACAAGAGGCTAGTCAGTTATTTTGAAACTAATAATTTGATATCTCCTTCACAGCTTGGCTTTCGTAAAAACAAGTCAACTGCAGATGCTGTATATGAACTCACGAACTTTGTAGTAACAAACCTAGATAAGAATAAAAAGGTTATAGGAATATTTTAGACCTAGCGAAGGCATTAGACACGGTTTCTGTCCCACTTCTAATAAACAAGTTGTAGCGACTTGGGATTCGTGGTAAACAGCTTAATTTCATTGAGATTTATCACACTGAGCGAAGACAGTGTGTTAGAATTGCTGATACCTGTAGTGGTGATCTTCCTGTTGAGTATGGTGTTCCACAGGGCAGCGTTTTAGGGCCAACCCTGTTCCAAGCTTCATAAATGACCTATGTCAGCAAATACTCATAAAGGGGAAAATGATTTTTCTTTCATTGCTGACGACACGGTGACTGTTTTCGAGGGTGATATATGGGATGAGGTCTATCGTCATGCACAGAAAGGTTTCAATTTGGTTAGTAAATGGCTTGCGAAGAACCTGCTGACATTGATCAAAGACGAAACTAAATACATGTCGTTCTCGATCAGAAACACTAATCGTCTAGCTAACGCCAACCACGAAATCATAGCATACTCCTCCTTCTGTTCTTAACGTACACTGAAACTGAAAACCTTCTGACTGTCCCATCTCGAATCTTCTAATGCGTTTTTCTTTTTTGGATTTGATTTTCGATTTAATGGAGTTTGTAATGCAAATGTATGTGCATTACGTACACGCACACACCACATGCAGGCTTACACACACACACGTGCACACGCACAAACACACATACACACACACACAAACTAAATTAACACCTTAGCACGCGCGAGGCCGGGCAGCGCGTGTGTAGTGCAGGGCGCGCGCGCGGCCACTCGTACGAGCGCGTCACACAGCGCGCGCTCTATGACCGCCCTGACGTCACGCGTGCCCTGTGAGGGAGGGGGGGCGGGTACCTTAGCACGCGCGAGGCCGGGCAGCGCGTGTGTAGTGCAGGGCGCGCGCGCGGCCACTCGTACGAGCGCGTCACACAGCGCGCGCAGCCCGCCACCGTCCGCTAGCGTGCACGCGCACCGCGCCGCTACGCGAACTACAGCGCAGCTCGCGTTCTTCGACCGCCCTGATGTCACGTCTATACCACGGCAAATCAAACACTCTTAAATTGTTCAGGAGTCGTAATAACGCAGTTTTTTCGGCTACGGCAGAATTTAATGTTAAATGCGAGAAATTGAGGTATAGCTTTAGCATATAGACTAGAGAGTCTGAGAGCCAAGGTCTGTTTTCCCGGACCAATATAATGTGGACATCTTCAAGGCCAGAATGAACAGGCATCTTCTAGGCAGGCGTGTACCATCCTAGGCCTCATCATCACTTTCCATCAGGTGAGATTGTGGTCAAACGCATTACCTATTATGCATAAAAAAATGGATGCGTGTAACTTATGTACGCGTGTGAGAAGTTATACTTCTTTAGCATCATTAAAAATATTTTTTAATTGCATGCAAATAATTAATAATTACAATAAAATAATAAAAAGACTGGAAAAGGATAGTTAACACAGTCAATTAAGTTCAGTTTTAATTTGAAAAATTAAATAAATATTCAAAATATTCAATTAAAATCACTACTGAATTTAAGTTATTAGTCCATATGTAATTAGCACTTGTAAGTAACTAAAACACGTTGTGTCTATATAGAAACTAGAAACATGTGGATAAATATTATAAATATGAAAACAGTGATCAGAGGCGACGAGCGTGCCAACATTGTTTTTGACAACGCGATCATCTTATGGAGCTCCGTGGATCGTTCAAAGTACCTTTCGAACAGATGTCTAATAATGGTGGATTATTAACCATTTAGTGGTTAATAATCCACCATTATTAGACACTAACATTCATAACGCGCCCGCGGCCAACTTCATGGTGTTACTATTGAGTTACAGTGATGCGCGCGCATCTCGAAATTTCACTCACATGATTTTTTCATAACGCGCCCGCGGTCAACTTTATGCTATTACTTTTGGGTTACACTGATGCGCGCGCATCTAAAAATTTCACTCTCATCATTTTTTCATAACGCGCCTAAAGAAGTATAACTTCAAAAATAAAAAAAAGAGAGACAAAAACTGTTTAAAATTTATCTACATCCACTCTCAACCCCGCAAGGAATTTTATTGTGACACCAAATGTAGGTATAGTGAATGACATAGTTAAACACTTACCAGCCACCGAGAACTGCACAGTGAGGAGCGCTTCCAACAGTTTAATGAGGAGTCTGGCCTCCGTTTCACCGCACGTGGGGCCGCTCAGCTGTCGCAGCGTCACTTTAAGCAACGCATACGAATCCAGCAACGTCGGCGCAGACGCAACATGCTCGCGAAACAACGGCGCCTGCACGCACAAAGCGGCGCAACTCTTCCAAAACGTACAAACGTTCTTCAACACACTCAAATGATCCTCTACACACTCTTCGACCACGTAACCGCTGGGAGCGAAACTAGCCTTTATATCCAAAGGACACGACATCTTCCTCTTTGGAATCTCTTCAGCTGAAGTTAAAGCCAATATATCTCTCTCTTTAGTGACGTCGCACAACTCCGCGAATTCCTCCTCTATAAACTTCAACCTATAAATCTTGTAAAATTTCTCAGTCATATCCGATAACGACTTAAACAGCATTTGGACGGAAGCGAGCGAGCTCATCTCTCTGTAGTAAGAGAATTCCGAGTTCTCCTTCATCAGCTTGAATATCTCCACTATTATGGCGATCTCTAAGATCGAACAGCACTGCTGCGCAAATTCCGGTAGCGAGACCAACTCGAGAACGTAGCTCAGTCCGCCTTTTTGTATGAACTGTTCGGCGAACGACACCGTGTTTAGAAGGCTCGCGAAGATATTAAGGCAAGAGATTGTAAGAAAGTACGCTGATTCTTCCAGTCTTATCATGTACCGGTGCTTTGCGACTATGAACGTGGGGTATATTACGCTAAAAAGCAGCTCGTATTTCATTTCCATGCGGCACTTGGGAGTCACTCGCAGCAGATGGCTGACGGTTGCGTGCAATACATTGTTATGGTTGTCGAGTTGAAGCAGCGAATTGTAATGAATAAGAAACGACCACGTGCTCTTTCGGTCAACAGGAGCGACGTGCGAGCACAATTTCGACGTCGGCCTGGCTATTTCCCTGCGGTCTTCGGTGCTAGGTTCGCATATGGAACAAGGTAATTGGTCTGTGATTCTCGGAATTAATACGCTAGCACCCAATTCGCCGTACACTGTATGCTCGAGGAGTTGCAGACAAGCTGCAGCGACGCTCTGGTGAGTCAGCATGAGCCTCACGATGCTTTCCATGAGAGTTCCAGGCGTGAAACAGCAGCACACTCCGCAGTTGAGCATGACCTTCAGGATCTTGTTGCGGAGTACGGGCTGCGCCGCTACCTCCTCATCGGAGACTAGCGAGGTCAGGGTTCCGTAAAGAACGGACACGCAGCAAGCGGAAGACATAGGCAGACCGGAGATCGCATCGCCCAGAACGTCGTGGTGATGATGCATTCCCGCCACCACCCTCTGCCGGCACTTTTTATGCCTAGTCCTCGGACACGCGGCAGAGTGTATCACTTCACTCCTCACTCGCTTCATACCATTAATCAGTTTACCTATAGATTCGATAAGTTTCTTTATTAACACTACCGTTTCGTCTTGGTCGACTCCGGGTATTCTAATCATCAGCTCGATGCAATCTCTCAGCAGAGCCCCTTTCAAACATTCGCCGTAGAGTTTGAATTGTTCTGTGAATTCTCTCAGCTTGTCTACGCTTCTACATTGCATGAGTAAACAGTGGAAGAACGCTGTGATCGAATACGCAACACCGAATACAAATTTGAGCAGATTTTCCGATTCAGTCTTACTTGGTGTTTCTTTGGCACATTTTTGGGTATCACCTTTCGGTTGATACTTAGTACTGGTCTTGCACACAACATCTTCTAATAGGCGCAAGAGCATCGGAAGGATTCCATTGTTAATTAACTTGGCACACAAATCGGAATGTACGAGGACTTTATCTAGTGAAACTATGAGTAGTTCGGTGAGAGCCACTTTAATTCGAGACACTTGTCGGGTGTCCTGCTGGTCGGTTTGACCGGGTACAGAGCCGAATTGTAAAGAACAGAGATTCCTAAGAGTAAAGTTTATGCATTGCACAGATATTTGCGAGCCTTCGGAGCCGGACAGGCTGCTTTCGGCTTTGCACAGCTCCTGGAGCAGATCAGTTATCATTAAAATAAATTCGAACGAAGAGATTTCCGAATTGATGATGTCCCTATGTTTTTCGGTCATGTAGTCGTCAGCTTTGGGCTTGGGCGTGCGCGGCGCGTGGTACGGATCGTAAAACGTGTCAGCGTATTCAGTGGACGATCGTAACGGTGTATTGAAATAATCAAAATCGTCTTTGGGGCTGCTGACTTTTATCGTCATGGATCTATTCAGAACCTGCAGGTCGTCGTTTGAATCGCAAGATTCTGAAGACAGATCCTTAATAGGACTTCTCCATGCCCTTTCAGAGGAATCTGTTTTGGTGTGACCGCTGTACCTGGACCTGTCAAAATCAAAGAAATGTACAATATGAGACGTAAGTAAATGTAGTTAATATTATAGCAGTTTGTTTTGAGTCGTTATGGGTAGTCATGCTCTCTTAAAAATCTCTTGCTTCATTGGAACTATTAATCGTTGTGCTAAACTTTAATCGTTCATTTTTTTGCCTAAACAGTAGGACACGGCATTCCTAAACTTTGTTAAACCAGTTTTTTATGTTTTTTTTTATTTTATAGTCATATTTTTTTATATTATTTGCATTTCTAATGGAAAGTGACTTTATTAGTTATCTCACATTGAAGTTATTTTTCAATTTGACGACTCTGTATATAATACAGGGAGAAAAAAACAGCCCTTGCTGAGTTTTTTGCCGGTTCTTCTCAGTACAAGGTCTCCCGCCGTAGATTTGCGAATCGATGGCGTAGCTTTTCGAAATTCACAAGTGCTTGTGATAGCCTAGACTGAATAAACTATATTGTATTTTAAATTTTATAAAAAGAACTTCGTATACCTTCCAGTGACGGATCCCCTCTCTGATGAATTAGCTGAGTTCACTTTGGAGGCTGGACTACCAGCTGATTTGACTTTTTGTTTAGACCATATTCTGTAACAAAATCAAAATTTAATTTTGCATGTTTATGACATTTTTCTCAACCTCATGCACTGTTATGCGAAGTTAGTGACAATTTCGGAAGCATGTCTCAATAGCGTTGATTATCAACATGCAATTAGACCTAGAATAAGAATACTGACACTTAAAAAATATAAACTATCTTGCCTACACCACTTTTTCGTTGGCAATCAACTCGCACTGCTCTCACTGCCATGACATTCACCAACACCTTTTGGAGTTTACTCCTTAATAATCGATTTGCATATATAAGGGGCCCGGTATGAGCAAAATGTGAGGAGTAAAATCTATCGATGAATGACATTAATGACCTCGTTACGTTTTTGTGCGCAACCTCATCTGCGCACCTTTCACTTTTAGCCATGGCAACGGATAAAAACCCACTAAAAACCCAACAGTGCTCCCTCGCCTGCCGGAACGGGTTTCGTGGGATCTTGGTTCCTCCTCCTCCTGGTGGTCTGGTGGTCAGGGGACATTAACCAACACGTCTTTTACATTTGTTGATTCTGAACAATAACTTGATTGTGGTCGGCATCGGAAACGGTACGGTAACACAGCCGTCTGGAAGTTCGCAACGTACATAGGGCGACCAGGATCTTTATGTATGTGTCGAATATTGGAGCTAACGCTGCATAAGTCATCGTAAACGTCATATATTGTATGTATGTTATTAACGGTAATTTATGTAGACAGCGACGCCCTCTCTGCACCGCAACTCACATTCACTACCTTCTCCTTTCCTTCAGAGGACCACGCGCTCTGGCCTACGTTGTCACCATCTAACTGTGGCCACAATTCCAACGCGTACAAAGAAAGGACAATGGGCAAAATTGCATGGACACTGCACCCACGTCCGCCACGGCTTAAACTACATTTGTTTGAAAGGTATCATAGTCATGATCATTTGTGCCAAAGCGCATCAAATTCCATCCCGGGAGTCTTTAGTTATTTTAAGTTAAATAGGTACAATTCCATAGGTAAAAGTAACTATAACGAACATAATTTTTAAAGATACAAGGACGAGTATATAGAACGGATATATTAATTGACGACCACGGAGGTCGTCAATTAATATATCCGAGTCGAGTGGTTTGTACGCCGGGTTTCATGGTGTCGCTGGCTCGAGAGGTCCCGGGTTCGAATCCTGGTGGGGGCAGATGTTTGTGTGCTGAGTACGAGCATTTAAATTGATCCATAGATTTTTTATTAGCTCGTACGATTATAATGACGTACGCGATGATAATCGTGTTCCTATTTCTAAAGCGTGTTAGTTAAATATCAATGAAATAACAGGGAGCGCACAAAATGTAAGACATAGGACTGCATACGAGTAGACTAGTTGCAACGGCAACTGCAATATCACATCCTTCAACCCCCATACCCTGTTAGACGTTTTGAGGAGTCTCAGTAAGTGCAAGCAGCAAGCAAGCAGGATAGTCGGTAGGCTTTGTTGTTTAGTATTTTGTATCTGGTTGTACAGTGAGATATGATTCACTCACTTATTATTGCTAATATTATAAAACGAAAGTACTATTGATATTGAATGAATTTCTTTAGCTATTTAAATATCATCATCATCAGTCTATTAATGTCCCCACTGCTGGGGCACAGGCCTTCCCTATGGATGAAATAGGGAGATTGGGCCATGACCCACCACGCGGGCCCAGTGCGGATTGGCGGGTGCTAACGACTGCAGATGCAGCCGGGACCAACGGCTTAACGTGCCTTCCGAAGCACGGAGGAACTCGAGATAGATGTTTTTGGTCACCCATCCAATGACCGACCACTGCGGAAGTTGCTTAACTTCAACGATCGCAACCGAACGCGCTTACCACCTGCGCCATCGAGCTTCTCTATAAGGAGCTATTTAAATATGCCCGTGTGTAACCGGTCCCCATGACTTACACACAAAGGTCGTCTATAAGGACTATGTGCGGAAACCTTAACCCCTAATATAGAACATACCCAGGGGGCCAATCGCCTAACTGGATTGCTTTGGAAAACGCTATCGCTTACGATTTCATTTTGTTATTTCTAGCCGCCTGAGGTTTTCAAATGCCTCGCGCTCTTTTTTTTTCTTTTGCATTGGTAATAACAATGTTAAAGAAAATGAGCGTGAGGTATTTGAAAACCTTCGGCGGTTAGAAATAACAAAATGAAATCGTAAGCGATAGCGTTTTCCAAAGCAATCTGGTTAGGCGATTGGCCCACAGGTGTATATCTTTTGACCCCCAGGTTATTTTTTTTTTGTGCCATAATAAAAAAGGCTAGTTTTTCATAGATCTATCGATTCATACTAATTACATTGTTGGCGGAGCTGGGTGCGTTTTGCCCATTGTCCTTTGATGACTCATTTCTTTGTCGCACTATCCGTAAATGGAATGCTCTGCCCGCTCACGTGTTCCCTCCCTCTTACAACCTGGGATCCTTTAAAAGAGGCGTGAAGAAGCAACATGCAGGCCGGCAGGGTGAGGATGGCTGGTGTGGCAGGTAAAACTGCTGTATCAGCTATCTTCACGTCCGGACTTCACCTTCACTTAACATCAGGTGGGGTGGAGTCATTTGTCGGACCTATATATAAAAAAAAATCACAAAGATCCTTTTGGCACTACAGACAAATGTGAGTGAAGATGTAAAGTACACATTGTGGTAATGTTCTGACCTCGTGGAGAACAGCTGGTGTATGGGCGTGCGTTGGGCGGAGAGCTGCGGGGGCGGGGCTCGGGCGGGTGTGGGCGGGGCCGGGGGCGGGGCCGGGGGCGGGGGCGGGGCCGGGGGCGGGGCCGGGGGCGGGGCCGGGGGCGGGGCCGCGCACAGCTCGCCGAACAGCCACACCAGCACTGAGCTCAGCTGCCGGCAGCACGACAGGCCCTGCCAGTAAACAAACCAGTGTGCTTATGACCACACAACTCGAGTGAAACTACTTTTGCTCCATCTGTATTATTAATTATAATTATTTTGGCGACATACAGTAAAGTACATCAATATTTACTATCTTAAAGTAATAGATAGGTTTTAGACCTTGAGTTGTCTACAATAGGGATGATGACTATTTTTTTTTTCTTCGTTTATCAGGTAGATTATCAAAAAGTATGGGACACGTATTTTTTCTTTTTTCACATAATGTAAACATTGCAGAGATATATTGATTTGAAAAGTCGCATGACGTCATGTTGAGTACACTTTTAAGTGAAAATTCACTAAAAAGTGACGTCACGAGCTCCTACACCCAAACTTTGACGCGCTATAACTTTGTCATTTTTTGGTTGATTGCCCAAAGAAAAAATACGTGTCCATTATTTTTTTATCATCTAACTGACGGACTAAATAGAATTTTATTTACTGTACCCCCTCATCACCCCTGTTAAGGCTTCTTAAGGAACTTCATAGCAATCTCACGGGACATGTGTATTGCGACAATATATTCAAGCGGCGTCTAATCTTGACGTATTAAATTCATTGTGGAGTTACCTACTTTATTTTTTACCTTTTTTTCATTGTTCAACCGTTTCTCTTCTAACACAAGATTATAATTGTCACCACTGTTAAATAATACTTTAAGTTGCTAAATATACTTACATTCAAGACTTTAAGTTGCTACAAATACATACAAGAAGAGTAAACATTTGGATTATCTATAATTTTGGAGTTTCATTTCATGTTCTAATTAACATGAAAATTGGCGACCGTGACAGGACACGAAACGACAATCAAGATTAATATATTGAAGAAATTTACTAAAACAGATCAAGATTAAAACTGGATTTCGTAAAACTTGTTGGAGATAAGTTCACTACAAGAAACAGATGCATTAATATTTACGCCGAGAAATAATTGAGTGTCCACAGAAGTGCAATTCATAGTTCGGAATTGAGACAATACTTATCAGTTAAGTGCCTTTTCCTATATCCTAATATATTTATATCCTAAATAAAACTAGTTAATAAATTCCAATCATAGTCCTTTGTTCTCTTCCCAATATAATCTTGTGCTAATAAGTTATTTTTAAAATACCTACTGTATTGCATTTATTTGTGAAATATCATTACAATTTCATAAAAGAGGCAGCTGTAAGACTTATTACTAGATATCATAGGATTCTATAGTTGTTGTTTTTAAATATATTTGTTATTTCTTTACTACAACTTATTCTTTGCATTTACACCAAACCGCCGATTATTTCAGATCAATATTAAACGTTGACATCGCAATTTGTAACGTCTCGGCGCATTGCAACTGTGGTTTGCCTTTTATTACAAAGTTGATAAGCTGAGGTCTAACTTCGCCGGATGAGGAGCGTAAGACTATTCATAATAAGTATATTATTTTCTAAGCAATACTAATACCTACTTATTAAAACGTTGCACTCAAATTTACATCATATAAAATTTAAATTCAATTTTAATATCATAATTAAATCTAAGTCCATTCATTTGGAATTTACATACTTTTATAAAAAAATATAAAGTTTTCAATTGGGATCTGACATGGAGGCGTGGCCTATTCAATATGGCGCCGACGGGGGTGCATTTGCCTAGTCAAACCGTGATGAAATACCGTAAAATAGTTAAATATCAATATTAGTGGTAGATAATGATAGTCTTAACAATTAATGATATTTGTGAATGGTCCGGTTCAACGCCCAGTAATCGCAATTTTCGAGAGGGTGAACGACTGGTAGCTGCGAAACATTTATTGAATTGTGGTATACACAAACATTTATTGAATTGTGGTAACTAAACCAAGGAAACTCTTTCATTTTAATGTTGTTGCCGTCCCATTCTTTTCTTAGTGGAATAATAATGAGATCTTGTAAAATGCTACTTCACACATGCTTAACCTCAAAAAACGAATTTGACTCACCTGGTAATATATAGTCGTCTTTCAGAAAATGCAATGAACACACTTTCATGTGAGGATTTATTTTACAGTCAATCTTCAAAGCGTTCTTCCATGCTGTGAATTGGTCCACTTTTTCCATTTGACCAAAATAATTTTTAATGTAAACACAACGCGCATTTTTTTTAGGAAACTTATGAAACGTTAATTCACGGTTTTTTTGAAAACTGCTTCCACATCCATACACACAACACTTTATTCTTTTTTTAGAAATCTTGCGAGGGTTAAATATTCCTAATTCTTCCGTCATTTTTTGTTTAATTTCTCAAAAGTACTAATGACACTAATGATAACTTATGTGTTTTGATGAGCGATGCACCCCGGTATTAGTTCCAAAATTGAACACCAGGTGTCTCACGAATTTTGTCAGATCCCAATATGGGTAGCAGCGCAGAGCTTCAAGAGTTAATAATTCGTCGCAGTTCTATTAAAGGACAAATGACTAAATTTAAAAATTACCTTAATGTTGTTTCGGCAAAAGACAAGATTTCTTCACTCGAGCTGAACGAGTTGAGTATTCGATTTAAAAAATATGAAACTCTTTACTCGCGTTTTGATGACTTGCAAGGTCAGATAGAGGTCTTGAATTCAGATAATATGGATGGTGAGATTGATGAACGGGACAACATAGAGCAATCGTTTGCGAATCATATCGCCAGGGCCAATACCATAATACAAAAATATACTACTACTCAGAATCCGATTAAACAGTTGAACGATTCTGAATGCCCCGACTTTGCTTCATGTCATGTTCCAAATAATGAAGTAGGTTTCAAGTTACCCCAAATAAAGATCGCGAACTTCGACGGCGCCTACTTTAGGTGGCTCGAATTTCGTGATACATTTTTATTTGGGGTAACTTTAAAAAAAAAAAAATTTAAAACTCCATGCGAAACTATAGCCACATTTTCTCACCAAAATATAAACCAAGTTATACTTTCAACTGCTTTAATTGAGGTTTTTAATACGGTTACGAATAAATCTATTAAGGTACGAGCTCTTTTGGACTGTGGAAGTCAATCCTCTTTTATTACTCAATCCTTAAAACAAAAACTAGGATTGGTTTCTACAACAACAAATATAATAAATATTGTAGGTATAGGTAACAATGTCGCAAACCAAGTCACAGAAAGATGCAATATTAAATTAAATTCATTAATTAACTCATTTTCTATAGTATTAAATTGTCTAGTATTACCAGAACTAACAGGCGATGTTCCTAAATCTTTTATTAATATTTCGAACACACAATTACCTAAGCACATCAAACTTGCAGATCCGAACTTTAACCGACCTGCTCCAATTGAATTATTGATTGGAGCCGATATTTTTTGGGATATTGTTCTAGGCTCCGAACAACGTATTTGGAGTCCTGGTTTCCCTAAATTAATAAACTCCCAATTAGGCTGGTTGATCGCAGGTTCCACTAATAGTACAGTTATATCAAATTACATTCACTGCAATACAGCTATATCTCAATCATTCGTTAGTGAAAGTTTTGATAGCCAATTGTCAAGGTTTTGGGAGCTTGAAGAGCTACCCCAAACAACTAGTCTCACTGCTATTGAAAGGGCATGTGAAAATCATTTCAAATTAAATACTGTGCAATTGAAAACTGGAAGATTTTGTGTCAAGTTACCGTTAAGTGACTCACCTGACTGTCTCGGTGATTCTTATGCACTCGCTAAAAAAAGATTCTTGTCTTTGGAGCGCAGGTTTCGAAAGCAGCCTCATGTTAAGGAACAATACGTCGAATTTATCAGAGAATACTCAAAACTAAATCATCTTTCAGAATCATCAATTGTTAAACCAGACGTTTCTTATTTTCTCTGTCATCACGCTGTCTTCAAGGCAAACAGCGAATCCACTAAAATCAGGGTCGTTTTTGATGGATCCGCGCCTACTACTTCAGGTCAATCCCTCAATGACATTCTGCTTATCGGTCCCAATATACAGGATTCTCTTCTTTCCATTCTAATTAGAGCAAGGCAGTATAAATACATTCTAACTGGCGACATTGAAAAGATGTACCGTCAGATCTTATTGTCCAAGGATGATCGCAATCTACAGCTCATTTTGTGGAGAGAAGAAGAGTCCCAGCCTTTGAAAACTCTCCGCTTGAATACTGTTACTTACGGTCTTGCAAGTTCCAGCTATTTAAGTACTCGCTGCCTGTGGCAAGTTGGAGAACAATGTCAGGATCCTCTGATCAAAACTATAATTCAAAAGGATTTTTATGTGGACGACTTGATAACGGGCTCTGATGATCCTGCTACCTTGATTCACATAAAAGATTCAGTAGAAAGCGCTTTAAAGGAATGTTGCTTCAATTTGAGAAAATTCAAATCAAATCTCAGTTCTGTCCTTGACGAGATTGATTCAAATGATAATTTGGACATAAGTTCTTCTTCAAGCACACTCGGGTTGGGTTGGACGCCTACTACAGATTGTCTGCATTTTCCCATTCAAGCCCCTAACACAAATGAGGTGCCTACCAAACGTTCAATTTTATCATCGTCTTTCAAGATATTTGATCCGTTGGGTCTTTTAAGTCCATGTGTGATTTTGCCTAAAATTATTTTGCAAAAGCTGTGGTTAGAAAATCTTGGCTGGGATGAGCCTGTTCCTCCATCAATTAAAAATGGATGGTACAAATTCACCAGTACCTTACCATACCTTTCAAATCTTGAAATTCCCAGACGAGTTTTGTGCGACGCATTTCTAAGCATAGAGCTGCATTCTTTTAGCGACGCATCTAAAACAGCCTATGGTGCTTGCATTTACCTCAAAACAACGCAAACGATGAGGTAAAAATCAGTCTGTTATGCGCAAAATCCAAAATTTCTCCCATAAAGCCCACCACCATTCCTAGATTGGAATTGTGTGCTGCTTTGTTAGCCGCTCGATTATCAAAATTTGTCATAGATTCATTACGCTGTAAAATTGATAGACAAATTCATTGGTGCGACTCG